ATGCGTTCAGAGCGTTCGACCTTATTGACAGACAATAATTGATTTTGAGAAACCGTGCTTATCTTAGAATAAAAACCAAACATTTGTAAACAAAATTAGCAAATAAATCATGTAAAACTTGTAGAAAATGAGTACTGGAAAACGGAAATATGAGAATTTTAGTTTGATTATAAATACAGGTACTAAAAATGACCGTTTTATCTATGTATGTATATAAAAGTCAAAGGGGACTGACTGACATAGTGATCTATCAACGCACAGCCCAAACCACTGGACGGATCGGGCTGAAATTTGACATGCAGGTAGATGTAATGACGTAGGCATCCGCTAAGAAAGGATTTTGATCAATTCTACCCCCAAGGGGATAAAATAGGGAATGAAAGATTGTATGAAACTTTGTCAATTTTAAACCGATCGGGCTGAGACTTTGCATGCAGGTATAAGAAGAATCATAGACGAATGTCATTGTGTATAATACAAGCCTGAGAACAAAAACTGTAGTCTACACTTCAGCTCTACACCGAAGCGAAGCGAGGGCGGACTGCTAGTATCTAATATTACTTATCTAATCTAAATCTAATCTAATAAATTTTTATGTCAATTAAAATAGACTATACTTAAATACAGAAATTCTATTTACCTGATTTGAATTAAAATGATCTTAGAATAACTACAAATTACCTAGATTGAGATATTTAACTTCAAGAGAGGTTGCTTACGAGAGATAAAGTTTTTTTTTATGTAAGTAGGTTACATTTATTTGACTGTACAAATACAGGGTGTCTTGACTAAAGTTATATTATGCCTTGAGTTAAATGTATTGTTTTTGTACCAAGTTTAAACATTTAATAATATTTTATACTATTACAAAGAAATTATTGTCTAGAGGCTATAGGGAGATGACCATTTTCTTGGATAAATATGTCTTGTCTTAATTTAAAGCAATTTGTCTATATTTACAAAATCTATTTTTAACGATGTAAGATTCGATCGAGATAGGAACATAAATCCATTGTTATCTATTTGCTGATCGACATGGCGATTGCTTAACTGATTTTCTAATAAGCCATAAATAATTAATTAATCGTGTGAGCTGCACTAGCGGGCGGATAATGAGCAGTTGCGTGAAGTAGTGGACAAAAACGTTGGTTTCCAACTACGACTGTGGAATTACAAAGTCGACATTAAGCGTTTTTCGTAGCAATGCGGTAGGTAGCGCGCGCTGTCACGACGCATACAAAAGTGCTACAGAAGAGATGTTCGCGGAATGCTTTCCAGGTAGGTATCCGGATAGCTTAGAGGTTATGCTAATAAGCTGCACTCGGAAATGTGGTGTGCATTAGGTGGGCTAAGTGCGTACCATGACAAGAGATGTTTCTCCCAAGAGTAAGAAAGTAAATGATTGGAGGTACTTTACCTACTTACCTAAGAATTAACATTTGTGCCCACAGCATATATGTACAGATTTTTTTTAAATGCAGTCATCGACGTAGTAACGTTATAGATTTTTGATGCGTTTTCATCTTTAAAATGATGATTTAAAAATATTTTTGAATGATTAAAAACCGGCCAAGTGGGTTCCTTATTTGCCTGTCGTGACAACAATATATTTGAGTAGGAGTCTTTATTTTCTGTATCTGATATTAAAAAAGAATATCTAACTATGTATCTCAACTAAAATACCTAAATGAAAGTCAAACTGCGTCTCAAACTTAAACTCGCTTTTAATTTTTTTCTAAATAAGAAGAATAACTGCCGATCTGTTTAAGTGCTTACTGTTTATTAAAACGTAACGATAGCACGATTCAGAAGCCGCTGCCGTTGGTACTCACGGTAGCTTTGAGAAACTAATGATATTTTATTATGGTTTTTAAATAGTTTAAATTCAATATTTCGCAAACGGATATCGAAATCCAAAAATAGTATTAGGAACCCCCAAAGTAATTTTAAAGGACCTATTGAACGATACTCCAGATGATGGGGTAGATGATGAAAAAAAAACATCCACAGGATGTATACATGTAGGGGAGCTACCCTAAAAAAATATATTTCAAAATTTTATTCTACCATTTTGTCGACGTGATTGAGATAATTATTTCCACAAAATTTCAGCTCTCTAGTGCCAACAGGCTCCGCACAAAACCGGAAACGGACAGACGAACATGACGAAACTACAAGGATTCCTTGTCAGGACTACGGAACCCTAAAAAAGTACCTTACTTATCTCAGCTGTTAACTAGCCCAAAATTACTGTTTAACATTTCATAATAAGCCTGTTGGTAATTAGGTGTACTTTGTAATAAATAATATTCAAACCTTCCACGAAAGCCCTCCGGAAGTTCAAATTTATGCTCACAGATGTCGCTACCGGCACGATTTATGTCCTCACACAAACAGGGCCCAAACCAGTACGAGATTTCAAGATTTACTGCCCATAAAGAACGCACATCATATCTGTTAATCTGTATTGAGATACCACAGTTATGCTCGTTACTCACCTGTGATGCGTTTTAATGAAACACTTTGTATTCATTTATTTCTGTACTTACAATATTACAAGAACAGTAAGGGACGTCAATAAAACATTTTAGTAACATATATTCGTTGAAGATTTATTACGAAATCATAAAAAAAATAGTAATAGTTGATGTGTCGTAAAGGTGTGCTATGGAAGTGATTAATAATATTTTCACAAAAAGAAATATTTGATCTCATTCTTAAAGCACTGACAAGACCACAAGTTTTGTATGTCGAATATTACGTGGGCCGGAGTGTTAACGCAAATGTGTTCTATGTATGCGTCTAGAACAAGGATTGAGCTATCGTAAAGTGGGCGTGGCCATCACAATGGTAATTTGTAAGTTCGCTTAGTGACGTCACTCGTGCGGCCGGCTTTCTTGTTTGTTTTTAGTTTCTATTGGAACAAATATAAAAAAAAATATTAAAAAGCGATAATATTTTCAATAAAACGACATTTGTGAATGATCATCAACCTGGTATCTCTAGGGTTTCAAGAGCAATCGAAATGTGTTTTGTTATCGCACGAATCGCATATTCTCAAAGCTTTAAAAAAATGGCTTTGTTGAGTATGATTTTGTGGGAAGTGATGAAGAGAAAGATCTTCTATTGGATGATACTGATGGAGATAGCTCAACCTTGGAGTTGGAAGAAGATGAAGAAGTTATATCACCGCTACCTGGTCTCATAGTGAAATTCGATTTTGTCTGCAGAAAGGGAGGAGTGGATTAAAACGATTGGACAGCCAGCTCTACCACACTGGAAACTTCATATTGGAGTACTTCTTGCTCGTTCATGGAACGAAAGTTCGAGAGTCAGAGCTGCATCTACATGCATTGAATATTTTTGTCTCTTTTCTCATGAACATTAATTCAGAATGATCGTGATCATGATTAATTCTAATATATATAGTGATCATGAAGACCCTATTCGGGATGAAAACGATGCACAGAACCAAGAGAGGACGGCTTTTTGGTGAGTCAGGCGATGCGGAATCATAAGGAATTAAGTGTGGACCTGAAGAAGAGCCTTGAAGAAGTAAGAGGAGTAAAAGTAAGCTTATGGACGGTCAAGAGGAGGCTTTTGACTTCCAAAGTCAGGAGACCGCCCGACCCTAATTGCTCCGTGATCATCGTGTTGCTCGACTCCAGTTGCTCGAAACTGTGCCTGGCCTCTGGAGGACTGGAGTAAAGTATTGTTTTCTTATGAAGCTATGTTTTAGGCAGCAATTAATTCGACGGAGCGTAAGGAGTTAGTTTTCATAGAAAATGGAACATTAAATGCACATCGGTACATAACGGAAGTCCTAATTCCATATGCACAACCCGTATTGACTGCGGTTGATTAAGATTATATTTTTATGGACGCCAATGCTCACTCGCCCGCACCGTTATGGCGACGTGGAAGCGTACATGCAAGAAGTTGGGATCCGTCGTTTAGTTTGTCCAGCTTGAAGTCTTGACCAATTGAGCATGTCTGCGATGGTCTAACTAAAGGGGTAATATCAGCGCAACCTGCTCCACAAAAATACAGAGAGATAAAGAGTCATCGCAGAAATATCAATGGGACGTGATCGCAGCCGTCCCTCTGTCTACTTTCTATTTTCTGCTCTAAGTTAGGGTACAGAAATCACAGCTGATGTTTGTAGAGATATAAACACCCCGGCAAACATCATGAGCAACGACCATGGACAAGGAAGGAATACAAAAACGTAAACTACGCAAGTTTATTTGTCAGTGTGGTTTTGCTCAAGAAGTTTGCAAACAAGGGCGGCCTCTCTGAGGCCTCAGGCACTAGAAGCCCCTGGTGGTATAGATATTTGCAAGGCCCGCTTTTTTGCCCTTTTAGAAAATTGTGTGATACTTTAACGTATTTCTAAGGTGATATAATATGCTAAAGCATGAAACCCCTACCAAGTTTTCCTTGGTAACGACGCTATTCAGTGTTGTCATTATTTTGGTAAGTAACCAGAGACAAATATGAGCTCAATGAAAATGCAAAATATATTTCAAATGATGCTTGATGATTTATCTTCCATAGTATTTCCATTTTTCTGATTTCCGGACATCTTCGATTCAACCAATGCTACATAAGGCGTCATTTAGTAAAACTGAATATAAATTAAGGTCATAAGAACCATAGTGGCCTAACTCATTTTTTTACAATTTTATGATTTTTTCCAGTTCAAATTGATCATGTTGATAGAACCAGAGTGGTCTAAAAGTGATACAACGAATATTCACTAGGTGGCAGCATAATCACTGTTACGGTTTTAGTCTGTGAACTAAATTTGAGGTGCCATACTGGCCTAAGTAAGATAGGCCACTATGGTTAAAAAATGAGTGAGCCACTATGGTTCTCATGGCCTCAATTATTCTAGATCATACACTCCATCCCCACTCTCTTCATCTAGTATCACTACTTTCACATGTATCTCAAATATACAATGAATTTAGTCTTAGGTAAGGAAAACAAGCAAAATTCATTATGAAATGTATATTTATGTCTAATAATAATTATTCATTATTAACTAAATTGAAGTCGACGTTAAACTGCCCGCGCTGCAGGTCGCAGGCCACTTGGTATGTCCATTGTCCACCAGAAGTAACTACACACGCACGTTTCTGAAAAAATAATGTTTTTAAAATGTTACTCAATACCACAGAGAGTTAGAGAAAAACTAAACTAATTCTTAGTTTAGTTTTTCTCTAACTCTCCTGATCAGGGATTGTCTATTAATGAAATGAGGGTTTAAGGTTCCCCCACTCCTCCTCGGGGCATGTTAGGTACCTAGCGCACTAGACGGTCACGACCACGACCACGACCAGTACCTTTTTTTTTGAGTGTGTATGCTGTTGGTCGCAGATGACCTTTACAGCGTCACCAGGTTTGGGGACGGCAAGATCCTAAGGGGACCTCAAGCTGAGAATTGGCGAGTGCCTCTAGAGGTATTCCAGGGTTACGGCATCTCCCCGCGGTGGGAGTGTCCTATCCGTCTGGAGGCTCTAGACCACTCGAACCTGAGGGTGTCGGTTCAACTAGAAGGCGACTCTGAGACTCGGACCTCGGCTCTAGTTAGCCGTTGTCGTGGGACGACCAGCCGCAGCCGCAATGACTACATTAACTACATTTGGCCGCGGCGGCCATGTGCGAGTCGTTCGTGTGGATTCTTTAGTTAATTTGGTATTTGCGGCCACGGGCCGTGCTCGTGGTCGTCTAGTGCACGAGGTGTCTTATAGTAATGCCGACGCTGCACTTGGCTTCTCGTGTTTGCTAATTGTAAACTCGACATCAGTCTGTCATCATACTAATATTATAAAGGCGAAAGTTTGTGAGTGTGTATGTTTGTTACTTCTTTACATCTAAACGGCTGAAGCGATTTTAATAAAATTTGGTATGGAGTTAGCTGTTAGTTACTTAGGAGTTACCTTGGATTAATACATAGGCTACGTTTAACTGCTGGAAAATGTCCCTAAAAAACCGCGGGTAACACCGCGCGGCACAGCTAGTTCCTTATAAAGCATGAAGAGGACAGCCTGTTGTCAAGTTTACAGATAGCAAATACGAATAGCCAAGTGAAGTGCCGGCATAAGGTATAAGGCTGGTTTTACACAGTCTGAAAATCGGAATCCATAATATGAATTAATGATCTGAATGCCGGTAATTTGACTTACACATGTCATATAAATTCCGTTGAGACAATGGGTTAATCAGTTGTCTCGCGAACGCCTCTAAATATCGCTGTGGAGCCATTCATCATCATCATCAGCCTATTAATGTCCCCACTGCTGGGGCACAGGCGTTCCCTATGGATGGGATAGGGAGGTTGGGCCATGACCCACCACGCGAGCCCAGTGCGGATTGATGGTGATAACGACTGCAGATGCAGCCGGAACCAACAGCTTAACGTGCCTCCCGAAGCACGGAGGACCTAGATAGTAAATTTTTGGTCACCCATCCAATGACAGACCACTGCGAAAGTTGCTTAACTTCGACTATCGCAGCCGAACGCGCTAACCACTTGCGCCATCGAGCTCCATGGAGCCATTACTCACCAGTATCTTGACCGCCTGCCTCGTGTGCGGGTCCCACTGCACGCGCGCCCCAACAGTGGGCAGCTCCACGGGCCCGCAGCTGATCGCCTTCCCGCCCACTTTCCAGACCGACCACATTGCGAACCCGTTTACAGAACCCGGTTCACCGTCAGTGTCACTGTGGAGATAATGTTAATGTGACAAATCTCCATTCAGTTTCAACAGTCCGTAGCAAAAATGTATGTTAGATTGAGCAATCTTCTAATATATAAAATTCTCATGTCAAGGTGTGCGTAATTAACTACTCCGAAACGGCTCGAACGATTTTCGTCAAATTTTATATGCATATTCAGTAGGTCTGAGAATCGGACAACATGTATTTTTCATCCCCCTAAACGTTAAGGGTGGTCCTCCGTTAATTTTTTTTTTTGGACAAAATTTTTTATTTTTATGATACATCATACAAAAATAAATAAGCTGCGCTGAGGATTCTACGTTAGAAACCTTCGCTTCGCTGGTGCTTCAAAGTAGCGCCCTCGCCATAAAAATACTATTTTGTTCCCTTGTCATACAGTCTGATATTATAACGTACTTTTGTGTTACTACTGTGTGTCCTCATTCGAATTACAAACGTCTGGAAACAAAGCCGCATTATATTTATTTCGCCCTGTAGTTCATTGGCGACAAAAAAATGTCGTTCGGCAAGAAAAATGAAGTCAGTACGAACGCGGGGAATTGGTCACTGTACGTGAAAAGACTGGAAATGTTATTTATAATAGTTTGCAAATAATATGCTTGTGTTTTTACTGGTCAATAGTCTTTCTCTCTCTCTCTCTCTCTCTTACACACACACACACACACACACGTCGGTTATTATACGCTGTAGGAAACAATACGATATTCATTCATATATTAGAACTTACATCAACGGCTGCGTCTTATTGGCGGCGTACGAAGGCTGTAGACTCGCAAAGGACACGTCTAGCAGGAGTCGGGGTTGGCCGCGACTCACGCACGGATATTCCCACAGCGGTTGTGCTTCAACGCACGCGTCGCTTATTATACGCGAGTTCTGAAACAATAAATACGATGCAAGTGAAACTATTTAAGTTGACAATTTTAAGTAGTTAAAGTAAAAATTTTACTATTTTAAAATTGAAGAAACTTAAAATACGACATACCTCAACGAGACTGTCAAATATTGACATATCAATTCCTTCGCAGTTATCCAAGGGTATCCTAATTTTGTGTAAATCTTGAAACTCTACAGGCATTGCCCAAAACTCACATCTGTCAGGAATTATCGAGATATTTTCCCGTAATTTATCTTTGAATATGTAAATAATATACGCCATTTTCAAATTCTCCCAAGGCAGTATTGCACTACTGAAGTTAGGATCGCAAATAATATTTGTTACAGTTTGTAACATTTCATCATCAACTTCAGATATAAACTTAACTTTTGTTATTTCATTTTCTTTGATGTAATCTTCTAGTATTCTTAAATTTAGATTCATGGTTTCTAAAATGTAAACTTCTTTGGCGCCTTTTTTAGCAGCAGCTAAGCCAAGGAGACTGCTGCCATTCAGATCCAAAACCACCGCATCTTTAGGCATTTCTTCGCAGATCTGATTCAAGAACTTTTTACTGCGCCTACCATCGTTCAAATAGGATACATGTGTTCTCGATAATGCCATATGCACCCCACAATCACAGACTGGTCTCTTGTAATGTTTGTGCATATTATTTTCATCTTCTATGTAAAACCAGAGGGAATATTCGTCTTGGCATGATATCAAGGAGACTTCTGTGTCTTTCTGGACTGTTATTTCTCTAGGCAAGTAGTAGACGGCCTGCATCCAATGGTCCCGCCAGGGGATCGAGTCTTGGGGACGTTCAGCCGTCAAGTCAGCGTCAGGATGACACCACCATGGCGCAGAGCTTAAAACAATTTTACCTGGAAAAGAAAGTTAATTTTGAAGATTATTTACCCTGAAGTAGGGTTCTTTCCCGGGAATTCTCGAATCTTTGAGCTTTGTTCCCGGGAAATGTAAGTAGCTTATTCATAAGCTTAATGTTTTTGAATATAACCAATAGAATTTTTATAATTAATAATGTAAATTTCTCAACAACCCGAGAAGCCTCGAGAAATTCTCGAGACCTGAGAAATTGAAAAGCTCGAGAAATCATGAACCCTACCCTGAAGGAATAAGTAAAAAGTCTGAAAACAGAAGAAAAAGTGGAAAATGCTCTGTGCATTCTTTACTGTCAATTGTAAAGTTATGTTCGAATCCTTATTAAAAAAGACCCACGCTGATTAAATCTTCCTGATACTGGAAAAACATGAAAGGTATGATTTCAAACAAACGGCACGTGATACGATCGTTTTTTATCAGAAAGCATACGAACGAATGCGAAGACAGCCGATTGGGTCCGGCAGCAGATGTCGATGCATAATCGGATCCGTAACTACGCATGTATGTTAATTCCGGAAGTCCAGCATTTAGTCAAATAATTTTATTCCTACTGTGTTGACATACTGTTATATTTAAAAATGGATGAAGTTATTTCAGTATTATTGGATACTACTTTAGAAAAAGAAAATCATCGCCGTCTAAAGAAAATCGTCGAACGGAGCAGATCGCGCGTAGCAAGCAACATGCTTTGACGCTTTCGGCTCCAAACGCGTATCGCGGAGTACACAAGCTATAGTTCGCGGCTTGCCAAGACCAAGAATTAATTTCGGTTAAAAGTTGTAAAACCCCTTAGGATTAGATGTTATGAGTGTCTTTTAGTGGAAACATTACATCAGGTGGGGTAGGTTAATTTGGTGTGCCTCATATAAATTAAAATGTAAAAAAATCATGCCTAAGGGTACACATTGATCAATGGTTCGTCCATAAAAGACAGCAATCGACATGCAGTAAGCAGTCTAGTGACTGAATAACCTGAAAGCGTTTGGTGCAATCCAAACAAATGAATACAAAATACATTTAAGTTATGAAGGAATATCTGCCGTTACATAAAAAAAAGGATTTGTGATTCCTACCTTCAGTGTCCATATTCAATTCCCACCACATAAACACCTGTTGTGCGCGACCAGTATTGGTGACAAGGAATTCTTGCTTCACAGTTCGCTTCATATCAATAGTTGTCCGGCCTGACCAATCATAATAAAAAACTGGAATCTGATCTGATAATTCTCTGAAAGCTTGCCGAGATAGCTGTGACATTTGAATATCATGGACAGCTGCTGAGCCTGGGCAATCTTTCATCTGAAAATTATAATTTAAAAAATTAAAATAAGATTCTGTAGACATTCATGTTTAGCTTCAAATCATATCACTATAATTTTTTGATGATTAATTTATATTTACAAACTTTTTATTTTTTTTAACAAATAACCCTTTGAATAGGATGTCAGCTTAATTACTCCTAGTAACTGAAGCCTCAAAAATAATAGCGACTGCTTGCAACTTCGGCTGTTCACTTTAGTTTTATTTAAATCCTTCAGGAACTAACACCATTTGGGGATAAAAAGTATCCTGTCTCTTTCCAGGTTATGACCTGTATATTTGTAAAATTTCATCCAAATCTTTTCAGCCAGTTTTTGTGTGATTGAGTAACAAACATACAAACACGTAAATATACAAACTTTCAAATTTATAATATAAGAGGATACATATTTATAAAATTGTAGTACTAAATGTTGTTATAGTGGAAACCGGATATAAAGACATTGAAGGGACCATATAACTTCGGACGTTTTGTCCGGTAGTTGTTATAAGCAATATACGAAAGTAATCATATTATTGTCATATGTATGTATGTAGTATGGTTATAGATAATGAACATATGCAAAAGAGTAAAATGGTTAGCCGATGAATATCGATATGAACTTTATCAATATTCATTGGCTATAAGTCGTTTAACCGGTATTTTGCTACATCCAGTGTTGTTATAGGCGGTTTTTTTACTTAAGGGTTTATATAGGGTTTTGGTCGGGACCTTGTCAATTGGTCATAATAACCAACAAGTCATTATAAACGATGTCGTTATATTCGGTTTTGACTGTATTTATAATAATAAATTTCAATGGGACCTTTTGAGGTGCTCTCAATACAATTTGCATGTCATCATCTGCCAAATCATTTAACTTGTTCCACTTTTGCATTGTTGGACATTCAACTACTTGTGCATATATCACAGCAGAATCCGGAACAACTATGCAGTCTTTCTCTAAAAGGCACTGATGTGCATGTGAGAATGTTGATAAAGCACCTGGAATATAATGAAAACCAATCAAGATTTTGATTATAATCATCAGTTCAATTGAATTTTTTTATTGATTTTTTCATATTCTAATATATTTTCTCTAGATATATAAATGTAACAGTTTATACATCTAAAAAAAGATATATTATATATTAGGTAATAACATAATAGGCTGCCTTTATTTAGGAGTAAATGCAGATGGTTTACAAATTAACAAATGTATAGATGGTTTAAAAATAAAATCAAATAGTAGACAATTTTTATAGGCACAATCATTGGTAAATTTTAGTATAAATATTCAAATATTAGGCAAATTACCTTCCCCAATAAGTTCTGTATCAAACACCTCAGTAACCAAAATATTTGCTCTTTCCTTCAAATCTCCATTTTCCCCAACTGTGAGCTCGGTTGAACGTTTTGGAATGACTGTTATTTTGTCTGCTACTCCGTTACGCTGCAGTATTTTAAGACAGCATTCTGCCATTGGTTTGAAAGCTTCACACGCTACTATCGAGTCCGCTCCACACTTTGCTGCCATTATTGAGAGCAGACCTGTTCCAGTGCCTGCAAATTTACAGAATACCCATACTTTACATCTTGCATTGTTAAAGTTTCCAAAGAAAGGTTTCGCTTTTGCACAGCAGCTGCAGAAAGTAGCAGAAAATTGTAAGAGCAGTTCTGCCATCCTCAAACTAGAGTGGCTAAGGACATGTGGTTGATTTTTCAGTCTTAAATTGCATCTTAAACAGTTTTAAATTCTTTATCAACCTGTCTTTAACAAGTATTAATTTCTTTTATTGTTTGGGTCTAATAATCCATCATGTAATGAATGGTTACAAAATAGCAATATTTTAAAATTTTTGCTTTTTTTAGCCATATCTCAAAAGTTATTTTGTAATTTAGGTGCGTTTTAGCTAGAGAAAAGTGTTGTATTTATACTGTTATAAGGTTGTTAAAGTTTCAATAAGTACCACTGTTACAATCAATTATAGTTGGTTCCCTTATCAGGAGTAGTATGCCACTCTTTATCAAAAATTTGTTTGCCTTACCAATATCTAACACATTAGCTTTTTTCCCCTCACTGTGCATCTTTTCTATAGCCAATTGTAGTGCCCTGTAATACTTCTTGTTTCTCTCAGTATCATGCAACATATCTGCGAAGGCTGATCGTGCAATTTCTTGGTGAAAGTCATAGTCTTCGTGCTGCACATCCCATTCAGTATCCCCTGTAATAGGGTTTCTCTTCTGCGTAAACACCTGCATTGTCGCTTGATATGAAGGAACAAACGAATTTTTATATCTAAAACGACAAGATTTCGGCTGTATTCACATAAATGAGCCGAGACATAAAACTAACTACAAAATAATGTTTTACCGTTTCAGTAAAGAAACAGCAAGGCAACTACGAAGTTCAATTGCTTTTGCTAGTATGAAAATCATTTATCACTGTCCATCGTTATAAAAGTCCGTTGCACCCATCCTAATGTTTTTATTGTGGACTGTGGAGATTTATCTTTAACCTCAAAAATAAAGCAAACAAAAAGTAATCGACATAATGCCGGCATTTTACTTGGCTGTTCATATTTACCGTTAGCAAACTTGACAACAGTCTGTCTTTATCATGCTTCATTAGGAATAAAAAAGACTGATGTCAAGTTTACAAACAGCAAAAACAAACAGTCAAATGAAGTGCTGGTATAAAACACAGACTACTGCTACTATACAAAGACGCCAAGGCCAAACATTATGAAATAGTCTAAAGAGAGGCTCTTTGTCTCATTCATGAAATATACCAGCCTAAAAAATATGCCTGCCAGTTATTTATTTGAGTGATATATGACATAATCAAAACGCGATTGACACCAATTGACACCATATTTATGTTGTCAGTTTTCACAAACCAAGAATTATTTATCGAAAAGTAATTCATGAAATCGAAAATTATATTTTTGTACAGTTTTTTTTAAACGTGTAAAATTCAGTGAATATTTTTCAATGGCAGCTATTTCGTAGATGTCACTCGTTCGGTCTTTCATTACGACGTTTTACTATCATGGCGGCTGCCGTCGGTAGAATTTGTGGGGCACGACTTTTCAGAAATACTGGCATAGTTGGCCCCCAGGTACTGAAATCTGTTACAGTCTTCAAAATAGGTTTTTACAGTGTACATAATTGCCACTGGACTACCCTCCTAGTCACAAAAACTAAGTTAAAAAGTGGTAGGCTCGACAAGACTTAGGATGTATATTATCAGTTTTCACGTATTTCTAGATGGAATTATCGCCTTTTATTAAAAAGTGAAGTAGTAAAGTAAATTATAAATCTAATAACAGTGTAAAGTGCACTTAGGAAAACTCAAAGACCAGTGATAACCTTTTCAGCATTATGTAACTAGTTCATGCAAAACTAACGAAGACTATACATTGCAGGTGTGTCAACTGTCCACCAGTTCTCAGGGATGGACTAGGAATAGAAAATTGGTGAGTAATCATGTTGTAATTGTTAAGTAACTTTTAAATATTGTTACCTAATTTGATTTAATTGGAGGATAATTCCTATCAATGCTAGCCAATCCACTTTGTCAAAATCAAGTTTATATTTGTAATAGGATAGATTAGAAATAGGTAAATTTGTAATATCTAAAATACATTATAACTGCATTAATCACAAATATTTTGTTTACAGTTGCTCTCCACATTGGGAGTTGTAGGAGGAGGGGTAGGAGCCCTACTCTTTGCTCTAGAACAGTCGGTGCAGGCTTCAGGCAGTGAAGCACATCCCCCTCATCAGCCATGGAGTCATGACGGATGGTTCCAGTCACTGGATCATGCCAGGTAAACAACCTGGCAAACATCTTGAGCATAAACCCAAGACTTGAAAGCCTGTGCAGCAACAATTTTACATAAAAACTGTCTACTGTGCAAGTTTTTTTTTTGTCCATAGTTATATTCAGAAGTTTGCTGGTATCTCTAAGTAACTAAAATATTGATAAGCTGTTATTGCTGACATGTATTGCAAACTTACATAAATAGGTTTGTATAAAAATTTAACAAATGCTACACTACAAAAAAATGTTGATTAGGTATTGAAATATAGCTAGACAGTATTCCTGTTGTACTAACTGGTCAGCAATTAAATAATAATGTATGTAATGTTAATGCCAAAGTAGATATATTGTTTTTGTCTCATAAAACTCCTGATAAACTGATTCTTTATGTTTATGTTCTATATCTTTGTTTAGGGAAAAATCCTTCTGATCTCCTTCAGCTTTATGTTGAACCTAAAATAAGTTAATAAGAAATATTGAGGATACAGTTTATCATAAACACAAACCTAATAGGGCAAGTTCAAATCAGTCTAGTTACATAAATCTGGTGATGATCCTTCATGTCCACACGCCTGCTTATAAATATTTATATACAATTGAATCAGTCACAACCATAAAGACAGTCATTTTGTATGTTTTTCTTTATACAAGATAGCAACCACCAGCTGATATTAAGTATGAGTGAAGTCCAGTTGGGAAGAGAGATAACTTGGCAATGGAACCATTCTTACCTTGGTGGTCTAAGCATTTCTATAGACTGAACCCTTATTCCATATGCTTCTAAAGGTGTGGTTTAGTATATCGTCCCTTAGCTAACAACACCGCTCAAGTCGAAAATTGGCGGTTTTTACATTTTAATGCCATTGGATGAAGCTGCGCATTGCGCGTCGAACCATTGGTCTCATGAAATAGATTTCAGCCAATCAGAAGCCGTAATTCAAAAAATAGTGACAGCGCTCAAGTCGGTTGGCGTCGCAACACCGCACAAGTCATTAGTCTCATACTTTTCACGCGAAAATACTTCACGCTCCGTGATTATTCAATTTTTATGTGAATTTTATCGCTGAAATATCTTTGCAAGAGGTTTTAATAGAAGATTAAGAGGTAAGCTATAGAATAAAGTAATGTTTATTGATTTACGCGTATTAATTTAGAAATAAATGATAAAATAATATCTTTACTTACTTAGGCGGTGTTTACTAACTATTTTTTCTTAATTTAGGCGGTGTTTCAAAATTTATTTTATTTCTGTTAGGAAACTCAATAATTGAAATACGCTATGGATGGAGAAGAATTTGATTCCTGGAGTGATCTAAGTTCAGGTGATGAATGGTTATGTGCCCAATTACAAGAATCAGGGCTGATGTCAAAACATAAACGGTGTAAACAAAGTTGCAAAGAAGATAAAAAAAGAATTAAACTAGGTTAGTAGTAGTAGTAGTATGGGTTTGTTTTGCAGTCCGCATTTATTTTTTTGTCATTTATGATTTTAATACAATAATTCCTATTATTTATTTTAGATTTGAATCAAAAAGATAACACCAGTTCTTCTGACACCAAAGCATGCAATTCTCCTACTAAATGTGAAACTATCGCAACACCAGTAAATGATCAAAACTTTGGGGAGTCCATGAAAAGTATTATAAGTGGCCAGGATAATGTAAACACAATATTTGACCAGAATATAGACTTGGATAATATTGAAAATATTGACATTCACAATCTACAAGTCGTAGAAAAAGTTGGTAATGACTTCTTTGATTTGCAACATAATAATTTACCACCTGAATTTGCTACAGTGACCATCGAGTATCCTCCGCCTTCTGCATTGAATGTAGCCAATATCTCGGTAGAAAGTAAGAATGTTGTACAAGAACTAGGAAATATTGACATCGAAGCTTTTCCTACGAGTACTCAAGACCCAGTTTCGGATATAGTAATTAATACAGATACAGATATAACAGATGAGAATAAAACAACCCAAAACAATATCCAGCAATCCAGTGTCTCTGCTACTCCATCATGTTCTTCAAAAGTGGTCATACTCAGTAACGTTACTTATCACGGTGATTTGTTAAGTCATAAAAAACGACAGAACAAGGCGTCAAAAGATCCAAATAAATATAAACGCAATATAAATAAAGAGTTACGGATGAAAGGTGAAAATTATTTAGGATACAGAAGAGATAGAAAAGCAAAGATTAATGAAACATTTAAAGTGAAACAAGACGTATTCAAGCCTGCAAGATCCATGAAACCACCGTGCACTTCTGCGTTTTGCAAGAAATCCAAACTCAGGTCATGTGACAACATAAACGAGCAACAGCGAAAATATTTGTTTGAAAATTTCTGGAAGAACATGAACTGGGAGCAGCGAAGATCATTTATAACTTCTCACGTTAACAAAGTACCAAAAAAAGTTACAAAAAATCCAGAATCATCCAAAAGAACTGAAAGTCGAACTTACGTTTTGACCATTGATAATGTACGTCACCAAGTCTGCAAAAAAATGTTCTTGGCCACTCTTGGAATTAAAAATTGGTTTGTAAGATATTGGTTGACAAAAACCGATTGTGCTATGCCTCCCGATGTATCTACTTCAACCAGTAATCGCAGAAATCCAGGGAAAATTGAAGAGCACAAACACGTTGAAAAGTTTTTAGCAGATCTTCCAAAGATGCCGTCACATTACTGTCGTGCTAAAACATCACGAGAATATTTAGAGCCAATTTTCTCGAACATGACACAGCTCTATTACGCATATAAAGATAATTGTGAATTAGAGGGAAGAGAATGCCTTGGCCGTAAATTATTTGACAAATTATTTTTGAAACTCAATCTGAGCCTATTCCACCCAAAGAAAGATCAATGCGACGTTTGTTGCAGTCATAAAACTGGAAACATTACTGATGAAGAATACGCTCAACATGTTCTAAAGAAAGATCGAGCCAGGAAAGAGAAAGATACTGACAAAGGAATTGCACAGTCCGGAGCTTGTCACGTCTTCACACAGGATGTTGAATCGGTAAAATTGGCCCCGTATCTTCAAGCTAGTGCAATTTATTACAAGACTAAATTATGCGTTCATAATTTTACATTATACAATATAGCAACTAAGGAAGTAATGTGTTATTGGTTCGATGAGGCAAATAGTACGCTTGAAGCCTCTGTTTTTGCTTCATGCTTAGTAGACCATCTAGAGAAGGTTTTGAGTCGGAAATTATTGCCTGTGGTTTTATATTCCGATGGTTGTTGTGCTCAAAATCGCAATGTTACCTTAAGCAATGCTTTATTACGTTTAGCGATTGAAAAAAATACTGTGATTACTCAAAAGTACCTGGAAAAAGGCCATACTCACATGGAATGTGATTCGGTACATAGTGCCATAGAATGTAAATTAAAAGGTAAAGAAATTTACCTTCCACAACAATACATGGCTCTAAGTAAAACTGCTAGGAGTGATCCTATGCCTTATGAAGCTCGTTATTTAGATTATACTTTTTTTACAGACTTTTCGAAAGAATTAATTTATAAATCTATAAGGCCTGGTAAAAAAGCAGGTGACCCTGTCGTCACAGATTTACGTATGCTAGAATACAGACCAAATGGCACAATTTGGTATAAAGTTAGTTTTGATGACGAGCTTCACCCGTTACCACATCGTCCCACGCCAATTAACAGAATTAAGCAAATCAATAGCTTGCAAAAATTGTACGCAGCTCGAATACCAATTACAAAGCGGAAATATCAAGATTTGCAAGACCTAAAAAGTGTACTGCCATCTAATTGCCATTCTTTTTATGATGACCTTCCGCACAGCAATCACTAAAGACTGCAACTAAACTAAAGACTAGAGATTTTGAGTATTCTTTATTATTTCTATTATTTTATTAATACTATTATATCTTATTTCTTTGGAGTTTATTAAAGACTAAGTAAACTAAGATTAATATTTCAAATATTTACCTACTTTAAGCAATTGATCTCAACAATGTGATTCTTAAAATTTTAAGTTAATAAGTATACCTATGCTATGTTATAAAAGAATGTTAATTTTCTTGAAATATTTCTTAATAAAATCTTTTATTTGCAAATCATCTGTTAATACCTTAATCCCTAACATTTTCACAAACAACACCGCCCAAATCTAATAAAATAACAGTCCACACCGCTCAAGTCATAAAATAAATGTTGAAATTAAGTAAATCGTCAAAATAAGTATAATAAATTATTTCTTAACCACTAACTAGAGAATGTATTAAGTAGCAATAGAAAAAAACCACAGATTTTTTAAAATAGACAGTTTTTTTCGTCTCCTGTAAAGTTGGTGAAATTGACTTAGGCGGTGTTGTAAGCTAAGCGACGATATACAGTTTTATCTTTAAAATACAGTAAAAACTCCTTATTCGCAGGAATACAGAAACCATGAAAATGGAGTGGTAATTTATATAGGGTTAAAAGGGATATCAATCTGTGGGAAGTAAGCTCCCATTTTATGAATTTTATTATTATCTAGGTCATCCTGATTTGTTCCACATAACCCCCACTTGAAAATTCAATGATTTTTTGGTTTTTTCTAGTTGTTCCTATATCGTTCCAAAGTTTGAATTGAAAAAAATAAAATTAAGCTGTCAGGAATTATAATAGTTATTAGACAAGAAAACATTATTTTACAATATAGGGTAAGTTACGCTCGGTCAGTCAAGTCACAGAAGTCACTTAGTCGTCAAAGGTTAGCTTAAACTGCAAATCGAATCGACAGTATCGTCTTTGCTTTGCTAAGTTGCAATTTGGTAATTTGACCTTGTAATTGTTTACACCTTGGTAAAATAATGCCATTATTAAAACAAAGTTATGTAAGAAGATTAACAAAGGAATGGGAAAGACGATGCATGTAAAGATGTGGATCCAGTAATAGATGCTGTTGCAAAAATGCATACTATGAAGTAAAATTGTATTTTAATAAATATTTTGCATGTTGGGGGGTTTTTTCTTCTTTTCTTCAAAGACCTGTATTTTGAGGGGATTTCGGGTAAGTTCTGGGGAGAAGCCGTAATGACTTTCTGGTAACACTGGTCCACACGTCGGCAGACGCATCATTAGTACTGGAGTTGCAAATGAGGGTGGACGCGTGCTTGCAATTATTTTTTGGTTGTTTGTTACTCTCATTCTCTGAAATGAATATTATTCAAGCAGAAAACGACCTGTGGAATCCGAAAAATGACCAGTAGCCACCACCTTCTTCTTTTCTATTTCTTTTTAATAATTATACTGCAATGCACCTCAAGTGGTAGTACGAAATTAATAAATAATTGTGAGAGTAAAATAAATATCTGCAGTATCCCTAAGTCCTCCTTCCTGATATTGATATCTCCATATCTTTAGCTATTGTCGAGTAGCATTTCTCCTAACAAGTGCTAAAATTTATTAAATATACATATATACATATTATATGCAAAATAAATCTCTGCAGTATGCTTTTCCTCATAAAGTACTCCTTCCCGATATTGATATCTCCAAATCTTTAGCTATTGTTGAGTAGCATTTCCCCAAGCAAGTGCTAAATTTTATAACAAAATGTATGATAATACATCAAAACAAGAGATTGATACAATAGTTTCCATTTGACAAATTGGCTGTCAAAAACACGAGTTTGCTTATAGAAGCAACAAAACTGCCATTCTCAAATAAAAATCAATCCCTAACTGTGGATTGGTCCTCCCACAGATAGTTTACATTGAGGGATCAAAGATTCAAATCTAAATTTGATTATTGAAACATTTAGGATCGGCCATAACTCTCATCAGTATCTTACTCCTCCCTCAATAGAAACATTTAATTTACTGATTTACAAAAATATCCTTTACATTGTTGCATAACATTTTGTATGCATTGTTATTTTAATTAGTTGTTAAGATGGCATAAGATATAATGAACACATTAATTAATCTGTTCAAATGAATGATTAAGTTCAAATGAGGGGGAACTCTAAAAATAAGCATAATACCTATCTAATGCCTCATTTTTCTAGTTTCATCCAGTTCCTCTTGTACTGTTTTACTGTTAGATTCTCCTACCCTGTAGCATGGACGTATTAAAAAACACGCCGGAGTCCTCCTTTAGTTGTATATAAGTCTTAGGCTTCATAATGAAGACTAAAAATGACACTACTACATATTTGTTTGGAAATCATTCATTTTCCAGTAATTTCTCCATACTACATTTTCTTTAGGAAATCTGATAAAAAAGAATAATAAATAATAGATTGAAGTTAATGTCAACCCAATTTCCCATATTTTAGGTAATATGGTTACATGAACATTGGCAACACTGGGCTTTAGACTAATCATTTTGTCCTTAGAATTAAAATTGATTTCGATTTCTAAAAACTAGAAAAAAGTGATTCAATTATTCGTTTACCTATGAAACGTGATTCCTGGATTTTTTTTTCGGTCACTACGGTTTTTACACCTTTTTATAAGCAAGATATCTTCTTTAGCTTATTTTTTATCTCCACGTAACGTGTCGGCTGCTTTGACGTTTGCACGCGTAGTGGCTGACTATTGTGTGAATGTGTGCGTGCCGGCTTGTACGTACAGCGACCTGGCCGACTCTGAGCGACACAGTTTATTGTTTACCGGGACTCTGTCCGCCTTTTTTATAAGTCCATGTACCCTGTAGTAAAAGCTTGGCAACTATAAATGTCAGTCAAATTAATAAACAGAACCTGTGATTTTTTATTTACTCTTTTATTCATGGCATGTTTAAGTTCATTTATACTCAATAAGAACTGTTTACATTAATATTATTTACAACAATAATACAATTTCACCAAAATCAGAAAATGACGAATTTCTTAGTTTGATAAAAACAATAGGTACTCTCGATGTCTATTTTGACTAATTGTCAATAATTTGCAAAATGATTTCCACTTGTTAGAAAAACATAACATAAAGTACATAATCTTTAAAATATTAGGTTTGTGAAGGTACCAAATATTTTTGCTACATTATTAGTTACTAAACTGGAAAAGGGTAAAGGGGTTTCAGCATGTTTGGGGCTTGCATACTAGTTTTTTTTCAGTAGACCATCTCTAATATGGTATGTATAATTCACAGAATACAGAAAGCGGTTAGAAGGGAGACCATAGCCCGTTTTGTATGGGAACCGATGTACAGGCTCGCCCCCACTGCACCTCACCTAATAGATAATAGCCAAGCGACTGACGTGACATCAAATAATTAAACCAATCACTCACTCACAGTGCTCAATCCTTAAACAACGACGCAATCAGACTCAAGTTTAGGTCAAATTATGAGCATTAGCTCACACATAACTGCCCCTCCCACAAGGCCCTTCTAACCCCTCTGTGTTTTGTGGTATAATTATTATCAAGTGTATTATTACCTTAAACAGTGTTCGACGCGGATATGAGGTGTACAAACAAGTGTGCAGGGCGTGTCACTCGCTGCAGTACATCGCTTTCCGAAACCTCGTGAATGTTACCCACACCGAGGCTGAAGCTAAGGCCGAAGCAGCTGAGGTATGAATAAATATTCATAATTGTGTTACTACAAGAATGATGTATAACATTTGTGTTAACATCAGAACAAAAACTAAATTATAGAAGTAATGCTATGAGGTTTGAGTGTACACTCCCATAGACAAAAGATTAATGAAAAGTTTTCGAAACAACATACAGTTAACCTAACCCAACCCAACCAAAAAGTATTAGTTGAATGTTGGCATGTTGCATTTGACATTAGATCACTTTTTGATTTGTAAAGGTAACCAAGGTATCCATAGCAGTACACATACTGTTCATAGTATGGTTCATAGCAACTTATACGAGTATTTGTCCCTTTTTCGATCTATATGTAAAAATAAGATAACTGTATTACTTGAATTTTAACTCTTTCAATGCTCTGAGGTGTTACCTTTACTGTTTTTATTGCCTCATATCTGCCATTTCGTTGACTTAGAAAATACCATATTTCTACTCTCATGTTATAATTATTAGACTTTTTTTGGAAAATAAAAACGACGTGTCTCCAGAAGTGCCGGCAGAAGTGAAAACTTTAATATTAACATTGTGCATTTTTGATATTTTGGAATGGTTAGGGAATAATTTTGCACAAATTGCTTTAATTATCAGTATAAAAGTACTATCATTTATTTATTTATTACGTTAAAAAAAATTCTCTTAGAAAAATCAACTTACATGAATCACATTTAAGCGCACCTAGCGACATCAATTGTAAAAAAAATGCTCCTCATTCGAGACTTTATTATAATGCGATAAAATAAAATATTACTATGTTTCGTCCAAAATATTGAAAGTCGACAACCTTTCCAATTTGATTGTTTTCTTACGAATTGTGAATCCGTATTACGTGTCATGACGCAATCAGGTCACGTGTCCTGACGCGAGTTAACAGTTTCTACCCATTATAAAAAAGTGTACAACGCCGCTAAAGAAGTTTTCACTTCATAACCATTAAAAACTTACTTCATATTCAATCAAACTATAATGAACAGTCCTAAGATTACAATATAAGAAAAATTTAATACTCATAAGCCATTCCTATTTCTAGGTGATGATCAAAGATGGTCCAGATGAAGAAGGAAACTACTTCGAGAGGCCGGGCAAACTATCGGACTACTTCCCGTCACCATACCCTAATGAAAATGCTGCTAGGGCAGCAAACAATGGTAAGAATTATTTTATATTCAATTAATAAAAAAACATCGTGCGTGCCTTTGCAATTTGAAAGTTTCCCTCGATATCCCCGGATTCCACCATCAGATCCTGACTTGGTTCCAATGAGACCACCCCGGAAGTGCACTCATTCGAAAAAAAAATATTTTGGAAATCGGTCCACAATTGACAGAGAAATCGGTGAACATACATAAAAAAAATATACATTCGAACACAGATCCTCCTCTTTTTTTGAAGTCGGTTAAAAATTAACAGTCACTTAGGGTAAAACTAAACTTGCGTAGTTGCGTAGTATTGACGACCTCCGTGGCCGAGTGGTTTGTACGCCAGGTTTCAAAGTGTCGATCGCCAACTCGAGAGGACCCAGGTTCGAGTCCCGGTGGGGGTAGATGTTTGTGTGATAAATACGAGCATTTGTACTCCAGTTATAGATGTTTAACATGTATATCCATAGAAATATACTTATATATGTATCAGTATATGTACCTATTTTATCCGTTACCCTAGTATCCCAAACAAGCTTACAGTGCTTACTTTTGGACTAGGCTAAATGGTGTGAGTGTTGGAACTATTTTGTTTTTTGACTCATTCAAGAACGCAAATGCGTAATTTAATAATAAATTACCTATAATCCTTTGAATTATCACGCGCCATGCTGTAACGTAACATATCACTCATAAAGAAATCCATAAATATCAGTAAGTTACAAATAACACTTCTTACATGGATATGAAGTGCTCTCTTTATTTAATTTTACATTTATTTTTGACGTTTTTGATCCTTCGTCACGGTTACACTTTGAACAATAAAAAAACGAGCAAACATTGAATAGATTTTCGTTTCTGATCGGTAATAATACTTCTTTCAATGTTGACCCGCCCGACTTCCAAATCATGAACCAGATATTTTTTTTTAGATCCATTTGCGGTTTTTTGTCGGTTTTATTTCTTGTTTAAAAATTTTTGAAAATTGTTTACTGGATATTTCAGGTCTTCTGTATATTATATTTGTTGTTACCTATTTTATATTATGTTATGGAAATTGACCTCAATACATGTTTACAAGTTTGATGTCAGCTTTCAATTTGACGACATTGTATGAAATAATACAGGGAGAGAAAGCAGTCCTTGCTGTGTTTCTTGCTGGTTCTTCTCAGTACAAGGTCTCCCGCCGTAAATTTGTGAACCGGCATAGCTGTCGACTTCCACATCTATACATATAATAAAATGGAAGGAAAGTCAAAATTGTTCATTGAATATTTTTTTTTCAAAAGAATATTTGGGGTGTGATCTACAATCGATACCGAAGCCAAAAATTTAGTTTTTAGAATTTTTGTCTGTATGTATGTCCGGGGTAAACTCAAAAAGTACTGCATGGATTTAATTCAAATTTGGCACGAATATTGTTAAGAAGTCGGGTCATATTATAACGCAATCACCTACGGGGAACGAGCAGTGAACCTTTATTTCTAACTAACTACGGCGGGTGGCCGCTAGTGTGCTTATAAAAAACCTAAACTGAATAAATGAATATTAAATTTGAACGATACAATTCACTCAGGTGCTTATCCTCCGGATCTATCGTTGATCGTCTCCGGTCGCAAAGGCGGCGAGGACTACATATTCTCGCTGCTGACCGGCTACATGGAGGCGCCGGCCGGCATCGTGCTGCGCGACGGACAGCACTACAACCCTTACTTCCCGGGCGGGGCCATTTCCATGGCGCAATCACTGTTCGACGAGGTAACTATATATATCTATATACATGTATATATATATAAATCAATTGCTGTTCATTAGTCTCGCTAAAACTCGTTATCTCTTGGTCTTGAAATGTTCGACTCCACGAACATTACCTAACAACGTGAGATCGTTTTCCAAAACTTTCAAATACCCTGTTCTACCCTATTGTCCACAGGCTGCCGAATACAGCGACGGCACCCCTCCTACCGCCTCCCAACTAGCCAAGGACGTGGCCACTTTCCTACGGTGGTGTTCGGAACCGGAACTCGACGACCGACGATTGATGACCATCAAGGCGATCGGCATGTTCTCTATGCTCGCCGCAGTCGCCTACTACTTCAAACGGCACAAGTGGTCCACGATGAAGTCCAGAAAACTAGCCTACAAACCCGTCTCTAAGAAATAAACGCGCCGCCGCCATCAAAAATTTGTAGAATAAACAGAAGTTTTAGACACGTTTTTTTTTCGATAGGCACAGTATGTTATTTGTTTATAATTAAATTAATTTATTTTATACACAACGCGTTTACTTCTGACCTTCTTGTTGAAAACTCTGGAATCGTGTTAACTGTCACCGTCACACATATACATACTATAAAGCTCAGTGCCCCTTCGACTGACAGTGGCGGCGTATGAATATAATTTACTGTTAATGTATTTACTGATAATAGCGCAATTGTTGGCTTTGTGCGGCTGATATAATGCACGGTCAAATTAATAACTTAGGTGATTTAACGTTAACTGTGCTTGTGATGTTCCATGAAAGATAAAATGTGAATCAGTGTACAGTTGAATAAATGAGTTACGAATATCGTGAGTTTATTTTTATAAAGTATTCCAATACATAAATAAAAATATTCCTTACATATTTTTTTAGATTAATCAGCTTAGTGTCATTCAGGGGCGGTTTATGCACTAGGCCCGCTAGGCCCGAGCCTAGGGCGCCGTGGCAGAAGGGGGCGCCACGGGCCGATAAATTTGAAAGATTAGAAGCGAGAAAGCGAACGTTTTAATCGGGTCCACTCAAATGTCAATATCGCCAATATAAAATATATATGTGTTCCATTCCTACCCACAAACCTACATAATATATGTATGATTGAAATTCTGTTTCCGTTAAATTATTTTTGAAATACACTCCCGCCATAAAGTATGGGTTCACTTCTCGAAATTTTCAGCTTCGGTATAAGTTCCATATCTTGGTGGAAAAAGGTCGTAAAAGAATTTAATGAGCACCGTTTTGAAGGGGACAGTTTTAGCTTCACTTTGCCATTTTTTATAATTTTTTACAATTTTTTTTATAGTCCCCACGCGCTTTTGAACATGGCAGTTTTTCGATGTTTTTTTGCCCTCTGGAAACGGGCCTGCGAATAAAAGCAATGCCTCAGCCGTTTAGAAAAAAGAAAGAACCATGGGAAAATTAAAATCATTTCGACTCCACGAGTTTGGAAAAACAAATGTCGGAAAAAAATTATGAAATTAATCTACCATGTCCATCATGATCTTTTGCAACTTTTCACCCTCTTGCTATTTTCTTCGATCACCCGCCGTTTTCAAGATACGCCGAATTGAATAAAATTATCAATTTTTGTCAAAAATTAGAATATTTTTGGTAAAAAAAATCGCACGATACTTTTTCAAAAACGAAAATGCAGTGTTTAATATCCTCTTTCAAACTGCGATGGATAAAATTGCAAGGAAATTTTTTTAACAGCCAGACAGCCCGTTCCCAGAGGACAAAAAAACATCGAAAAACTGCCATGTTCAAAAGCGCGTGGGGACTATAAAAAAAATTGTAAAAAATTATAAAAAATGGCAAAGTGAAGCTAAAACTGTCCCCTTCAAAACGGTGCTCATTAAATTCTCTTACGACCTTTTTCCACCAAGATATGGAACTTATACCGAAGCTGAAAATTTCGAGACGTGAACCCATACTTTTGAGCGGGAGTGTATAAAAATCATTTATTCTAGCCTGTGCTTTTTCAACTATTTTATGGAGAGGGGAGAGGGGGCGCTAATTTCGTCAGGCCTAGGGCGCCCGTTTTCGTAAACCGCCCCTGGTGTCATTATATTTCATGCTAGCGCAGAATCGTGGTGATCTTGCCTAATATATCTAATTCACACCTTCTCATCTCAATGTTCATACTTCGTCGCCTGCAATACTGCGGTGTTGTGTTTTAGACAAATCTGAATATGACGCCGACGACCGACGTGGCGAAATATTTATACGTAATTAATTCCCCTCCAGGATTACCAACTCTCCTGTTCTTGTTTTTTTTCTACATTAATCTACTGTTTTTCTTAGAATACGATTTTCTTTTTTTAAATTGCATCTTGAGTTGTGTTTGCCGCCATTTAGATGTAGATTACAATAAATACGAGTTTTGAGGGGTGGCAGAAGCCACAGAAACACATTTGTTACTGGCTTATATCTTCATTTGATTTACCAATTCTACGGGGGTTGCAAAAATCGAAAGAAGCACGCCTCTGCATCTACTGTTCTTTCTTGTAACTCTTTCAAATACATCTAGGTACTTCTTTTTTTAAAATAACACCTACCGTTTTTTTTAAAACGGACCTAGCAACACTGTTCCTTGCTTATTTAAATATGCACTGTATATATGTATAGAAAAGTCATTAGCGTATAAAGTGTGCATCATTTCGCCATCTCGCGCGTTGTCGGCGCCCCGAGGTGCGGGGAATCCATAGGCTTGCGTCGGGTACGCACTCTGCTTTGTGCAGAGCGGTCATTGGTGTCCTTTCTCCCCCTCCGTCTTCACCACCACCCTCGATGCGGTCAAGCCCACCGGGTGAGACCCATAATGGAAGCCCAGAGAGCGAGCAGCAGGCCAATTATGCTCGCTAATTGTGATATTGTTTTGATTTCAATTTCACATTAAGTATTATGCTCTCCGAAAAATGAGATATCAAAATGACATCAACTTAAGCGTATTATGATCAACTCTTTAAAATGATGAAAATCTCTTTTAAATGCGTATTACGCAAGTATTACGTTCAACTTTTTGACATAATACATTTTATTGCATAGACGTCAAAAATATGATCTTGATGTGACATAGGAATGTTTCATATAATACCATTTCAAAACAATGTCAACTTGGCATCAACATCATATTGACATCACATTACGATTAAATCACTAAAGCTTAATTGACCCGCAGGCGGTATAAAGTGTGAGACAGAGAATGTGCTATACTTACATTTTGTCTATGGATGTTGTAATGTGTGTTGCTAAAAGTCAAACTTTACCCCATTTGTGGGTAAATTTCTTTATTAGTGTAGGCAGTGATGTCGATTCTGGCATGATTCTCTAAAGCTAAACTTAAAATTGACAACAGTGCATCCTTGTCATTCTCTATACAGAATGAAAAGGAGAGACTGATGTTAAATTTAGTTTTAAGTTTAGAGAATGACGCTAGAATCGACACCAGTATGTTCCTAAAAGCACACGCATTCATTTCTTTGATCATGGTGGCGTGAGCGGCGTCGATTTTGGCTCCTACAGTATAAATGAATACACATTTGATTTGTTTTAATTTTTGTTTTTCAAATTATGTACCTATCCAGTAACAGTAATGGGTGTGATGTGTCTATGATTTAGACCTTAATAGAGGGTCTTTTAGATCAAAATTTTATTTTTGAAACATACGTGTGCTGCATGGTTTAAGTTAACTTATTATTCTTTATATTTAGTCTTAAGGCTGTATGGATGTCTAGATTTAGTACCCTTTTCCTTCCAGTCATTCATTGTCAATGTCTTATTTTGTCTTGTCCAGTATTGCCATAATAATATTGCTAACAAAATGATTTTAAATGAATCGCAAATATTACACATTATTTGATTTGTGAAATGATGAAAAGATTTTGTAAAATTAGCGAAACTGAGGCGAAAACACTGGTATAGTACGTATTATGTCTCTGGGCAGTCCTCTCGAAATGTATGGGTTAGTCATGATATATTTAATTAAATAAATATTGACGTCTCGATCTTTGTTATTTTTCATTTTTTTTTCTTTTCATTATAAATTTCTCGCAAAAACTGTTCACTTAACTGCTCTAAATGATATCAATCAAAGGTAAGTTAATTTTTTTACGAAAATTCCTTTAAAAATATTTCAATATGTATGAAATCATACGGATTTTATTTAAAACTCACCAATACGGATTTCATACGGAATTTGGCAATGAAAATAACGGGAATATCGCATTAACGATCTACCAACACTGGTCTTGTCAGTCAATCTCCTTATAGTACATTGTTATAGAGTTTTTAGCGGGATTTTATAGAGTGCGGTTGGCGTCATATTTTAAATTTTCTTTAAATTCGTTCATAGTGGATATTGTGGAATAAAATTAGCGTGATTTTGTGTTACAATCGTCTTCGCAACTGAAGAATTAACGGAATGTTTAAAATATTCGCTATGTCGGTCAAGTGGATGTGAGAACGTTATTGTAGTGTTGACTACTTTACAGAAGCTTATCGAGAAAGCTGACTCAATAAATTCCGTGCCAAACACTCCAAGAAACATTAGAATGCGTCACACCCACCAAACTAATGTAAAACAGGAAAATTAATACAAAAATAAGACGATGGCTGCATGGCTTTGCCTTTGTCTTCCCAGTAGGGAAGAATGAACTAAAAAAAACATTGTTATGTCAATCTCTTTCAGGTGTTTTTGTTAGCTACGTTAATGTTGATTTTATTCGCAAATGATAATAAACTAGTAGAACTAGTCAATCAAAGTTCCAGCATATTTTGGTCGAATGAATGCAGTTATTGGACTATGTCATTTTTGCGAAGCCCATGGCCCTCGACCACTTTTTTGCACATTTACAACAGATGATGAGAATCACACGAAAGAATCCTCAAAACAAGCAGTGAAATGCACGGGCTGCACCTCCCTTGGTCCAGAGACGATACTCGTGTCAAAGGATGATGATGGAACATTTTTTTGCAGTAGAGAATCAGTGTTAAATGCTGATGTTACAGCTTTTTTGCGCCAGGCTGCTATAAGAAGTATTACTTGTGAAGTGCGTCTTTACTTTTCATATCAATCATTCAATGGTACTAGTAGCCTAAGTTAAAGCTGATTTTACTTTTAGGTTAGTTGGAGTAAAGAAGGTGGAGTTGTATACTTCAGTGACACTCAAGGACATGTGCTAAGCTTGAATTTCCAGATAAAAGATACAAGGGCACGTGGCTTGAAGCGCTGGTTCTCTGTCGTAGTACTCATGAAAGACAAAATGTTATTACATAATATAACTCCAGTTCTATCAGAACATATGCAGGTTCTTTTGTGTGGCTAATTGAATTCTTACTTACCATAACATCAAATCTGTTGCCTGTTTTTCAGTAATTTTTATGTTTTAGAAAATAGCAAAAGAGCTGCAGGAATTAGCTGAAATAGTATTTGATAATGAACAAAAAGTTTGCACACAAAGAGCACTAAGACTCCGAACTGGACGAAACGATTTTGGACAATCAAGATCACTGAAACAACTGACAGGTATCCTTTGCTCTATAACTGAGTACGTAGTTAATTCACAGCATTTGATATATGAGATGTGTCCTATTAATTGTTAATCAGTAAATTAAGTAACCCAAAAACAAGTTGTTAGGGATGTCACATGATAAAAGCATAAGTGCTAGTATTACATTGAACTTTATGTTTCCAGGTGATGAAGATGTTTTTATAAGGTTACATTCTCATTTCTCATGGATGCTTAAAGCAGGAGGGCTAACATATTCGGAAACTCTCCACACAAGTCATGATATGCTCAAGAAACTTAATCCTGAAACCACCAAGAATTCCATTTTCAGTGCCAATGCCTGTAATGTGCCAAGTGATGATGAATGTATACCCTTAAGGTTTTTGGAAAACATGTTATCTAAATCTGTATTTCAGATATTATTATATTGCACACTTACAAGAATAAATGTGAGTTGAAATTTATCTATAATTCATTGAATTAATCTTTTACTAACAGTATATTTTTTTTTACAGATTATTGTGAGGTCAGATTGTGACCAAGCAGATAATATTGTAAAAGCAATAAACAGGTTAACACCTATGAATTTAAATAGTCCAAATGTTACAGTTTGTAGTGATAATGAGCAGCTCACACCTACTGATAACATTTGTATAGTGGAAGGTGCAGAGAATAATTACAGCTGCATATGGACTGGAGTCCTACCAAGTAAATGTAAGATACACTTTATTTAAGCCCTCCTTGTAAACATTATTATCTTCAATTCATCCAATGATTTTATGCACATTCTCAAAGGAAAATCATATTTTTTTACATTCTTAATAAAATGTGTTTGTATATACATATTTCAGGTCCTACTTTAATGACCCGAATAGAAAATGCTATAAATAATTCAAAATTCAATGATACAGTCCTCCACCAACATGTAAAATCATTACTACTGGAATGGTTGGGGTGAGTGATGTTTGTAGTTAAGACTCAGAGGTACCCTTGCCTACTTAAATTATGTAACTTAAGTCTTATCATGAAACCTTTCCATTTGTCATTAGAAAAATTGATATTCACATACTAAAGTTTTATATTGAGATGTTAAAATGAAATTTACATGTGCATGGGTGGTACTGATAATTACCATGTTACTATCTTCCCTCTGGAAATAGTTGCACTCACAGCTATTCTCACAACCACCATAAAGTGTGCATCTCATTTTAAACCAAAGTATTTTCAAGAGTCGCAATGGGAGGTATCGTGTTAAGATTTGGGGTTCTCAATAGTCAATATCTCTCCGATTAACTACAGTAGGTACCCAATTAATTTACCCTGTTCTAATAAAAGCATCAATTTCATTAATGTTTCTTGAAGAACACCGAAGGTGGTGTGATATAAAAATACCCAGTCTCACACTTGCATCACCACATAATTAAAACCAATGTTTTGAAATAACAATCAAATATATTGCATTGTGGGGTAACGTACCATACATCATTATAGCTCTTATTCTCAGATAAGGATTTATAGGAATCTATGGTAACACTTATCATATTGTTATTAAAAGACATGATTTGACTTTCTATATTTTTTTTTGTGTACTAGCTTTCTTGCTAATAAATTTATATCTGGGGCCTATTTCATAAAAGAGTGGTTAATACTGTGATTTTTACAACAGTAAATTACGCAATTACTGTAGTAGAGTTATTATGAAAGTAAAATATTTCTTAACAGGTTTCTTGAATTTACTGTAGTAATTTTTTATGATATAGGGCCCAGGCCTAAATATCTATTTTTTGTTTAGGATAGTGAAAGCGGTAAAATCAGCAATAGATGCTTCGGGACCTACTTCAGATGCAGTGGTGAACCTAAAAAAAGTATTTGGTGTTACACCCCAAGATGATGTATTAGTAAAAAGCTGGGTCAGAGCTTTTTGCACATAATGTTTCATAGTAGGTAGATAAGTAATAAATCTGTGATATGCTAATGAATGTTTTGTCATTCTTTAACAATTTGGTGTGTCTGTTGTCTCCCCTGATGTCCCCCCAGGGTTGGGAAGACATCAAGACTTGCTTTTAACAGAGACAACACTTTCAACATCAGTTATGATTTTATCCTTGTGATAAAATTTCCTGGTACCTTGTAAGCTAAGGCGCTTAGCAGACGACGGGGCGGGGCGGGCTTTTTGTCCGCGAAGCAATAAAGACCGCGTCTGCCCGTCGATGTCTGCGGCTGCCCGCGCCGCGTACACAAAGCACACGACGGGCAGAGGCAGTCAGTTCAGGACGTTCGTTCTAGTGAATAGTCCATCACTAATAACCCTGTCTGCGCGTCGCGCTTCGCGCTCTTGCATTGCGCAGCCGGGTAAAAAGTGCGTGGCGCGGAGTGAGCTAGCCGCCCCGCGCCGCCGTCTGCGTTACTGCATATAAACTGGTTTGTATGATCCACGGCGGGCAGCCGCGGACATGCCTTGCCGCCACTGCCCGCCGGGCACCTGCGGCGCGGTCTTTTTGCCCTCTGTGCGTTTGAAGTATAGGATTCACTTTGTGCTATTATTCGCAGCGAAATTGACCGGCCCGCCCCGCCCTGTCTGCAAAGCGCCTAAGTGTTTGGATTTAGATAAGTACTATTTCTGAAAACCAAAAGAACTTTTCCCACCGTACCATTCCATTCTAACCATACTTGTAACACCTTTGTTTTCAACAAGAAGTTATACTTCTTTAGCATCATTAAAAATATTTTTTAATTGCATGCAAATAATTAATAATTACAATAAAATAATAAAAGGACTGGAAAAGGATAGTTAACACAGTCAATTAAGTTCAGTTTTAATTTGAAAAATTAAATAAATATTCAATTAAAATTACTACTGAATTTAAGTTATTAGTCCATATGTAATTAGCACTTGTAAGTAACTAAAACACGTTGTGTCTATATAGAAACTAGAAACATGTGGATAAATATTATAAATATGAAAACAGTGATCAGAGGCGACGCGCGTGCCAACATTGTCTTTGACAACGCGATCATCTTATGGAGTGGATCGTTCAAAGTACCTTTCGAACAGATTTCGACAGACAGACAGACCACTTAGTGGTTAATAATCCACCATTATTAGACACCAACATTCATAACGCGACCGCGGCCAACTTCATGGTGTTACTAATTGTGTTACAGTGATGCGCGCGCATCTCGAAATTTCACTCACATGATTTTTTCATAACGCGCCCGCGGCCAATTTCATGCTGTTACTTTTGGGTTACAGTGATGCGCGCGCGCATCTAAAAATTTCACTCTCATCATTTTTTCATAACGCGCCTAAAGAAGTATAACTTCAAAAATACAACAAAATATTAACCAGAATATTACTATTGCTTGCTTGCAGTCTATAACTCTTTATTAATTCAAAGTTGGTTATTTATCCTAATAGATTGATACAACACCACCAACAACCTTTTAGATAACTTTTATTAAAAAATAATGACTATTCTATCTGAATCAGAAAAATCCAAAACATTCAGGTTTGATTACTGCTTAAAAAAACCAAGCATTTACTGCCTGTCCTACCTAAAAGATGATATAGTTATTATAGACGATATTGAAATAAAAGCCAGGCGTTTACAATTGTAGTTCTTATATTAAGATTACACATTGGAGCGGCGGCTAGGTCTGGCGCGCTCGTGGCCCTTTGACCTCACGTAGGGCTTCGTGTGTGAACGAGGCGCTCCCGGGGCAGGGCCGAAGTGGCGCACCGCCTCGCGTGCATTACGGCGACCCTGCACCAACACTGTCTTGCGGCCGGTGGGGGCACGGAGAGCGAGCTGATCGAAGGTCAAGATCTCACCTGCAAATAATCAAATTTAAAGTTAAAAATGTGACTTCCTCTTAGTCCATTACTTTAAACAGAACATAATGGACAAAATATCATTAGCCTATTAGTATTACTGCTGAGATCCTAACTTTTTTATGAATTGAATGGACCATAACCATTTTTTATAATTTTATTGACCAAAATTACACATCATCATCACCAGCCTATAATGTTCTCAAAAACCATCTCTATGGATGGTATAGGAAATTGGGCAATGACCCACAATTTGAGCCCAGTATCCATTGGTTGTTGCTAATGACTGCAGATGCAGCCAGGACAATCTGCTTAATGTGCCTTACAGAGCTAGATAGTAAGTAGTAAATTTTTGATCACCCATCCAAAGACAGACTACTGACGATGCTTAACTTCAATGATTGCAACTGAATGCACTAACTTCTTGCACTATCAAGCTTTTCAAACCTCCTTCCTCTTGTAAATTGTAAACATAATAGCATTCTCTCCCAGTCAATCTTTGGAAAAAATGAAGGACACAAACTATGACATGAGCAATGGCCACTGGAAATGAGTTCGATACAAAACTTCTTTTTATAGGATTTATCTAAATTCTTATTATTTATAATTGTAGTACCTAATAAAACCTATTGTGGTTTACATATTTTGTGAAATTTTTACAACAATTACAATTCCCCTGAAACAGTATTGGCAGACAAGAGCAATAGTGGACTCTGCCATCAAACATACTAATGGCACTCTAAAAATATGAAACAATATGTAAATTAAATATTGTTAAGCATATTATGAAAGCCATACAATGAATATCAGAGGTATAGAAACAACACAAAAGTGAAATCCTGTTACTTCAGTTTTGACACATTTGCATATTTGTTGTACACAGCTTTAAGAACTGTTTTTAACCTTAGTGGCAAATTCCCACAAGAAAACGCTTCATAAATAGTGAAGAAACGAAGACAGTTCAGACACAGCAATTTAAGGATAAGAGTACATACATACAACACTTGCTTCCAACCAAATGATAGTTGTTGCTTGTCTAAGGTTATGAAAACATTATAAATAATGACCTATTCATTACCACAAAAAAATCCCATTTTTCCCTGTACACACTCTCTTTGGAATACTGACCAATTGGTGCTTATGCCATACGGACTAAAGGTTGTGTTAACACATCTATATTATTATTCTATTTACATGAGGACCAAAACACTAAAAGTAGACAAGAATTTTGCTGATACAATGCTATAATTGTACATAACTCAACATTGTTTTATAAACTAATAAGTCAGTGCTCCAATTTCCAACAAAGTTATGCAAAAGTATCCGAGATGGGATAATAACAAACCTCCAGCAGCCAAGATGCGTGCGCGCGCTTTCTCTGTTACGTGAAGAGCAGCAACAGTCATCTTAGGCACTGTGTATAGCCTGACATCATTGGTCACCGTTCCAACGACCACAGCAATCAGGCCCTCGCGTGTGGGCTTCTTCATGTGACGCGCGAGCCGAGACAGCGAGATTGGGGGACGGTTGATGCGGCTCATAAACAGGCGCCGCAAGATGATCTGGTTGAATTTGGCATTTGTACGCCTGGCCAAGTATCTGTACAACTGACAACGACGAGTTGTAGGTTAGAATCCACGCACTTGTCAAAACATATTTGGTAATGTATCTTATGAATGAATGTAAATATGAACTGAGAAGAATTTAAATGAGTAAAACTCACCTTTACAAGTAGTCTCAGGTATACATCCTGAGATTTCACTTCGGTACGCCTAACTTTCCTATCGTGTTTATGATTGATGTCGATACCCTGAAATAAACAAAATAACACATTCTGTATCGAATCTGCAGTTTGGAAAACATTTTACACTTCACAACACTTTGAATTTACACTGATTTTAATGGATTATTTCAATTTATGTTTCCGAAAACTCACCATCTTGACAACCGGAAGAAAAAGAGACTATAGAGAAAAACAATTCTTGACAATTGCCATAATGTTGCCAGCTCAGAAGTTTGAAAACTTAGAGCACAGATTAGAGATAAACATAGTGGGACCCTGGGCATGATTCTGGCATGATTTTCTAAACTATGGAGGTTAGAGAAGGAGAACGTACGTTGTAAAAAATAGTGTCCCAGAAATATGGACAAAATAAATGAGGCACTGCGATCGCTAAGTTGTCTCAATAAAAGCGGGCTGTTGTGCGCGAATTTGAAATTTGTACATTATTCAACTAACTTCATCTACTTGTACTCATAAACAGCTAACTTCACAGATACTACTTACCGACGGCAGCGTGGCTGGTGGCATAAATGAACTATAAATTCTACAAATCAACACCTAAATATCATTAAAAAGTTGACAACAAGGAGAGTCTGTAATTTTTAAGTTCAGGGAATCATGACGGGATTATGCTCTCTCTCTACGGTTCAATGCAATGCAATCAGTTTCTGATATTAAAGGATTAATAAAGAATTTTGATAAAATAATACCAATTAAGATGGCTTTAAACGGATACTTTAAGCCTTAGTAATAGCACACACGGAACCGTTTTTCCTCACATGGCTAACTTGTTTTCTCTATTTATTTATAGGTTTTTATTAACTAAATGCTGATTGTATCACACATACAGTTTTTAAATATTAGCAGAGTACACCAACAAACCATTGACATAGAAGTATAAGGACTTGCCCTATTGATCTATATCAACTTTTGGTTATACAAATAACATGCATTCTGAAGTCGCTGTACAAAACATAACGTTGTTGCTTTCCAGCTTATAAGATTTTACGTTAGTGGAAAGAAATAGCACTAGTTTCGTCACTACTCAATTTTCCAATCTTGTGAAAAAATAAAACTTGTCAAAAATTCACCCCATGGAATCAACATATGAAACACCTGCACGTTAGAGATTGACCAATCTACCAATGGAGTTTGATAGTTAGATGCTATAAAAACGTGATATAACATAAATTGCGGTGCTCATGCTACGGGGACCTATAGAAAGATTCTCAGTGATTGATCTAGTCTTAAGCATAGTTAGAAAGGAATGCCACTATATATCACATAGCGATATCCCTTTCTAACTGTACTCAAGTAAAGATCAACATTCTATCATACGGGCCAATCCCTGTAGCATGAGCACCTCAATTTACGTTGTATCACGTTTTTTATCGCGTCTAACTGTCAAACTGCATAGTAATTTGTCACTTGAGCGTGATTAAAACGAGAAATATATCATATCGCGGTGCTCATGCTAGCCGGGCTGAATCTGTTAATATCGGCAAGGGCGTGATAATAAGGAACTTTCAAAATCTTTTTATTTATTCTTTTTTTTATATATTGCTTTGCTGTCTTGTTAGCTTTTTTGTGGCATTAATATTTCCGTTCGTTAAAACGTAGCGGCACTACATAGCATTGGCTAACTAAAACTAATAATGATATCGCTAAATTAATTGCATGGTAGTTATTTAAATAAATGCAAAAAGAATGTATCTATGCGGGTATTATTTATGACATAAAATCATTCAAATCACGGCAAAAACAAATGAAAATAATGTCGTTAAATCCGTCATCGCGACAGATAAACAACTTTCGACCGCCGTTTTTTCGAAAGGCATGGAATTTAATACGAAACACCGAAAATTATCAAAAACTAAAAATTCTGCCCGTACTCCTACATCCGCGAAACCTCGGTTAACTAAAAAGAAGACTGTAGTTCGAAAACGAAAATGCGTGTGTCTGCCTGAAAATTATTCGGTAGTTGAGTTTCCGTCGATATGGAATGAATTGCGACAAAACGGCCAACTTTGTGATGGTACGATCGTATGTCGGGATATGAAATCTATTCGAGTGCATCGGGCTATATTATCAGCTGTTAGTCCATATTTCAAAGCAATTTTTATAAATTCTTTGAAGAAAGGAGAGCCTGAGGAAAAGCAGATTTTTGTTGATGTTCCAAGTTACTACATGAATCTGATTCTTGATTACGCTTACACCGGGACGTGCATAGTAACTGCTGAAAATGTGGAATATCTGCTGCCCTATGCTGACCAATTCGATGTGGTAGGAGTGATACAACTGTGCTGTCAATATTTGTTGCAAGAATTGAGACCACACAATTGTCTTGGAATATTTAAGTTTGCAAGGTATTATTTCTGTGGAGAGTTGGAAAAGAAAGGAAAATTATATATAAGACAAAATTTTAGTAAAATACTTAAGGAATGTAATGAATTTAAATCTCTTACCTATGAAGAATTAGAAGATATTCTAAGAGATGACGAATTGAATGTCAGAAATGAAGAAACAGTATTCCAAGCAGTTAAAACATGGGTAGAATATGACCTTGAAAACAGGAGGAGATTTATACCTTCATTATTATCTTGCGTACGATTTGGTCACGTCAGTTACAAATATTTTAAATCAAAAATACTTCAGTGGCAGCCTGTAGTCGACGATACGGTAAGGCTTACTTAGAGGCAACACAAATTAGGTAGGTAACTACCTACCTAATACTTTTTGGTTAGTTGCACTTATTAATTTTCCATTTTACAGAAAACTCAAGAAGCCTTATACCCAGCAGTCGTGTTTCATACTTTACTAGATTCAAGACCTGGGACTGAAGCTGATCTCAACGATCCGTTAGCTAGACCTCGGATACCATACGAAATACTATTTGCGGTAGGAGGATGGAGTGCCGGAAGTCCCACCAGTTTTGTTGAAACTTATGATACTAGGTGCGAAAGTTAATAATAGTAATTTACTCTACTCAGATAAGTTATATAAATATTTTCATTTGTAATCGTTTGGATAAATAATGTAAGATTTTTCTTATTAAAATCTTCTTAAAAATAAATTACAAGCATATTCATCAACTTCACTCTTTCTGATTCTGGTCCTTCGAGCCGGATGAATTTCAAAACACTGTTATGAAAACAGGAACTTATGCAACATATTCATGGCCAAGAGATGATACAGCTCAACACCCAAATAGACAAACACGCAAATTCCTGAATTTTTGAAATTTCATCAAGCTTAACTTCAATGAAATTTATCCAGGGCAGACCGGTGGTTCCTCTCCATTCACATGGATTTAACGCCTCGCGCCTACCACGGGTTGTGCACGCTTAACAACTTAATTTATATGATCGGAGGGTTTGACGGCAGCGATCACTTCAACACCGTGAGATGTTACGATCCCGTCGCTAACACGTGGCACGAAAGAGCGTGTATGTATCAAGCAAGGTGCTACGTTAGCGTTGTTGTCCATGGTAAGAAATCGTAAATATTCTTTGTATTTCAAAAAATGTCTACTTTTAATTTGTAGTTTGATCCGGAACCATGAAACAAATATGATTTTTGTTTATGGCAACACATCAGTTGCGGGAATATATATGGCAACGCGGGAAATTTAAATAGTTGACCTGTGTAGGTACATCAAAAAGACAGTGCTTTTATTAGAAAAAAATAGTTCTTCTCTACTCTAACAAAAGTTTAGAATTGAACCAGCATGCAGCGTCCTTCTTTCATTGCGATAAAATAACAAATTAATGCTTAATGTATTGTAGGACGAGGCAGTGTCTAGAGATCCAATTATTTTGATAAAATTGGGATCAAATCAAAACTACTTTTTAAAATAATGTGTTAATAAATAAACTATTTACCTAGTAGGTTTCGTCTTTCCTTTTTCTTTGTATAAGGGTATCAAACAAGCATAAGGCTAAAACACATTTTTTCCTCCGGCAGAAGGGTTGATCTACGCATTGGGTGGTTACAATGGTCGCACGCGCATGTCTTCTGTGGAGCGATATTACCCCAACAAAAACCAGTGGGAGATGACCACACCGATGAACAAGCCGCGATCAGACGCCAGCGCCGCCTCATTGGGGGGCAAAGTTAGTGTTTTAATAAATTATCGTCTTTACATTGTTGCTTATTTTATAGACTCAGAGTTGAATTTAAGGTAGGGCTGTGGCCCAGGGGCCTCCACAGCAGCTTAAGAAATAACAACATTACGATGGGTCAACACAACAGGATAAAAGATAACAAAATTTCGATGGGTTTACAAGCACAGAAATCCTAAATCCGGCCCTGTTTACTTATATACCCAAATGGGATTGCTGGCTTTTATTTAACATTGCCCTGGCATAAGTTCGGTTATCACTTTTTTACCCGACTGCGCAATGCAAGAGCGCGAAGCGCGACGCTCAGACAGGGTATAGTGTTAACAGTCTATAATTATAAATGTATGTTATGTATGTTCCTTTGTGGCACACTAGAGACCAAACGCTTGGACCGATTTTGATGATTCATACTTCAATCGATTCGTCTTAATCGTGGGAGTGCTACTAAAGATATGATAGTAATCGAAATTCAATATGAGGACAATTAGGCGCCATATTGTGAGATAAAAGAAAAAATTGGTTTCAAAATATGTCGAGTGGGGTATCACTGTCTAGAAAATTTAAGGTTCCTTACACATTTTTTTATTTTATATGACTGTTTAGAATCTACAACGATTTAAAATTGTACACTAAGAACTTGTGCTTTTAATTTTAATCTTACGTTTATAGTGACTGTTCTGTTCAGTAAGGAACAAAGTTACTTCAACAGTCGCGACCCATTATTCAAAAAAAAATATCCATTCTTGAATATCTAATGGGTCCCGAATGTTGAAGTAGCTTTGTTCCTTACTGAACAGAATTATAGACACTGGACTTGTTTTTTTATTTTCAGTTTTTATTTGAAGTAATAATTAAGCAGTCGGGTTTGTAGATTTTTTAAATTTCCTTTTTTTATTACGGCTTATATAATTTGCTACCGTACCGTGCGTGCCATTGTGATGAAATAGGTAGGTTTTCCTTTTTTTGATTTAATCTAAGTCTAAAACCAAATGACATGGTATACGTAGGTATGATGATTTCATGTTCCGTTCCCAGATCTACATAGTGGGTGGTTTCAACGGGCAAGAAGTGCTGGGTTCAGCGGAGGTATTTGACGCTGACACGAAGCAGTGGAGTTTTATCAGGTCAATGCTGAGTCCTCGATCCGGGGTCAGTCTCATCGCGTACAGGGACTGTTTGTACGCGCTCGGTGGCTTCAACGGATACAGCCGACTCAACACAGGTGCGTCAATGACTGTTATATAAATAAACGATGTTAGGTTTCCAGCATAAGTCTCATCGCGTACCGGGATTATTGTGTGTGTGTACACGTTTAGCGGCTTCAATGGATACAGCCAGGGTCATCATTGTTATATCATCATCAGCTTCTTAATTTCCCCACTGCAGGGGTACAAGCCTCTTCTATGAATAGAATTAAGAGATTGGGTCAAAACATAATCCAACAGGCGGGCTCTGGGTGGATTGTGGGTGCTAACGACTGCAGATGCAGCCCGGACCAACGGCTTAACGTGTTATTTGTTTCGCCACGGAGCAGCTCGAGATATTTAGGCCACCCATCCAATAACCGACCATTGCGATAGGCGCTTACCACTTGTGCTCCAGGACAGCGTCATGGCGTACAAGAACTGCTTGTACGCACGCGACGAGTTCAACGAATACAGCTGGTTAAATAGAAGTGTTTAAAGGATTATTGTTCATAGAAACTCCTATATATAAGATACCTACTATAGTTACGCCAAGCCAGGCGATGCTGGTTGGTTGTTGTGTGGCTAAAATAACCTCTTGGTTTTCTGTACATGACGCTGGAACCAGATCGTAATTCTATGTTTTCGCACTAAAATCCTATGTTGATTCTATGAAATTATAGTACAACGCGCACGGTCGACAGTACGCTCGCCGCCGATTTCAACTTTGAATGATATTTAGAGAATAAATAGGGTACGTGTACAACTGAATTCCCATTATAATAGCGGTTGCTGTAGAAATTAAGTAACGGTGATGTAGATGATGAACAGCTAGATGGCGCAGGTGGATAGCGCGTACGGCCTGCGATCGTGGAAGCTAAGAAACTTTCGCAATAGTCAATCTTTGAATGGGTGACCAAAACTTATAATCCCCAGCTCCTCCGTGCTTTAGAAGTCACATTAAGACGATGGTCGTCAGCTTAGCTCTCACCTTTCCGGACTGGGCTCGCGTTGTGGGTGACGGCCCAGTCTCCCTATTCCATACATAGGTAAGACCTGTGTCGCAGCACTGAGTACATTAATAGGCTGGTGATGATGTAATGACGATGCAGATGAGGAGTAATATAATCATTTCGTATATAGGTGAAAAATTCAATCCGCATCGCGGTGGAGAATGGCAAGAGGTAACGGAAATGTTCAGCGCCCGGAGTAACTTCGCCACAGTGCTTCTGGATGATATGATATTCGTGATTGGAGGATTCAATGGTAGATACCTAATTTATATTTTACTGTTTTTTATATGTTCTCTTGTTTTTAGTGGGGAGAGATTTAGGAATGTTTATTAAATCCATAATTTCATATTTTATTACTAAGTTATCTTGTTGATTTTCGCTGCCACATAGTTTAATCATCAATAGAACATCCTGTTTGCAGTGTTGTTTAGACATCGGGATATCATATCCTGAATTCGCTACCCGCTAAAGTCAAATGTAGGCATTCGGTGGTTATACTCAGTTAAATCAATAACTTTGTAGTTGCAGCAATGCTAGTTGATATTTACCTGTTACCTAATTTCTCAGGGTCCACCACAATACCTCACGTGGAATGCTACGATGGCGACACCCTAGAATGGTATGACGCTGCGCCGATGAACCTCAACCGTTCAGCTTTGAGTGCGTGCGTACTATCAGGATTACCAAACGCGCGCTCATTCTCATATCTCGCTAAAGCGGTGCCGGCCGCTGGGGCTGACCAAGCACACCATTCATAAAACAAACAACTAACCCTCCCACACAATAAAGCAAAAGAAGTCACCGATCTACCATTTTGGGCTATATTCCCTTGAGCTCGTTGGAAGAAATTTGTTGTATTACCTTAAAATTGTCGAGATCTGGCGCAAGCAATTTTATTGCCTAGAGTGGTAGAGCATTATCATCTTCAACAGTGACGTATACAAACCACTTGCTCGTTACCATCTTAGATCCTTCGCTATCACCTGCTGGCGTTGTTACTTTATCAAATGGTTTTACTTATAACGACTACTTACTCATTGCTAATCTTGTATATAAAATTAAGGCCTGCTATGTTGCAACTTGCGGAGTAACATCTAAAAATATTAATGAAATTTTGTTAGAATGTGTTCTTATAAATTTTCTACTGAATAGTGTGATGAGGTTCCGTAAGCGAATTCGAAGAAAATTTTAAAACTTTGAATTTTTCTCAGTCTATTTCATTGATTAAAAAATATGTTCCAGGATCTAGTTATTAGTCCCAGATAGATCTATACGCACATTACAAGCGAGGCAAATCCTCTACCTATATGGCAATTGTCCCATGGGCGAAATATCTGTGATATTTTCTTTGTAAATAGTTTGTTTAAATCTATTTTTATGTATCGTACTTAAATCATGATTATTATAATGTACAGATCTCGTTAATCACTGATCATTTGTACCTTCATTTTATTTTGTAGCGTGGCGTTTGTGCCACAGTGAGAGCACATTGAATTATATTAGATTATATCGATCATTTTGAAGCGAAGGATTTGTAAATTTTCAAGTCTTTTTTTATTTGTATAGTGGAGTTTGTGACAAATTTATTTTGGTACTTTTGTGTATAGTTCGCGACCGATGCAAATCAGCGGCCGCGTTTTGGATGTTATGTACGATGATAAATATGTTGCGGTATTCCCCTAACAACCGTGACGTTGTTGCATCTGTGATATTTTCAATTATTAATATTAATGTGGATAAAAATTACAAAAAATGTAAAATAGAATTTTTGAAGAAAAATTTACTGTACCTCATTGAAAGATTGATAAATTCACAAATAAAGAAAAACAACCAATTCTAAACATTGTATTTTAATTTCGAATAGTTATAATATAAACCGGCTAAGGTTAAATTGACTTTATAGTTGCTAGACCAATAGGGAAGATGCAGATATAATATTTATAAAAAAATTATGATTAAAATGTTAAAAAAATATAAAAGAGGTCACTGCAATGTTTTTATTTTACATAATATTGTTTTTTAACAATAATTACGAATTAAAAATGACTTGAAAAAAACGTATTTTAAAAACCAATCAGCGTTTAGTGACGTCACTCCTGTTATGACAAGTTATTTGAGGTTATTGGTTGTAAAAGTGAATATTATTTTATGGGAATATTAATTGCGTTTTTTAGAAGTTGCGTTTATCAAAGCAGACTCCAGGAATTTACCAAGAGTAAGTGTTGACATGGTTGTAACTTTTTTTGTCCAAAGTGCAGTGTTTTCAAGTGTAGTATTGAAAGGGACTAAATTACTACGGTATGTATAAATCATAGTTGTTAAACTTTGTATTTTATTCAGCGGCTTCTACACATAGCAGTTATTTCAGCTCAACAAGAGAATCGTAAGGTAAGTATTAGGTAGGTTACTAACGCGTTTTTACGTACAAGCAGATTAATTAAGCATGTAACAAGTATATTCGCCGACTTACGTCAAAGTGATCTTCATATCATCGAATAATGGTCTTTGGAGAATAATTGTCATTTCTTTTCGCAGCTTGAAACCACTTTTTTCTGAGTTTTGGATCAATTAAATTAATTCAATCAAAAGTCAAAAACAATTTATTTGGAAACTTTGTTGAAGTAGATGGACACATTGGCACAAAACATGAGTCAACACGGCTTTTTTCGGAATATTAGTGGTATTGTTATGATCACCTGATGTTGATGGATAGTCCATTTCAAATTTTTACAAAAAAATATCTCGAAAGTCGAAAAAATATGCAAAAGTATGAAAATTTAAAGCCAGCGACGAACAAGTACGACCAGTGACAGACAGGAGTGACGTCATCGGAACCATAGGTCCGTTTTCGCGCGAAAATTTAAACTGTCAATTTAAAACCGCATTCTTACCGATAAATTACAATATTTTAATTTTTTAATATATCTGTGGTTTATTCTACAATTCTTTAAAATGAAAACAAAAGAAAAATATTGCATCTTCCCTATTGATCCGATCGTCGGCATCGTTGACGTCAATCTTCTGGTATTGATCGATGGATACCGTTCGCATGACTAATCGATCGATCAACGTGGACTGATCTATTCTATCATCGGTCGATTGGTAATACTCTTGGTCCTGAGTGTATTAGACGTCCTGACTGAGGCCAAACGATTGCTTTCTTCTCAAAACTGTAAGAGCAACCGCACAAGTAGCGGTCACTATACGCGACGACTAGTGGCTCAGTCAAACCACTACCCGCAGCCAGCAATCGCGACCGTTAGTGGCTTTGTGGATTAGTGGTGCAAGGGCGGATCCAGCGTTGGCGCCAGATGGGGGTGATACAGTCGTGGTCAAGTCACAGTGGGTACAGATTGCGATGTACAGATTATGAAGTGGATACCCCCCCCCCCCCTGGATCCGCCCTTGTAGTGGTGTCCAGTAGTTGCCGCCACGAATTCTGTTCATTACTCGGAAATGAAGTGCTTCAGTATATGGAGCAAATCCCATGCGTTCCCGTCCGTCATCATACCAAACCGACACACCGCACCGGTGTGATAGTAGGAAAAAAATCCCGACCGTCTTTTTAGTTATTCGATACTGCAGATGAGAAAGCAATTGGAACCCGTCAACTGCCAGTACTGTGTCACGGTAATATTATCTATTATTATTATATTCTTTCATCATACAAACGGTCGGAAAGCGTGTCATGCCTACGCCACTCGAGTTCGCGCGGCACCCGGTGGGCATCCAGTCGCGAATGCGTCGCAGCGACGACCGAACCACGATTACCGAGTCCGAACGGTGTGAGTTAGCCGTGCTTAACGTATGGTGAATACTTGATTGAATTCAGTAGATACCTACATATTTTAATATGGCAAAGAGCAATAGTCGATATTGTGCTGGTTTTGATTGCTTGAACTCTTCAATAATTGAACTGTTTATACGAATGCGTATTTATACTATTAAATATAATAATAAAGCTTTTCGTACGTCTCAGTCGAGGCGTAAATATTTTTCTGTCTCAAATCTATATTTTTTTTTATTAAATATTACACTTAGAATAACATGAATTTTATGTAACACTTCCTAATTCATTCACAACATTTTTTTTTTACTTAAGGAATAAAATATTTACAATCACAAAACTAGAAAGAAACTCAATTATGTACTTAGATGAAATTAAAATACTGTAGGCGGCAGTTATTTCAATGACAGGGCCGAGTGACAATTTTACCGTGCTTTAGTTCTACAGATTTTCTCATAATTCATTTTTACGTGCAATAATTACCGAGCATAGCTTTCAGATTCCAATACTTGCTGTTTTGAGCCATTATTGAGCCCTTCTTATGAATAGAGTCCACCTATGTATCATTTTTATTTCCTTATTGTACCTACCTGTTTCATACATACCGTACAAAGGTATAAAAAAACACGAGGTAAGTATATTCCACTTTGTTTGAGTGTTTGGATGCACAAAGTGTAATTTTTAAATGAAAGGGTACCTTTCACGTAAGGGCTTAGACTTTCACGTAAGTTTGCACAGATTTTCAAAGTTGCAGTGGACAGTCGTCATGCAAACCACACCAAATATCGTTATATACTCTGCATGTGTGTACTTATCTACTTACCTATGTATGAACATTCAATAGCCACTACGTTACGTACCGGCTTGAATCAACGTGCACACGACAGCGAGAGTGCGTATATTTACTACCGAAGGGGATACAGGGGTGAGACCGGGAGAACCCCACCCCCGCGCCATTCCGACGCGATCGAACCGCTAGTCACCCACACCGCTACTAGCGTATACACCGGGCGCAGTGCACAGTGATCCGACAGCCGTGTATGGGCGCGGCGGAGTTTCAATAAGCACAAAATGGAACTGAAAGGAAAAGTAGCGCTCATCACCGGTGCCGCAGCAGGCATCGGGCTCGCCTACTCCGAGGAATTGCTCAAACAAGGCGCAAAGGTAAGTCCGCAACAATCGATGAACGTCCGAGCACACCGTGCCGCTATGTTTAAAATACAAAGTAATATCTAAGTTCAAGGTAAAACGAACATTGAATGAACCGTGCTGGAAATGAGCCAGAAGATATTATGTTTTGGGGAGTTGTGATATATTGTCCACTGCACCGATACCACTTGACTTCGACTTAACATTTTGGTATTGATTTTTGCCGGCGCCCGGCACAGAGGTAATTTGAGTGATTGTTTTCCGTGTAGTGGGTGCTGCGATTCCTTGTAATTTGATCAGTCTGCTGCATTTACTTTTGAACTAATTACTTTTATTGACTTCGATTAATTGAAGTAATAATTACGATCGAATGAGTATCACCATTATTAGTAGACATAGGCTGTTTTCTACTAGTTTTTTTTAACTAAGTTTTAATCTAGATATAGGTATATTTATTTTTTAAGCATTTAACTGATAGAAGTTTAAATCTAAAGAAAAGTTCATCCGCCTGGATAGCCGAGGGTGCGGGTTCGAATCCCGTCAGCTGCCTGGCCGCATAGATTTATTCCAGGGAAATTTATTTAAGAACTTATCTTAAAAAAACAAAATACTTTTCCTCTCACTAGTGATTGATTGTCGTTGACAGGTTTCGCTATGCGACATCGATTCTGAGATCGGTGAGCAAGTGTCGGACGATTTGGGAGCCAAGTACGGCCGAAAGAACGTACTCTTCTGCCAGTGCGATGTTACCGACTACCCGCAGTATGAAGGTACGTATTTGTTTGAAGTATTAAAGTAAATGATGTATATCGCGCACTTGATAATACATAAAATTGCGTCTCCAAAAGGTTCTTCTTTCATTTAAGAATGGTTACTATATTATTAGATTTCTTTGGGCCTAATACAATAGACGTAGTTTTACTTTGTTAATTTGGATGAAAATTGTTGATTCGGCACTTCTAAATTTAAAAACAGTAGCTAAGGGTGTAACTTATTGTTCATCAATAATAAAATTGTGATGAAAGTTGACTTTTAAGTTTGGTGTTTCAATTGACGACACTGTATGAAACAAAACAGGGGGAGAAAAATAGCCCTTGCTTGCCGGTTCTTTTTAGTACAAGGTCTCTCGCTATAGATTTACGAACCGATGGAGCAGCGTTTGACTTTTACTAGAGCTTGTACAGCCTTGACTGAATAAATGAGTTTGAATAATTATGTTTGTTTCAACTAAAATAGTTAGCAAGAAAAATTACCCTCACCAGTAGGTTCCTAATTAGTATTTTATACCGACTTACATGTAAGAAACCTAATAATAACTCTTAGGTATATCGAATTTCTCGAGGGTTAACAAATTGAACCAAGCTTCGCGAGTCACAACATTATTTTTAATTAATGAATCACGGAACATGACATGGGTTAAACATAATTAATATTATTTTCAGAGGCTTTCGAGATGACTATGAAGGTATTCAACCGGCTTGACATCGTCATCAACAATGCAGGCGTCATGAATGACAGATTTTGGGAACTGGAAGTGGATGTTAATTTAGTAAGTGTAATTTTAAGAGTAGTAAGGGCATTTATAGGAAAGAAGTTTCACCTTGCAGAAGATTTGGGACACATTCGTCAGAAGGCTGTTTTTTTCTGTTAAAAAAGGAATTTTGATCAAGTTCCTCCTCTCATCAGAATAAATTATAGACTGGTTTTTTTCCGACAAATGCGGAAATCCTAGATTTATGATTTTGTTTTATGGCCCAGGGAAAACGGATAAATTTTAGAAGATCCATAGGCCAGATTGATGATGGAAATAGTATTTTTTATAAAATAATAATAAAAGAAAATAATTATTATACTCAGAACCTCTTAGTTATGTACTTTTTCAATATAACGATTTTATAAATAGAAAACTATAGTGAACATTTAAGTTAAAACAAATCATAATAAGCGCATATTCATCATTCCTCATATTTCTTCAGATTTATAAATTGAGCAAATAAATGCTTAAAGTTAAATATATATCTACCTACCTACGTGGGACACTCAGAAAGTTTTGAGAAACTAAAAAACTAACTTCTATGAAAGAAATATTTTTATTAAATCTTTCCAAAGAACTCTAGCTCTCTCCACTAGCCTCTATACAAAGTTTCATGCGTCTGAAACAATTTTCAAAACTTTTTTTTCCAGTCCTCCGCAGACACCTCTTCCACGGCCTTCTTAGTATTTTTTATAAAATAATAATAAAAGAAAATAATTATTATACTCAGAACCTCTTAGTCATATACTTTTTCAATATAACGATTTTATAAATAGAAAACTATAGTGAACATTTAAGTTAAAACAAATCATAATAAGCGCATATTCATCATTCCTCATATTTCTTCAGATTTATAAATTGAGCAAATAAATGCTTAAAGTTAAATATATATCTACCTACCTACGTGGGACACTCAGAAAGTTTTGAGAAACTAAAAAACTAACTTCTATGAAAGAAATATTTTTATTAAATCTTTCCAAAGAACTCTAGCTCTCTCCACTAGCCTCTATACAAAGTTTCATGCGTCTGAACCAATTTTCAAAACTTTTTTTTTCCAGTCCTCCGCAGACACCTCTTCCACGGCCTTCTTAAACGCTGCTAGCGCTTCTTCCTGCGATCCCTTTGAGCTGATTTTTTTATTTTAGGGAATAAAAAGAAGTCGCACGGAGCTAAATAAGGACTGTAAGGAGGGGATCCCAAAACTCTGACTGGTGTGGAGTCCAGGAAGTCCTTCGTTTTGATCGCAAAAAGGACGAATCCCGCGGAGCCCGGTGTTAGGTCGCTTGTTGCTCATTGCTGATAAAACTTCTGGCAGGCATTTTGTGCTTTTGGTCTCGAAGTGGAATTGAAATTAGGTACCCCGTCAAAGTGAAGAAACTAGCAATCAAAATTTTCCCCGCGCTCCTCGATCGCTTTACTTTTGTAGGCGTTGGTCCATTTTGAAACAGCCAAACTGTTGCTTTGTTTCTGGTTCGTATTCGTCACCTGTCACAATATCGTAAACGCGCCATGACGAGCCTGCATCAAAATTTTGTATCATATCACTGCACCAATCCACATGGGCCTGCTTCTAAGCTTCCTCGAGGTTGTGCGGCATCCAGCGGGAAACTATCCTCCTTACGCAAAGGTTATCATGCAAAATCTTGTGAACACTTCCTGAACCAATCTGCAAAGTATGCTGAATCTCTTCGTATGTAATTCGTCTGTTCGTCTGTCTGTTTCTTGAATTACATTTTTTACCGCCAGCAAACTTTCTTCGCTGACAGCCGTCGTAGGACGACCACTCCTGGAATGAACAAATTCCCCAAAGAAGACGACCGCGTTTGAACTCGGTACACCAGCGGTAGATGGTTGCTTTTGAAGGTCCTTTATCCATAAAAGCAGTTCGAAATCGATCAAATGACTCATCAGGTTTTAAGCCACATTTAAAATCGTAAAAAATCATAGAACGAAAATGTTCTCGATGCAGATCCATTTTTAGGTGAGAGAAGAAAAATGTAATTGATCTCGTAAAAATGCGGAGCGAAATTTGAAAATCGAACAGTGGTATTTTTACTTTTAAATAATAATCGAAGTTTTCAAAATAATTACAAGTGGCCAGTGTCTTATACAAAAAAACTTTTTTCCCAAATCTTTCTGAGGGCCTGGTATAATAAACTACATAAATAATAGATTAAGCTTATTGTTTTTTTAGATTTAAGTAACAAATAAATAGGTATTGTAAAAAAATCTAAGTTTTTCTGTCCAAAGAGGCATTCCTTTTTCAGCCTATTGGCCTATTGTGACCAAAAGGGAATTTGACGAATGTGTCTTAAATCTTACTGAAGCTCACCGTAAAATAACACTACCTTTTGGTGGTGTTGTGTTTCTGTCGGTAAGTAAGATTCCAGAGCTCTATGGGGTAGGGGATCGGGTCTAGGTAGGGCCTACCTACTACCTGGTAAGCAACGATGCGAGTGATATTTTTGTTATCGCAAGTGTTATAGGCTATGACTATGGTGGCCGCTTACCATCAGGCCATATGCTCGTTTGCAACCCTTTTAACATAAAAAAATACACTTTTGCATAAAGCGAAATGAGAAATCGCCTTTGGATTAACGTGGAAAAGCACAGCAGAGAATTAATTTTCGGTCACCCATCCTTTAGCCGGAAATGGCTGCCTGACCGTTCGCGCCAACCATTTTCATCATTTTGGAATAAAGGAAATCCGTTCCTATTCTGTGAATGAACACAGTGGCAGTCATGCATAGGAGCTATATTTATATCTAGCGTAACGAATTTAAGAACAAGGGGTGTCGCACACTCACTACTCATCCGACTAAAAATAGCAGAGATTCACAATATTCAGACTCAAACAAGATCAAAAATACATTTATCAGTCCTTCTATAACATATGCGGGCCAATAGTGCCGGCCGTGGACAAACAGGAAAATCTCTCTAGTGTTCACGGTACAACGATACTATATTGCCTTTAGCACCCTAAGTTACATGTATTCAGTTCACGTAACTGAATATGTAATATATAACACTAAGGTTTTATGAATTCTCAAATTTCGGCATCATAATTTTAATGTTAGTTGGTAGTCTTGCATTGGGGTTTAGAGCTCTTTTCTTTGTCACACCGCCAAGCTAGTAACCATATTCTAAGGCCTCTACCCTAGGACCGCCGCGCCGGTGGTCCGGTGCTGCCCATAGTCCTTAATATAAAATAATATAATCTATAAAATCAGTCTAAAATTGCAGTTCTTTTCTTTTGTTTACAGAGAGCCTGATAAACCTTATCATGATGTTAAGTTTGGGTAGAATCCAGAAACAAATTAAGTGTCATATCCGTCATCTTGACGTTCTTGAGCCAGTTAGTTACCCTTTCCTGTGGTGTTGCGGTCCTATATGAATGAATATAGCTGGAGTTGGCCAGCAATCCGCAGTTCCTCTTCCCTAACCCTGTGGGGTTATGGCCCTATTACTTTAAAACTGCAATGGAACTTGTCAATGCGTTGCCAAGCCAATCCATATCTATTATCTACCTCCAGATCTCCACCTGGAAACCATACTCATATTTATTTTATTATTCTATAAAAACATAAAACTACTAAAATGTACCGTTAAGTATTAATAAAAGATGTACAATGCAGGACACTCAGGGCCGAATTTAGAGGTGTAGGGGCTCTTGGGGCAACGAAGGAGTGGAGGCTTCTAAATCTGGGTCGGACCACTAACGATTTGCAAAATAAAAATTCTTTCTCTCTTAAAAATATTAATATAGTAATATTTTCGATATTTAATTACATTTAATGTTAAATTCAACACGGACAATTAGGGCCGCGGTAGCATAATGGTCAGTACATCCGCGCAGATAGTGGCGGGTGCGAGTTTGAGTCCCATCTGCTGCCTGATAATTATTATTATTTTCTCTAGAATGGCGTGATCCGAGGCACCCTGCTAGCGTATCGGTTCATGGGCAAGGACCGCGGCGGTCAAGGCGGCACCATCGTCAACACGGCGTCCACTGCGTTCGCGCGCCCGCAGGTCTCGACACCCATATACACTGCCACTAACTATGCGGTCGTCGGCTTGACAAGGGCGTACGGGGTGAGTTACCTTTACCAGAGCCTCGAATCGAAGATAGTAACCACACACAGCCATCGTTCTGTCCATTTTCTACTATGAGTGGTGAAGAATCGAACTTCCACATCATACCTTATCATTCTCTTACAGGTGCAACTAATGAAATTACGATGAGGATCAGGATAGTGATCTAATAAGACTTTTAATTAATACCATTTTTAAATTATCGAAATCTGTTCATTCGTTGCGATTTTAAAACTAATTTTATGGTAGCCAATATTCACCGGCGGCGGCCGAAACGTGTGACGTCACAGAGCTCGATCGTGGTTGATTCCGGTCGAATTCAGTAGTGTTGCTACGCGCGCTAGAGCTCTGTGACGTCACAGCCACCATGCGGCCAGCCGAAAATTCGTTTAATAATTTGGTCATAACTTCGTCAATATTTGTCGTAGAATAAAAATTTATCCACAGTATTTTATGGAATCCTTAGTTCTATAAATCTGCATTGTCAACTAAAATCGTTACGGATCCTCATTATAGAAGAGAGCTTAAATAAACTAAAATAATTTTTCGTACATTTCGGAACAAGACGTAACCCATACCAAAAAGAAGAGAACACATTAAAAATAAGAGAACAAATAAATACGCGATTTGAGGTCTTTACGGGAAGGGTGTGGGGGTTTACCTTTCAAGGCGGAAACGGTTAAAAATCGCGATTCTCGGGAAAAGTACAATATCTATCGAAAATTTCTAATGGCAAATTATAGGTAAACAAAAGATCTTACAACGTTACAATTTTTGTATTTGCACTTTTTTCACATAACTTACAAATATCTGGTTTTTTATTTTTATCTCCCACAAAAAAACTTTTCTTCTCACGTGGTGAAAACTTACCTTCCTAAGTCCCAAACACGGTCAAAGGTTTTTGATATAAAATATTTCTTTTTTTCAATTAAGTAGGTATATTAATATTATTCTGTTAAAAGAACTTATTTACAATCAAAAAATCTCCCGTCAAAAAGTTGATTTTCATATAACTTTGGTGCGTTTTTTGTTCTTGGAACCTCCTTCTGATGGTATACCAAATACATACATTAAAAGGCTTTTTTTTCCAAAAATGCAAATGCGTAGACATGACTCGTATCTACTATTAAACTACTTGACCGTCACTGAAAGCTTTATATTGAGATAGCACTTCCGTTTCCCGTCGAATTACCATCAGTTTCCGTACTTTTAATCACCTTATATCCGGTCCAGTGGCGACACCTGGCAGAAGCGCGGCCATTTTTGTTTTCCTAAGTTTTGACAGCGCCATATTAACTCATTGGCGTTCTGACTCCCGTCGAAGCAACACGCGCTCAATCTGAGCGATCGTTGTGAGATTTTAAAGGTTTTATTATTATTAAGTGATAAAACTGTAAGTAAAACTATTTTATTTAACGGCTTTTGCCGTTCGTGTTATTCCAAATAGGTACTTTACGTATTAAAAGTGAAGGAACCGTAAGTAAAATTATTATTCTTTTTGATAGTTTTTGCAGCCCTTGTGATAAGGGATATTTCAAACAAATATGTTAAATTGTGCAACACCTTTGTTTTAAAAATAATAATAAATAAGCCGTGAGTAAAACTGGACGGTGTTTCAAGGTGCGGTTTTGTTTAAAAAATTAAAGTACCTACATTAATAGTTATTTATTATACAAGAGTGGAAAGTTCCTTTTTAACCGCGTGCTCGATTTGGATGACCGAGCAAGCGAAGGATTCTAAAGTTGAATCACGAGCGCAGCGAGTGATTCTAAATTAGAATCCTGAGCGTCAGCGAGGGAAACAAACGAGCACAAGGTGAAAAATCTTTCCACTCGAGTGCAATACGTAACTTTTCATCCCACCTCAGCGAGGAAATGACAAAATGAAAAAGAAAACAATTTATAATGACAAAATATTTAAGCAATAAAACGTGAAAAACTAGAATGGCGCGAAGCACGCAAATAAAACAAAGAAACCAAGAAGGTTCCAAATTTAAATTTTTTCACAATTTAAAAAGTTCTAATCATAAATTTGGCACCATAGAGGTTACATTAAATAGGTTTAATGACGTTTTGAATTTACAATTATATTGAGTACTCATTATATGTGATGTTCTAAATTCAAATCTACTTTGCCGCTCAAGCGAATAAAATAGAATTTTCCAGCCAGATTTCGAAGCGCAAAATTACACTTTCCGAGGTGGTGGGATGAAAAGTAAATTTTGCAATACTTTACGACCGTCTTGGTCGTTTGTAATTAAAACTATTTTAAGAGTGTTTTCTCTTGGTACTCAATTAATGTTTCCGTATAAGCAAGTGTAAAAGTAAATTGGTAAATGTTTTACAAAATACTTAATTAAATTATTTTACAGTTTAGAGTGAAGGACATCGGTCAATATTGACATTTCAGCCGCCGACTGACTAGCATTAATGGCAAAAGCAGCAATATGTGTGGATCTAGTCATAATTGTTCTTCGAGCAGCTGCAGTAATAATTGTTTGAATTTGTCGTCTTCTGGTATAACGAAAGCGGCATCGCTGCCTTAAGAAAAGTAGCCCTTTTATTAAAAGATTGTTCGAGGGGTAAGTGAACTATGTACAATCTTAATAAGGTATTTGTAATGTCGATGTGCCGTTTTCTGAACATGGCCAGCTATCAATATCAAAAGACTTATGAATAAAAAGTTCTAAATTTTACTGACCAATACACGTTATAAATATACTCATGTGAGTCGTGTGACTAAACTAGGATAAAGGAAGGCTCTGTTCGAAAGACATTCAACGTTTATTTTAAATGATGTGCTGATGTAAATTGAAAATTATAATCATAGTCCAGGCTTTATCAAACTGGAAACAAACAATGAGGTAAAGAAGTTTGATGATAATTTATGATATATCACGTTCCTGACAATAATTTTCTTTCAGCAAACGCATATTTTAAAATAAAAATTAATCATTGCGGGAAGGCACCTGCTCAGTTAATTTTATTAACGAAAGTGATAAGATAACAGAATCGTTTCTGAGGTATTTTACAGCTAGTGAGGGCACAAAGCTAAAAAGAAAAAATTAAAGCACTGCTTAAGAAGTTAGTGATCTCTGTGATGAAGCACCACCATCCAATCACCACATAATGATTCAGAGCTTTTGAGGTTGTTTTTCTCGTATAAAGTTATACTTATAATTATATTTTGTCATGGATTTAAGTGATTGACATTTCATCAACCTAATGAGCAACTCACGCAGAAGCAAGTGATAGCTTAGCTCATAATAAGCTTCATCTCATGAAGCCCAAGTCGTGTCAGGACATGCCCTCCCATGGCGTACCTACACACGTACCGGTGGCAAATCACCCTCGCGGGGTGCATATTATATATATAATTTGTTTCCACTACGTGATATCTTATGAAATGCCTCTAATGTCTTGCCTACATATACGAGTACCGGTAACAAATCACCCTCGCGGGGTGCATATTATATACAATTTGTTTCCACTAGGTGGAACCTTATGAAATGCCTCTAATGCCTTGCCTACATATACGAGTACCGGTAGCAAACCACCCTCCCGGGGTACCTATTACCAAAACTCTAATGACCGCCCCTCGCGGGGGTATATTATGTATAATTTGCTTCCACCGCATGGAACTCTTTATGAATAAGGACATGCTTTCCATGGCTGGCCTACACATACAAGTATCGGTAACAAATCGTTGATGGAAGAATATCCTCATCAATCTTATAATCGCCCTTGTGGGGTCATATCACACATAATATATTATTTCCATTACGTGAAGCTCAATATATATTCTCCTTAGGACATGTTCGCTTATGGAGTTCGTACTATTATGTAAGCACCGGTAACATACGACACTCGAGTGGAGCAAATTATGCATAATTTAACATATTGTCTATTCGTTATTCATAATTTATTTTTATGACCATGGGGTCTGTAAAAGTACAAACGATTCGAAACATTAAAAATAAGTAATTTGAAAATATAATAAATGTCGCTTGACATAATTCATTACTTCCATCGTATGGAAATCTATACATCAACGCAACGCAACATAGCCGCTCATGGCTTGCGTACACACATAAGTATCGGTTATAAACTACCCTCTTAATAGACTAGAAAGATCGAAGATCGAATGTTGATGTACCCCGTTGTGAAGTGCAATAATGTACACTGGTTTTTAAGGTGTCGCATACTCAGAGGTCCGGTGGGGCAAATCATTGTATGATAAAAACGAGCATCGGTGTTGTTAACACATATTTATTCAAAATCATACTAATCTATGCATCATCATTATGCATTTCTATGCGTTAGCCCATAAAACAAGCCTTTCAATGCCTATTAAGAGGCTAGGCTAATTGTTGTGAAGTGTAGTCTCGATCACTACGGTTGTTCTACCGTAATATAGTTATCAAGGACGTGCTGTAATAATTTCAAAAGGAAAAGGAATGTCGAAACAATTAATGTTTGAAATATAGTGCAAGAGAATTGGTAAATTGGGAGCACCACAAATAATTCTTAAATAAATTTGGTGGTATAGCATGCCATTCAAAAGCTTGTTTATCTAAATCCAATATATATCAAACTCCAATCTCAAGTGCAGTACACTATAAAAATGTAAAGAATTCTAACTTTTCTGCAATTTAAGGACTATCTGCCAGATAGATAGATGATAACATATTTTCCCTTAAAAATAACAAAAGCAAACCAAATGCAAAAGCAAACATGCAATATTGGAAATGTCGTGTATGAGGTGTCTGAGATGGTCAACATGATCATTTTGATATATAAGTGGTGCTATGTACTGAAGAAAGATTGCACGATCTACCAAATTCTTGAAAGGTTTTGAAGATCATTGTATGCAATTATCCACTTTATGTTATTTTTAGTAAAAAATACTGAAAACTGTTCTTAATATTAAACTTACGCTTTCTCACCTTGCCACGACTGTCTGGAATAAATATACTTTAAACCCTACGCATAGTACATGCACACCTCAAGTAAGCTGTGTAAATCTTATAAATAACTTAATCTTTATTAAGTATTAACTAATACATATAAATGACCTTGATCTAAGAAATGAAAAAACAAAAGGAAAAATTATAATCAATTATAGATTCTAGGATGGCAAATGAATTTCATAAAATCTGGCCTAAACTTCGTAATAGCATAATTTATCACGGCAACCCTGCAACAATATAAAAACTATACCTGAGAATTTCGTTGTAAAAGAGTAAACTTCAGAAGTTGATCGGTTTCAACATTTTTGTCATTGTGTGGGGTTGTATCAACCACTCCCTACTTATAACAATAATTATGTATTCACTGCAATCGACCTTGCAATCACTTCCCGCCAATCTAATATGAAAGCTTGGGAAGTATAATTGAAGAACACGGCTCTACCACTTCACTTCAATCTCCACTCCAATCATATAGATATGCTAGCACTACGCTTTTCATCATATTCTACAAAGAACGACAGCTCTGTCTGTCTGTATCAGATGGCTCGAAAACGCTGGCTTGCGTGGTTGCATTGGTCTAGGAACAAGAATGTTTATCGGAATAATCCCGCAGGTTGTGGACTCGGATCTGAGCTAACACGATTTTTGAGACTTATTTTTAACACGTGACTTATCTCAAAATAAGTACTATTATTTTAAATAAGTCAGTAGTTTTTACATGATATACCAATGGATGATAAGTCTAATTACCTAAGCTTACCTGTCTTGGCAAACACATATATTGAAGTCGATTGTTTTTAAAGAATCTGTCCGTAACCCACTATTCTGGAGAATCTATAAGTTAACTTATTTCCTTTTCTTCAATAATGTACTCGTTACATCATAATGATCCGTTTCAAATACCTCGTCATACTAGTTGTTGTTCTGAACATCATACAGTAATTATGCTGCGTATTATTTGGTTCAGCATGTGGTACACATGACTTGTTCCTCGTTCAAATTAACCCGAATCATTGTATTGGTACCGACGAAGATTAGTTTTAGCCTTGTTTTGGTTCAAAACAGGTGAAAGTAGTTAGAGACAATCCGATTGGTGACATGTACCGAATACTGGTAATCGTAAATGGGACCCTGAATTTTGGTACTTAAGAAAAAAGTGCAGTCTTGTAAAATGTAAGGCTCAGTATCGAACAACTTTACTTCTTTTTCTCGCATTCCTACGCCTTTTTGTGATAAACAAAGATACAAATAAATGCTACACAAGGAAGCGTCCGGTCATTAAGAAAGCAAATATATATATAATTAAGTAAGCAAGTTTAAGTAAAGAAATATAGCAATCAGCTAATACATATGTTAAAGCAGCTTCGTAAGCGTGAAGAAATTAAAGGCGGGATTCAAATAATGTTATTTGATCCATTTCTAAGCTTTTTCGTTTCTATAAACAGTTTCATATAATCTGATAAATGTTAATATTTAAATTTATCATAAATTGTCACATTGGCGTATATATCTATGTACGTGGCGATCACCAGGCGATAACAAACAGGTCTCAATATAAAGCTTTCAGTGACGGTCAAGTAGTTTAATAGCAGCATTTTACCTGAAATAAAATGCATATTAAAATACTTACCTCACTGAAAGCTTTCACTTTAAATTCTGCCTGGTGAAATAATTGAGCCAATGAGTTAATATGGCGCTGTCAAAACTTAGGAAAACAAAAATGGCCGCGCTTCTGCCAGGTGTCGCCACTGGACCGGATATAAGGTGATTAAAAGTACGGAAACTGATGGTAATTCGACGGGAAACGGAAGTGCTATCTCAATATAAAGCTTTCAATGAGGTAAGTATTTTAATATGCATTTTATTTCAGGTAAAATGCTGCTATTATGGGAGGCAAATGAGTTTATCGCGTTTTGCGGAAAAAACTACAACTCCTATCGAAAAAAATAATTATGGAAAAATTGAAAGTGATTAAAAGATTTACAACTTTTGTAAGTACAAAAGTTGTGAATCACTGTTTTTTTACACAACCTAAATGTTTTTAATATGTTTGTGTGAGAACTCACGCAAGAATTTTATTTTAACGCACGCATTTTCTCAAAATTGCTATTACGGCGCTGAACTGAGACTTGTCTAAAAAATATAGAAGAAGTACTTGAGTGTCTTGACTGACTGACAATCAAGTGTCCGTGATGCTAGCGTACCCATGATCAATATACGGTTTTTCGTTATGCCATTAAATACTGCGTAAAAAGTGCCAAATTAGTGTAAAAATAAAAAAAAATAGTGCCTCTTTAATTTAAGAAATAAAGACCATTTTTACTGTGTACGCTACCATGACGTCAAGCTAGCGTACCCATGGCCGACCCCAAGAACGGCATATATTTAAGCAACGAAATTGACACACAAAAATAGTTCGCAAATAGTGCCCTGGCTTTACAAAATTTCATAATCAATACTCTTAAAGTACCAAAGATATTGAACTAAACATTCTTAGCTGGCGTCAACCTGGCGTACCCTTAATAGTTCTCATAGAAAATGAACTTTTATCGTTATCAATTCTATATGTATAAATAGTGTGTCAAATAGTGCCTCTAACAGTAAAAGTATTTTAAGTGAATCCGCATCACAATTAAATTAAAAAAAATTTCAGGAGGTTCCTGAGGAATTTGAAACAAAAAAAATTTTACGTTGACGAAGTCGCAGACGGCCGCCAGTATAATAATATTTTTATTATATACGTCTCAGCTCAACTCAGCGCCGCGTCCGCCCCTTAGGTTTTGGTGCCCTAGGCTCGAGCTTTATTAGCCTGTGGGTAAATCAGGTCCTGTTTCAGGACCAGTACCACGTAAACCTGACCGGCGTGCGGAGCCTGGTGCTGTGCCCCGGCCTCACCGACACGGGGCTGGTGAAGGAGATCCGCAAGCAGCTCATGTCCTCCGAGTATGAGGCCGCCTGGCAGCGCGACAATGCCAACAGTAAAACACAAAGGTACAACAAAAATCGCCAACAGCTCTTAATATCGCCACTGTTCGATCAGGATCAGGATACTGGTAACACGTAACTGTTTTCAGTTCTCTAGCCTGTAAAACAACGGTCAAATATTATATGTGCGTCCCCACATAGAACATATTTTAAGACGTGCACTTCGAGAGGCCACAGTGGAAAACGTAGGTTTCGTATATATGTAAAAATTAACATTTAGCAGAACCTTTAAAAAAAATGTAACCAGAATGAAGCTGATTCATTAACAATCTTTTTTGTGTTTTTAAAAATATATTATCATTGCTCTACCTAACATTTTTTTGCTACCGTTGAAACTTAAAATACTAAGTGGGCCGATAGATGTGAACGGATGTCTCCAGTACCTATATCTAATTTCGTAAGTAATGCAGATACAAGAACCGAAATATCAATCCCCCAAGAATTTTATATTTTTTGTTACCAGTGCGGAACACGTCGGCAGAGCCCTGATAGAAATCCTCACCAAAGCACAGAGCGGCTCAGTATGGGTGGTGGAGAACAATCAGCCGCCGAGGGAATGGCGCGGCTAACTCTGCTCAACATAACACTCAAACACTCAAGGCACGATCATTTGCAAACACGAGGTAAACGTTTGCAAAAAATGTTACTTCTGTAAGCGCGGTGCAACACAAACCATGTTGTGAAGTAGAAGTTAAACTGATGTTGCCAAAGTTATAAGAACCTAAATTACTGCTATCACATCGCGCTATGGTACCTTTACCCTAGAAACTTCCGTAGTCATCATTTGATATATTGTTCAAAGAAAGTTCATGATCATAACAGATGCAGATAATGGTAAATTTTTCGTATTAGCGCAGTCGAAGCACATCGAAGTGAACTTCAGAAACAGTAATTAAATTAATTTAACCTTATATCCGCGACGTAACGCACATATTCCTTCCGAGATGATAATAATCAGGGGATTCTGGAATGCGCGCGAATTCGCACCTTTTTTTATCTCGGAAGGAAGAATGTACGTTACGTTGCGGAGATAATGGTGAATTTGCTTTGACGTTTTTGAATTGGCTACGATGTGCTTCAAGTCTGCGCTAGTATGAACTGACCATTAAAACTATCTGTTTTTTAATGAAACACCTGACATGACTCACTATACTATGACCCAACTTTACTATGTTATTATGTAAGAGCGATTCATTTAAGGGGTATGTACCCCTTAAATGAATCGCTCACAACGTTTCGTATATTTTAAGTGGATATTGGTGTCGATTCTGGCATGATTCTCTAAACCTAATCTTAAATTTGACAACAGTGTATCCTTGTCATTCTCTATACAGAACGAATAGGAGAGACTGATCTTAAATTTAGTTTTAAGTTTAGAGAGTCATGCCAGAATCGATACCATTGTATATTCACACTATAATGATTAATAAAATCTACGATTTACGCAGACAGTTCATCTGCTACATCTTAAAGCGACTGTACTTCAATCTCCAATAGTTAAAAACGATAAAACAGGCCCTTTTTATCCATGAATCCTTATAAACCGTCTCCATTGGCTGGATCATAGGAAACTAATTACCCGTGTGTGGTGCCAAGTTACTAGGGACAACTTCCTGGAAGTAAAAATTAAAACTAACAATGAAGTTTACTCACCTATAGACTGCGTAAATTATAACATTGATACGCGTCGAGTGAGACTATTTATGGAACTTCTCGCAAGTCAGCGGTTGACATACCATAACTTGAACATTCAATTCACCCCAATGTTAAGATGTCTCATCTCTCATCGCAGCACAATCTCTTTGCTTTTGTAATATTTATTTCCCGAATCTGAATAAAATCGTGCGAGGCCGATTGCGTATTTTATTTGGAATAAAATTTATAGAAAATCAAAATACATGGTTTCATTGACACAGTTCTCAAGCATTTTCGATGGGCACTCGATTTGTATGCGAGGCACCTTATTTGCGCGTAGATGTGTTCTTAACCTAATAAAACCAGATTATGAAATGGTTGTGTAAATATTTTTTCTGTGTAGGATAGCCTTCTGATCATGTAAGAAGCAGTATTTATATTTTTTAAGACGTTTTATAAATAATACGACTATGTTAAATACACTATAATACGTAGACATAAGTAAGCGCTTGTATTGTGTACCTTCCTACTCTTTAAAATCGGCAAATATTTAGAAGAATCTCAAAGTACTAAATGCACGGGAAAAACATAGAATTGCAAAACTAAAGATTGGGTTAGGTAAGCGATTAATTTTTTTGAGCATTTAGTAGTTTTTGAGGAACATTTAAGATCCATTTTAATATTGTATACATGAGTATGTATTCAAGTACATACACGTACATATTTACAGCTTCCAAATTGTTAGTTACGGATGTGAAACATTTTGTTTAAATATATTGTATGTAGTGTATTTGCTATTATTGTTTTTTTACTTGTATATGTTTGTATTACATTTTGTATGGAGTTTGTTAAAAGTTAACAACAGACTAATGTTAATTTGCAATAAAATGTTAAAAAACGAGGTTGTAGTTTCTTTTTAATAAAAAGCCAAAAGTTTGGAAGATTTGTAGTAAATGTATATTTCGATATTAATACAATCACCAGGTACAGTTTTTGAGTTATAGATTTTTACAAATATAATGCATCTTGTCAAAAGTTATTTCAAATTTTCACACGAAAAGGACTTCTGCTAAACATTGTTACTAATAAGTAGAATATAATTTTACGACAAACAATTCCAATTTATTTATGATGAATTAAAGTTAGTCCTCTTCCGAAACTTTAAAGATACATACTAAAATTTGTGTGATAAAACAGTGGATCACTTTCGTATTTCGAATATCTGGCAGTAATCGACGTGGTGGTCCCACCGGCGACGGCTAAGTGATGTTTAAATTAATATTAATATCTCTTTACACAGTCAATACATCAATACAATAAATTTTGATTACAGCACTATGTTTGGCAAACTGTAACCAAGCTCTTGGATCAACCGGCCAATGGCACCGTCACCGGATCTCACCAGCAGTCCTACTATCACATTTCATTTATCTATTACTAACAATAAAACGACAGTCAATAAAACAACATCATCCACATTCTATTCACAGAGGGCCATTTGAAAAACGTTAGTAGCTATACCTCCATTCTCTACATACAAATTAATTTCTCAGCCTGTCTGACCAGCAGATTATTTTTCAAACTCTCGATTACTGTACATGAACATACAACATGTGTTATCTCAACACAACTAAGTAGGACTGCTGTCACAATAAATACAACTGGTCATTGGTCATATTACAAATTAGAATTACAATGACCCTTTGGAAATAATAAAACATGTACATATTAACTAACATTCGTTACAACTTTTAAATAGGCACAAATGCGCATAATAGGTGAGAAGCTCTAGGAAACCATATCCATTGGGCATGCCATAAATAAACATCTCATTTTTATGCAGGACGAGTTTTTACATAGCCTCTGTAAAATTTACATGGTGAGGCGTAATAACAGTTTTCATTTCTCACCTGTCTCATAATACCGTGGCAACAATGACATACCATAAACACAATCATTTTAGCCTAATATCGCTGTTTACGGTCGACTGTTGACTGAATCATACAGTCAAATTTGGTTCATGTAAATGTACAATTGCCCAAACAAAACTACAGCTCACTGCATTCCTATAATTACAATATACTAAAGTGAGCGCGCCTCCTCGCGAAGATACCTTTTTGTTCTTGCGCATGCTTACGGGAATTTCCAACTTTCTCCTTCCATTAAATTGGATACAACACTATCACACCAAAACAATGTCCATCTGCTTATATCCGCACCACTATATTATTTCCCGCAAGGACATATTACTCTTTTAAAACTGATTACATTTAACATTTCAATCACCATTTTACACTTTTCCGTTACGTTTGCATTCCTGATCAGTCCTCGCGATAATAAATTAAGATTCATTGTATTCTCCACATTGCACCTCTTCTTTAATTTGCTGTAAAAGAAAATCTGTTATTAAATTGTTGAATGTTCCTTGTACTTTGAACACACAGGGATTAAAATATAGACCAAGATCCCAGCGCTTGATTTTGCAGCCATCTGTTTTTTAATAAAACTTAATTCTAATGAATCATTAGTGAGTATACAATGTATTAATGCAATTCACATATGATTGTCACTAAATTTCACTTCATTCAAGGTATTTGCGCCGATTTTTTAGACAACCTATCACCAATACATTATATAATCACTAATTATACATTTAAATTAAGTTAAATTGAAAAACTGATGGCAGCAGAACCGAGCAAGGGGATCTTTGACTAATATAACAGTGCTCAATAAAAAATTGCTACGTAAAATAAGCATTTGTGCGAATGAATAATATGACATGATTGGTTCCGTGACAGCCGCTTCTTCAACGCGCGTTCCAAAGTACGCGTAGTCGGACGGGTCAATTTTTTCCTTATCGCGTCAATATTATCAACCAGAATCTATACCAGGTCAACTTTTCACCCCTTCACCCCTATAATTTAGTAAATCAAACGCCCCTCGCGCAGCTTGCCCGCAGCCCAACAGAAGGATAAATACGCTCCGAGTTTTTCTGCAAAGTAAATAGCTACCAGGTTTGCAGTGGGAGTATCTTCAATTTATGTTTAATGGCCGAGGGCAGGAATTTAAAAACTCGCGTTGTGGTTCTTGTCCATGCTTGCCGCAATTCGAAAGGTGAAATTATAGGTAAAACCCAAATGCAAACATGACGCGGTAAACGCCCGCAGAGCGCGCGATCACCCGCCGCTCATATGCGGCGGTTTTCGCCCCAATCTCAGGATCCACAGAAAACTGAGTTTTTAAATAAATAGTTCTGTTGGGGCGGGTGCGGAATAAACCCCGGGCTGCAGACCGCAAACTGCAGCGACACCACTTGTTTCTTCTTCCATAGACATTAATTATCTATGAAATTAATTCCGAACGCGGCGAAACTGCGGCCTGCGGACTGGAGTGATTGAGGCACGGTCCTATGTATTGTGCAGTCGCGGCATGTCGCCGTGCTTGAAATAGCAACCACGACCGCAGGCGACACGGACGTCGAACACAGTCTCTACTCGCAGTGTCACCCGCGGTTGCAGTCTGCCGCCGCCCATATCGGAATTGTACCTTTAGTCTAGCTGTATTGTAGCGGAATCGAGCGCGGGGTTGGTGCGGAGACCGCAGTGGGGGCGGGATTGCTGCCCGGTCGCGGGTATGCTAGTGTGTGTGACGCACCGTGTACCAGCGGGCGGGGTCACTGGGCGACGGCGGCGGGGCGGGCGTGGAGACCGCAGTGGGGGCGGAATTGCTGCCCGGTCGCGGGTATGCTAGTGTGTGTGACGCACCGTGTACCAGCGGGCGGGGTCACTGGGCGACGGCGGCGGCGGCGACTGGCGGCGGGGCGGGACTGCTGCCCGGTCGCGGGTATGCTAGTGTGTGTGACGCACCGTGTACCAGGGGGCGGGGTCACTGGGCGCGGCGACTGGCGGCGGGGCGGGACTGCTGCCCGGTCGCGGGTATGCTAGTGTGTGACGCACCGTGTACCAGGGGGTGGGGTCACTGGGCGACGGGGGCGGCGGCAACTGGCGGCGGGGCGGGACTGCTGCCCGGTCGCGGGTATGCTAGTGTGTGTGACGCACCGTGTACCAGCGGGCGGGGTCACTGAGCGACGGCGGCGGCGGCAACGGGCGGCGGGGCGGGCGCGGAGACCGCAGTGGGGGCGGCGGGGACGGCGGCGGGGGCGGGATTGCTGCCTCGTCGTGGCCCGCTGTTGCCGCGACCACGCCCTCCGCCTCGCATCGGCCTCCAACTGTAATGGAATATGAACGATGAATAGGTTAATTCTGGTCATACTACTGCAGTGGTTTAAAACACAAAGAAAATTATTTAATTGCAAAAAATGCACCTTTAATTGATTTTCAAATTGGGAAAAGTGTATTATTACACAATATTACATTAGTGCTATCTATTTGAATGTACGAATGATGGAAACTATTCACTTCCCATCAACCAAGAATGTTCGAAAACTGACGGCTGGTGCGGGTTATGGTGGCGCCAGGCGGGGCTACGCCGGACGTTACGGAGTTCAGCTAGAATACAGCAAATATAATATACTGACGGCTGGTGCGGGTTGTGATGTCGCCAGGCGGGGCGGGCGCGCGGACGTGTCCAGTTCATCTAGAGTACAGCAAGTGGAGTATACTGACGGCTGGTGCGGATGCTGGTGCGGGTTGTGCGGGTTGTGGTGACGCCAGGCGGGGCGAGCGCGCGTACGTGTCCAGTTCATCTAGAGTACAGCAAGTCGAGTATACTGACGGCTGGTGCGGATGCTGGTGTTGGTGCGGGTTGTGGTGTCGCCAGGCGGGGCGGGCGCGCGGGCGTGTCCAGTTCATCTAGAGTACAGCAAGTGGAGTATACTGACGGCTGGTGCGGATGCTGGTGCTGGTGCGGGTTGTGGTGTCGTCAGGCGGGGCGGGCGCGCGGGCGTGTCCAGTTCATCTAGAATACAGCAAGTGGAGTATACTGACGGCTGGTGCGGATGCTGGTGCTGGTGCGGGTTGTGCGGGTTGTGGTGTCGCCAGGCGGGGCGGGCGCGCCAGGCTCCGCGGCGCGCGGACGCCACGCCGAACGTTTCCGAGTTGAGCTTGCGCTCCGTCCGCCAGTCCGTGCGCTGGCTGCGCCCCTTCAGTCTGTTGACAATGATAAATCTCTTATCTATTCGACAAGTACGTCTGTCTGTGGTGCTGTTTTAGCGGCCAAACCGTAAAAGATAGATAAAGAGAATATTTAAGTTATAAGTTAAGAATAGTCTGATAAGACTACAAACCGGATTTGAGTAACGTAGCACTTCCGATTTTCGAGAAATCAGGTTTTGGTGAACATTTAGTTCACTGGTTTGCTAGTAATAAATAATTATAAATAAAATTTTTCAACACTCACACCAATTAGCCTAGGCCCAAAGGAAGCACTGTAAGCGTGTTATGAGATACTAAAGGTAATGGATAGAATACATATACTATAACAGATTTATAGGGAAATACATATTAAACATCCATGACTGGAATACAAATGCTGCAAATGCAATGCACCGGGACTCGAACCCGGGACCACTTGAATCGGCAACACTATGAAACCCGGCGTACAAACCACTCAATCACGGACGTCGTAATGATGAAACCAATCAAATACAATGGATCGTATGTCGGCACTTCACTGGACTATTCGTGTTTGCTATTTGTTAACTTGAAATCAGTCTGTCCTTTTTAGGATTCCATAGTCCTCACAAGGAACCGTATAAGTTTCCTCATGACGTCTGTCTGTCCGTCCCCTGTTATGCTAGAAAACTATTAGCACTAGAGAGCTGTAATTTTGCACAGGTATGTATATCCATCACCGCGACAAAGTTTCGAAAAATATTTTATTTAAGGGTAGCTCCCCTACATGTAAAGTGGGGATGATTTTTTTTTCATTGTCCTACAGGATAAAACAAGGATAAAACTAGTTTTTCTTGAATCGAGATTCGGCAAATTTTCTGCAAATGGCCCTAAGAGAAAGATTACTACTACTATATTATTTGTGAGAAATAACATACCGCTCGACAGCTTCACAAGAGATGTTGTCGAAGAAGCTCTTGTTCTTGTCGTAGCCGCTGAAGCCGCTCTGATCCTCGTCTAGTTCAGGCTCGCCTGCCCCAGTCTCGTTGCCAGAGTCATCCTTCTTGTCTACTTCGCCCTGTAGAGTTGTGTGAAAATATAATTAATTACAGAGTAAAATCATAACCAAAACCTGTTTAACACTTAGGGACTCGCTAATGGGTCCAGTGGACCCAGTGCCTTGTATTTTGTTGAATTACTTAAAAATTATGAAGTTTGCGATGTTGCCGCTCTTAGTACCTTTCGACAATAGTATGAGGCGATAGATCGCCTTTTTAGCTGTCAGTTAGCGCGCTGCCTGTGAGTGCTATGGACGTGAAAGGTGTGTATGGGTCCTTTGACCCGGTAGTGACTAAATAAGTTGTTTTTTTTTCATCTAGTTATTTATGTTTGTTTACTTTTTTCGTTTCATTGATGGTAGAATTATTGGACGATTATAGCCTGACTTGCTTAGGAACTCTAAAGAAAAATAAAAGAGAGATACCTCTAGAGTTTACACAAAGAAGAGGGAGGCAGGATCATGAAACCTACTTTGGATTTCAAAATGATGCCACACTAATATCTTACGTACCCAAACATGGCAAAATAGTTCTCTTAGCATCCACTTTGCATCATGATGCCAAAATTGATGACAAAACTGGAGAAAAAAAGAAACCTGAAATAGTAACTGATGACAACGCCTTCAATTGCGGAGTCGATGTAGTTGATCAGATGATTGGCACATAAAGACAGGAAAACCAAGGTTTTTTGCGTAAAACGTAATACCCCATTTTGTGTAGAACATATGAAACAAATTTGTGCAAATTGTTATAGCTTAGTTTTATAAAGATAAATGTAGAACTATGATGGAAAGTGATTATATACAAAAATAAAAATCTAAAATTAGTTGATTTTGCTTGTTCCTATGATGATTGAACTCTTAATTATATTTTATCTTAGTAGATACGTAATAGTAGTATATTAAAGTTAAGAAGATTTTGTTAAAAATATATCATTACAGATTTTACAGCTTTATGTTTAAGTTTAGTCGTAAAACTATGCCAAGATTTGGTATATTTTTGTACTGACCATTTAATTAAGTAAAACAATAAATATTCGTATTTTATTAAATATTTGTTTATTTTTTGGACATTATTAACGATATTTGAAAACACCAACCATTTTCATTGAGAAGTTTTCGAATAAACACGTAATATTGTCTGGGTCCGCAGGACCCGGTAGCGAGTGTTTGTGTAGCAATTTGAAGCGCGGGTCCCTAAGTGTTAAAAGTGTAGAGCTTTTGAAAACATGTACTGTCTAATAGAACAATATTAAACAATAAAATATTTCAATACTACATGATATAGGCAGCGAAATGCTGCTCAAGTTTATTCATTTAATAAATAAATAACCTCTGCAGAAACATCAAGGGACTACGGAGCTTCTTGTGAAAGCTGGGATGGCGAGACTGAGGGCGCAACCGTATCACGTAAAATCCGTGTCTAGTTGCGGATAATACCCATCATATAGAAGAACATACTAACCTCAACTTTAACCACTTCATCGGAGATCTTAGTCTTGGCGAGCTGGCTGCGCAGCTCTTCAAACTCCGTATTGGCTTGCTCGAAGTCATAGTCGTTATCGAACTTGAGCGTATTCTTGTTGCGCGGAATGAAACCGCGACCGCGACCGCGCGGGCGTCCCCGCCATCCGCCGCGGTTGTAGCCTTGCCCTGTAAAAAATGTAGATTAGAGGGTACAAATAAATATATTATTATATAATATACTAGCTGTCCCAGCGAACTTCTTACCGCCATAAAAAATAGGGGTTGGTGGTAGTAGGGTGGTATTTTTGTATGATGTATCAAAAAAATTATGTTTCGAGTTGCCAAACCAACTATGCTAGAGAAACCTTTTTTAGATGGACATGTAATTTTTACCTGAATGAAGCAGATATTTTCAGTGAATCACTTCACAATTTCAAAAGGAAAGGGAGAGAATTATTGTTTGAATAGTATATAACATGTGCGGCGGCGATGTATATAATCGGTTTCCAGATATCCGTCACTTTTGTGCCGCTGGAATATAATAATTTTATATCAATTAATGGTACTTTAGGTCTATTTGTAAACATAAATTGTATAATTGTTTGTATAAGACTGTTTACCTGAATTAAATAAATAAATAAAAACAAAAAATAATGCCCAAATAAAAAAACTTAAGGGTGGACAACCCTTAACATTTTGGGGGATGAAAAATATATGTTGTCTGATTCTCAGACCTACTGAATATGCATATAAAATTTCACGAAAAACGGTCGAGCAATGGAGTAGTTCAATTACGCACACTGTGACACGAGAATATTATATGAATACTAGCTGACCCAGCGAACTTCGTACCGCTATAAAAAAACAGGGGTTGGTGGTATAAAGTTGAAAATTTAGGGATGTATGTATTTTTGTATGATGTATCATAAAAAATTAAAAAAAAAATATCTAAAATTGAAAAAAAAAAAATATTGGTGGATTACCCTTAACATTTAGGGGGATGAAAAATAGATGTTGTCCGATTCTCAGACCTACCCAATATGCACGCAAAATTTCATGAGAATCGGGAAAGCCGTTTCGGAGGAGTTTAACCACAAACACCGCGACACGAGAATTTTATATATTAGATAATATATTTAAGGTACTATTCCGTGCATCGCGGCCTACGACTGTCGTCGGTCACTCGCGCTCGCGGTCGCGGCCGACAACCTGTCGTGAGCCGCGCGTGGCCTATTGTGGGTTACCTACAATGCGAAGTGATGGCGCTGCCTTGCAGCTTATGAATGGCTAAAGGAATTTCAACACCGCCATCAGGGCCGCGGTAGCATAATTAGTCAGTGCATTCGCCCGGATAGCGAACGGTGCGGGATCAAGTCCCGTCTGCTGCCTGGTCCGCGTTGAATTTTTTCTAGTTATATTTTCTTTAGATTTAAACATCAAGCACATACATGCTTAAAAATAAAAATTGTAACTATAAATGCTATTTCTTCTTTCAAATGTTTAATACTTGTAAAAGTATTCATTTGACATTGTGGGTTACCTACAATGCGAAGAGATGGCGATGCCTTGCAGCTTAAGAATAGCTAGAGGAATTTCAACGCGCCATCATGGCCGCGATTGCATAGCGGTTAGTGCATTCGCCCGGATAGCGAAGGGTACGGGTTCAAGTCCCGTCTGCTGCCTGGGCCGCGTTGAATTTTTTCTAGCTATATTTTCTTTAGATTTAAACATAAAGCAGTTAAATGCTTAAAAATATTTTTTTTAACTCTGTTAGGGTTTGCTACCACTATTTTATTGGACAGTTATTCCACTACTTTGCAATCGGCAATCTTGCTTGCACCTGCAACTTCATCCACATTGAAGTCAGTTTATTATGTGTCAATGTATGTGACTATAACTATATTTAACAATTTTCATCCAAATCTGATCAACTGTTTTAGCGTCTAAGCGAATCGAAAAATTCTGGTTAAACCAACAGGATTAAAGAACGCTAAATCACTTATAAGAGAGTCACTCGCAAAACGGACTGTTGAGTTAAACAGAACTTAGCAGGCCAAACATCCATGCTATTGTAAGAGCCTGAACTGAACACTGCAAACTCAACAGACACCAATTTCATATGAAATTGAATGACACTGATGTTTGCAGATACTGCAGTGTGAAACACCAAATCACCTTCTATGTGAATGTGGGTCTTTCAGCCACAAACACTACGTTTGGGACGACATATACTCGGAAGAAATCAAATCCCTAAAAGCTAAAAACATTTTGAGCTTCCAAGAGGAAGCTGTAGGGCTAAAAGAGATACTTTAACTTAGTGGTGAGTCACAATATATCTTATAGGTTGCAGTGACTACAGAGCCAATAGGACTGCATCACCCCAAAAATCAAAATAATAATAATAAGTTTTAGATTGTAAATATGTACATTGTTACAGCAAATGGGGGGACTTGGATCCCTTTTTTAACAACTGGTTCTTTAAACTGTAGAGTTAAAGCAAAAAATAAGTTTGATAAATAAAAAAAAAGATTTAAATACTATCATCTCACGTGAGCAATTAATAAAAATTCCAGCTGTTAGTAAGTCTAATAGCAGTGCTTTATTCTAGTCCAGAAAAAAAACCGGACAAAGACCCAACTGATAGCAAATGTGGAGCATTGAGTAACTATAGGTTGATATAATATATAAATTTTTAATTAAATTAAATAATGACTGACACTTTATAACTACAAAATGTGCCAATCTGTTTTTTTTTTTATAATTAGGTAGGCAAATGACTCTACCCCACCTGATGTTAAGTTGTGATAAAGTCCAAACGCGAAGATAGCTGGTACAGCAGTTGTAAACTGCTACACCAACCATCCTCACCTTGCCGGCCCGCAAAAATGCTTCTTCACGCCTCTCTTAAAGGACCCCAGATTATAGGACGGAGGGAGCACGTGCGCGGGCAAAGAATTCCACTTACAAATAGTACGATAAAGAAATAAGTCGCCAAATTTCTTTGTTCGTGTAGGAATAGTGGCCAGAGTAAGTCGGTGGCAACTTAGGCCAGCGCGCGTGGTCCTCTGAAGAAACGGTGATGGAGGGATAAGCGAGAATAGCTCCTCAGAACACTCGCCGTGGTATAGTCGGTAGAATGCGCTTAATGATGCCACATCACGGCGTAATTGTAGGGACTCGAGTTTCTTAGTTACCTCTTCATCGCCAATGATGCGGGCAGCGCGCCGCTTCAACCTATCCAAGGCATCGAGTAAGTACTTAGCGGAGCCATCCCAGAGGTGCGAGCAATATTCCACGCAGGACCGCACTTGCGTTTTGTACAACAAGCACAGTTGATCAGGCGTGAAAAAACGCCGCACCTTGTTCAGGACTCCCAAGTTTGCGTGAAGCTGCTTTGATCAAGGTCTCGATGTAGTCCTTTGGATTCAGGTCTGAGCGAACCTCCATACCGAACATGGTAATATAGCTCTGTAGCGCCAGTGTTGTGCCCTGAAGAGAGGGAAGGGGAAGGAATGGCGATGTTTTTGCTGTGAAAGCGCAAGCCTGAGTTTTCTTGGCATTGAACTCAACCAAGTTCCTGGTACCCCATTCGGAAATGTGGTCCAAAGCCCGATTGAGCTCAACAACAAGATTCTCCCGTTTCGCCATGATTTCTACCTGTCCAGCCGCCGCGTGTCCAAAGTATCTCGCATGCACTGTGCTATCGTCTGCATAGCAATGAATATTCGCAAGTGGAATCAAATCATTGATATGCAGCAGAAACAGTGTGGGGGATAGAACGGAGTCCTGAGGAACACCGGCATTCACTGACATGAACTACATCCGTCCGTAAGGACGCGAATTCTACGCTCATGCAGGAAGTCAGCTACCCAGGCGCAGAGCTTAACAGGCAGACCGTATGCAGGCAGCTTGGAGAGAAGGCTTTTGTGCCAGACCCTGTCAAAAGCCTTGGCGATGTCAAGGCTAATAGCCAGAGACTCTCCCCGCTTGTCTATAGCTTCACACCATATGTGTGTCACGTACGCTAGAAGGTCACCCGTCGATCGACTCGGCCTAAATCCGTATTGACGATCGTGAATCAGAGAGTAATCTTCTAGGTAGCGGGTCAGATGGTTGTTAAGGACCCTTTCTAAGACTTTACACAACACTGAGGTGACAGCTATCGGCCGATAGTTGGTCTGAGCGGTTGCACATTGGCGTCTCTCCAAGCTTCCGGCACACGCCCCAAAGAGTAAGAGAGTTGGTATAGGCGCGTAAGCACGGGAGACAACTCCGCTACACAATGTTTTAGAACAACTGCTGGGATGCCATCAGGTCCACTAGCTTTCCGGACGTCGAGTGATTGCAACTCCGCACGAACATCACGCTGCCTGATTTTAATGTCAGGCATCGTAGTGCCACAATGAGGTAGTGTAGGTGGCAGTGCATTGCAATCACTGATTCGGGAGTTAGCCGCAAAGAGCTTTGCCAACAAATCGGCTTTCACTTGCGGCTCATGAGCTAGTGACCCATCTGGACATCGCAGAGGTGGCAGCAAGGGCTGGCAAAAGTTGTGTTGCACGGCCTTAGCCAAACGCCAAAAACTACGGGAGCCCGTAGGGTGCGTTAACAATTCGTGGCCAGTACGTGCTACACGTTGGGCATCCGCTCTGATGTAAGCCTTCTTACAAGACTTGGAAGCACTATTATAGGCAGCTTTCAGTGAGTTAACCCCGGGATCCTTAAGAGCGCGGCCTCTGATCCAAGCGCGATATGCCGCCTGCTTACGAGAAACAGCATCGGCACAATCGCGATTGAACCAGCGGTTACGTGTGCCCTTACTGATGAGATCAGAGTGTGGAATGTAATACTCCATTCCCATTACGATCTCCTCAGTAATGGCAACGGTGCTGGATGATAGGTCCTTTTCATTGAAGCAGCGCTACTTCCAAGGGACGGACGCATAGTAATCGCGCATACCATCCCAATCTGCCGATCCATAGTGCCAGACCCTGCGTTTGACAACTAATGGTCGAGGGGTTTTGGCCTGTGGCACCTTGACAGATATCAGGCAATGGTCTGATGAACCCAGTGGGGCTCCAACCACAACCTGATACTCCTGCGGAGGGGTCGTAAGCAGAAGGTCTAGTAAAGAAGGCACTTGACTTGCTATATCTGGGATCCTGGTGGGCTGATCAACCAGTTGTGTCAAGTCATGCATGAGAACGAAAGCATGGGCAGAGATCCCTGCATGGTCAGTTTTGGAAGAGCCAAGCCACAAACCGTGGTGGGCATTAAAGTCTCCCAAAAACACCAGTTCTGCGTTGGGAAATTGCGCCTGGGCATCATCTGCTACCCTACTGAGGTGGTCAAACAGTCGAGTTGTCTCAGCGTCACCGGTGTGAGATCTGCAGAGGCACACATGGTACCGCCAACATGGAAAAGGAGGGGTCTTCCAGGCAGCTCAAACGGCTACAACAAACATCCGCCCGAACATACAGGCATACGCTGGCTTTTGCTTTGAAGGATTCTTCAAGCGCATAGCCGGGATATTTAAGGTAGCCTGTGTCAGCAGGCGAAAGTATTTGTGTCTCCATGAGAAACAATAGTGCTGGCCATGCTGTCTCAAGATGGTGGTGGACAGCATTGAGGTTAGAGTGGAGTCCGCGTATATTACAGAACTCAACCTCAAACAGCGCGTAAGGCGTGGGGGTGAGCACCGCTGTACAACCAAACTTTATTTTACGGGCTGCCATCAAATGTATTTAATGTAATGTTTACCTTTGCAGGAGCACAATTTTACTACAGATTGCCCTCACATATAAAAATTGTAAACAAGTTAACATATTCAAGAAAAAACTCGGTATATTATAACAAATTGTAAATAAAAAGCATTAATGTGTCTTTTTGAAATAATTATGTGAGTTTGTGTTTTGGCAGTGGCCATGAACAATAGTACTATGTAGTATTTGTTTGTGTAAGCTATGTTCTCATGTAAGTGACATTTGTATTTTTTGAGAATAAATTTCTTTAAACCTAATCTGAGACTGTTTCCACAGACCGCAGCACAGAATGGAGTGACAGAAGCATGATTCTATGCATTGTGCAGTCGATGCATGTCGCCGTGTTTATGAAAGCAACCATGACCGGTTGGAGTCTGCCACCTGTCTCGGGAATGGCAACTTTAGTAGTCATGATGTTTCAGTCATCATTTTATTATATCAAAAATTACAGATATCAACCTATAGTTACTCAATGCCCAACATTTGTTTGGTCATTGCCCAAAAGTTTTTCTAGAAGACTGATAGTATAATTATTGAAGAAAGTATAGTAGTACACTCACCAGCTTGGTGATGATGGTGTGGCTGTGCCGACGTCTGCGGCTGTTGATGTTGCTGGTGTTGTTGATGCTGCTGATGTTGTTGATGCTGCTGGTGATGTTGTTGATGCTGCTGGTGATGTTGTTGATGCTGTTGATGTTGTTGTTGATGCGGTGGAGCCCCCCCACTAGGGTAACGTTGGCGGTTGCGCGAATTTGTGCGATTGCGTGGCTGTTGCTTCTGAGCAGCGCCCGAGTTGCTGCCACGACGACTGTCGCGCTGCTGCTGACCGGAACCGCTGGCGACGGAGCCCACCTGCTTGAACAGCACATGTCCAATGACACAAATCGTCTACCAACAAAACAGGCTTCAACAACACACATCATTGCACTACCAATTTTAAAATAAATTTCAGTTCAATGAGTAAAATTTAATGATTCTTTATTACAGGAACAGTTAAAATAGTTTGAAATACAGAACTTGTTCATAAACAAGAAACCTTTCTTAATTTCCAATATATATGGAAATTAAGAAAGGTTTCTTGTCATCATAAAATTATTTGCATTAAATTGGGAATCTTCTCTTACTCTAACTATTAAATATAACAAGTGTAAGAGCATTTAATAATATAAAGTTAAGGCATTTAGTGCAGAGTATTTATTTGCATTAGATGCGCACATCAAACAAAATATCTATATATATTACCTGGGTACTTTGGTCAGCAGTAGGGCTCTTCCTATGACCAACAGCAGGAGTACCAGACCTTGAGGCACTTTGTTGAGAGCCTCCTCCAATGAGATCTAACATTGAACCTGAAATTTATCAAAAATAAATTAAAACCAACCCAACAGCTGAAGATAACCAAATTGCATAATTTAGAGTTATCAGTGAGAAAATTTAAATAGAATATAGAAGAAAAGTTTATAAATAGTAAACATTACCATCTTTTACTAGATGTCAAATAAATCATTATTAATACAAAATGAGGACTTTTATTTGACTTAAATAAAAGAGCACAATGATGATAGTGAATAAACAAATAGTAAATGAGCATAATGAAATGATCTAAAGGTAGATGTGAATACATTGTAAAAAACAATGTCTTTGGTGAAAGTGATAAGCTAGCTGCAGTTAGAAACTTACAGAAAGAATGAAATCATAAATAAAATATTATAATGCTGTGGCACAATTATGTAATTATGAAGAAACTAGAAAATAAATTATTTAAGAATACTTTTACAAGCAACAGACCAAGGAACATTTGCTATGCAATTTGCGATTTTCAATTCTTACTTTGTTTTTTGGTTAGTTTGTAAAAACAAGCAAAATGATACTCATAATTTGAAATATGGAACTTATTGATAAAGAAAATACTCAAAATTATAAAAACATGTTTTATAAATTGTTAATAATCTGAGTTTGAAATTTGAATTACAGAATTTATTGAGAGAAATTAATGAAAATGAAAAATTACCTTTACTATGAAATGATAAAGCAGTAAAAAGTGCAGGGTGAAATAAAGATGACAGAGAATGGACATGCTATCAAGCTTAAATAATAATTAATTGTTAGTTTTCACTGCTATAAAGTATAATTTTAAAATGACTATATTTATACAGTATTAAGACTACACAAAATACAATAAGAGCAGAGTAAAAATCGCAAGGTGGCATCTTTCAAAGCTGAAGCGTAATAATTTAAAGAAAGAAACCTTGGTCTTTCACTTGGTTGGAGTGATGAATCACTCCAGATCCAATAGGAGCAGTTGTAGGTTGAGGCCGAGTCGCCAAATCCACAGATGTTTGCGGAGACAACTCACTAGTCTTGTTAAGTTGTGTGTGCACACCTCCGGGGAAACCAGCCATGGGGTGATATTGAGGGTACTGCGTCTGGCCCACCACCGGGTGACTGAACTGTCCCGTGTACTGCCCTGGAGCTGCCGCACCACCACCCAATGATGGCGGTACTGACATCTGCATGATGGCAGGATCGTTGGGCAATGAGGGGACATCACTCAGAACCCGTATGTCCTTAATATCAGACCCACGAAACAAGATGTAATCATACACCTGGTTCTGAGGAGCGATTGGATACTGCGACTCGCGATCCTCAGTACCAAAAGATTGCACTGTAATAAAATTAATATCAGATTAATAATTTCAAGTAACATGATTCAGAATAATAAAAACAGTATGCAGGTACTTGCAAAATAACTAAATTATTAGATATTACTGATGTCCAACAGACTATATTAAAAGTATACATCTTGTTTACAGGAATATCTTCTATCAACGTCATCAATGTGAAACTACGGTCAATCGGCTAAGAATCCAATAAAAACAAAACTGAGGGTAGAACGAAAACAACGTGTCCTTCCAAAAGCCTTAGATTACTAGAAAAACACTGTAAAATTATGGTTTGGTACCGAAAAATGTCAAGCGTTATCTGAAGCAATACATAAACATTGATAGGTTTAGATTACAGGATAGTAGGGATACTTCTACCTAGGTAAAACCAAACTAGCCAAGAGGGTTTTTATAACTTTAATTACTAATTTACTAGTAATTGGTACTGGTTCCATCGCAGAAATTAATGAGTTTAAGCTTTGAGAACATTGATAGAAACCATTTGTCAACTTACCGCTAGCCAAAGCGATGGTACATTTCTGAGGATCGACGGTGAAAAGTCTCCCTTCATAACGGATATCAGCTTTCGATATTAGGCTTATCTTGGAGCCCAACTCGGGCATACCGGAACTCATTTTGTCACTTTAAAAATTCGCCACCGATGACAAAGATTTTTTTCGATTTCGTCGACCGTGAAAAACTGAGCCAGCGTACAAAATGACTGATGAGAAGTTGGCAACAAGCCCGGCCCGATGTTTTTCGTTTCGTGAGCATAGACAACAATTTAGTACAGCCACAGACTTATCAGTTAAGTCGTTGGGCCAGTACGGACCGGTCCGAATGGTGTTGATTCTGGTATGATTCTCTAAATCTAAACTTAAATAAGACAACAGTGGTGTCAATTCTGGCGTGATTCTCTAAACTTAAAACTAAATTTAAGGTCAGCCTCACCTTTTCATTCTGTATAGAGAAGGACAAGGATGCACTGTTGTCAAATTTAAGTTTAGCTTTAGAGAATCATGCCAGAATCGACATCATTGGTGTCGATTCTAGGATGATTCTCTAAACGTAAACTTAAATTTGACAGCAGTATATCCTTGTCATTCTCTATACAGAATGAAAAGGAGAGACCGATGTTAAATTTAGTTTTGAGTTAAGAGAATCATGCCAGAATTTGCACCAGTATTACCTTGTCATTCTCTATACAGAACAAAAAGGAGAGACCGATGTTAAATGTTGTTTTAAAGGGAGAACTTAAAAAAAAAGATTATGAATGTCTTTAAAAATTTCTATAGCTTAAAATATGGAAATTTTGATGGTCGGAGTCGACTTTATTTTGATTTACAAGACCTAGCCCAAGTCCCATACAGATATCAAACATCTCCTTTAGTTTTAAGTTTAGAGAGGTGTCGATTCTGGCATGATTCTCTAAACCTAAAATTAATTTTGTCAGCAGTGTATCCTTGTCATTTTATACACAGAATAAAGAGGAGAGACTGATGTTAAATTTAGCCTTAAGTTTAGAAAATCATGCCAGAGTCGATACCATAGTGGCAGTGGAGTGGCGGAAAAAATATCTTTTGCTTCCAAAATGGGCGAAATAAAAAGCAAAATCTGTCATTGCTTGTCATGCAGACAATGGCGTCAACGGCCGTTTGAAATTCAATTTGAATGTTTACAATAATTCCCTATTGTCGTATTTTTTTATAATTTAATAACGTCTATTCGTTTTTAAATGTTAATGATCGTATAGATATGGTCTTAGAAACTCCGATATCTTCGAAACCTAGCCTCGCTCGGCTTAGCAGCAGCGGGGGCAGCAACAATTCTATTCGACGTCGAAGTTTGATACCAAGCCGCGTTACTGAGAGAAACGAGGTAAAATTGTAACTATAAACGATCGGTGAAGTAATTTAACTGTACTCTATCGTCTTTTCAATTAAGTAACATAATTATAATTGATCAAATACTACCTACTTAATGTTTACACTTCACTTTTTTATTGTACCTATTGCATGTATTTACATCAGGATAGGATATATCATTTAGGAACCTAATTATTTCTGGGGAAATCCTTTATCTATTGGTATTCCATAAAAGCGCTGTGTTTATGAACTCACTACATTAACTAGTGTGGTTGAGTTTTATTCAATTTCGTTCCTTATTTTTTATGTTAGGGATAAAATATACTAATCTCTAGATAGAGGCATACTATAAACATACATGATCTATATCGATCCACATATATATACTCTTTAGAAATTCCATTTATTTGCTGTACATATTATAGGACAGAAATGATGATGATGCAGAACGGTCATCCCTGGTGGCTTCGGAGCGTGCGGTGGCGACATCCACACCGCACGCATCACCGCGACGCCCGCGCGACACCATGTCTTCGTCTCCTCAGAAAGAACATTTCCAAGGCTGCCTTAAGCTTTATGCAGAAAATGTTAGTATATTACTTAAGTTTCTTTCTATACATAATTTAGAATGTACTCAAATTTTGTATGAAATTGAGTATGTATTTTTAAAACACCTTATTGTTTTCTTTCAGTAAATTAGATAATTTTATAATTGTTCTTTGTTTTAGAAAATAAATAAAGACAATGCGTGGAATCTACAACTTATAGACTTCATGACTTCAATGTTGAGGAGGCATGACTCTCGCATGGACAACCTACAGACAGCGTCTACTGTGGTGGACGCATCAGCCAGAATTTATTCATTCAGAGTGGATGCTGTGCATTATGATGTACTTAAAATGGCTGGTGGATTGAGCAAGGCTGCTCAGGTATGAAAATCTATTTTATGCCTTGCTAGTATAAGTTTTCTATATTTATAGTTTTTTACCATACAAGTATTCTTTGACTTGCATAAAGTAAAGTTGAATTGAATTATATTATACTAGCTGACCCAGCGAACTTCGTACCGCCCTAAAAAAATAGGGGTTGTCCAGCGGACAAAATTGTGAATCAAAACCATTCTCAGATCCCAGAGAACACACACAAAAAATTTCATCAAAATCGGTCAAGTCGTTTAAGAGAAGTTCAGTGACATACACACTCACAGAAGAATTATATATATAAAGATTGAAATATGTTTATTATTATTTTATTGATCATAGGTATTTTATTTTTAATTTATTATGAAAAATTAAATGAAAACTAACAATTGTTTTATGGATCACTACTGTTTTAAAATGAATAATAGCTAAAATGATTATATTATAAATGTAATCTTAAATAAACAAATTTAACCTGCTTTTCTACTTAAAAAATATATTAAACCATGAGAAATGCAGCAAATGGATTTTACTGTAATCTGGATAATATTTATTAAGTATTTTTGAAAGTATTATATTTTTGAGAGTTGTAAGACATATATGTTGTCGTTTGTTTCCATCATAGTCATGATTGACAATCAGGGTACGATGATATATGGTATGTTTTTAAAAGCTGACTTTGATTAGACATTTGCATTAACAATGTTTTATCAGAAGTTAACATTGTTCTTTCTCTTTGTCTAATTTAGACTAAAAGAGGCAAGAAAGATGATGATTGTGCAAGCCAAGACGAAGGTGCTGTGGACGGTGACGCGGCGCCACAAGTAAAGAAAAAGAAGAAACGGTCAAAGGGCGCCATTGCAGCAAACCCTGAGGTGTTCAATGGCGACTTCGATGCAAATGATTGTATAGGTAAGCAGTTAAATGGCTGAACTTTTGAAAAAAGGAGAGAGTGTAATAATGAACTTAATGATGCTCCAAATTAATAATTTATTAAATAATAAGGAATTGTACTAAAATGAGAGAAAAAGAAAAAAAGCACTTTCAATGCTTCTGCATTGTAATTATTTAAGAATTCCGTTATCAACTTTTACTATTTGCCAAGGTCAATTTGTAACTATGTCGTTTTATATTCTTGTTTGCTCCTCAGCATCGTGAGTTCTGAAATTTTCAAATGTGTATTATTTTATAATACTTTTTATCTTCATTTTCTTCAATCTATATTCTTACATATACTTCACAGATCCTTTCTTTGAGAGGCTAGCTGCAACTACTGGTGATGTTACTTCATCCAATCGAGCATTTAATGCTTCTCTACCAATTCATGACAAGACATTGGCTTTGATATTGAGGTTTATAAACTATCTTTTTATTTCCTTTTGATTACCTAATTGTATTTATAGTGTATAGGTCAAAACATAATCCTTCTTTCAGGACTGACGAGCTTTTCCTTGAGCCCATAAAAGAAAATATTGCAGAAGACATAGACCTTACTGACCAGATCTGTTTAGCGTTAAAAATGCTTCCTGCTTTTCTGGAGACAGACAAAATATGTGAACCTTTTACTGGATTTTCTATTAGCAACTGGGATCCCGATACTGAGGAGAAGTAAGTAAAGGAATAATTTGATATATTTTAAGAATAATAATAATAAACGTTTATTGACTTTAAGCAAGTTACAATATACAATATTTTTAAACTGATAGGATAAAAATTGGTGACAATAGGCAAATTGGCGCTTAAATATTGGTAAAGGTGAATAGTGTTGGCTGTGGTTGGATAATTATTTGCTGTATTACAGGCAGGTCCCCTCTATGTACATAAATATTGTACATAGAGGGGACCCTCTTGCCTTGTTCGACATTTTAAGAATAGTAATAGTTAATTGTAGAAGAGCTTTTTACAGTCTTATGCTGCTGATTTGTATTGATATTATTATGTCCATATTATTATGGTAGATACACTGAACCCTATACAAACACACATTGCTTTAAAACAAAGTGAAAGAAACATAAGCTGTTTTATTTGCGTGGTTTATTTAGATTGCTGTATCTAGGCGTGTATACTAGTGACTTCATGAGTTATCTAATATTGTAGTCGTTTTTCAATTTGATGACTATATAATATGAGAAAAAACAGCCCTTGCTGAGTTTCTTGCCGGTACTTCTCAGTACAAGGTCTGCCGCCGTAGATGTGCGAACCGATGTCGTGGTTTTTCGACATTCACATGTGCTTTTAACAGCCAAGACTGAATAAATGATATTGAATTTTATAAAATCAATAATAATAGTATGTAGCAAACTATTGATTACTTTCGTTTAATATATTTTCTTACACCCAGTGTTTCTGTTGTAACAGTGACAGTAATCGCATCAACAACTGGGTGGAAGAAAACCGCCTGAACTTGTCTCAACAAGCACTCGCCTTTGATGTCAACGCTGAAGTGGAGCCAATACCACAAGATGATATACACAATGATTTATTTGGTAAGGATTTCCTTAAAATTTTATGTAAATTTTTGTTCATGTTAGTCAAATTATTATCCCCCATGCCCATGAGTGCTATGAACTTATTTATCTAAAAACAAATAAGTAACTTTTTGTATGTATAATTAAATATTTGGAGTGTTATATTCCTTGCATTTAAGAAATTAGTTACTTACTAGCAAACCAGTGCACCAAATGTTCACCAAAAAAAAAAAATTGAGAACTTCGGAGATTTTGTGTGGTTTCGTTTGAAATAGAAATCACGTGATTTCTCGAAAACCGGAAGTGCTACGTTACTCACATCCGGTTTGTAGTCTTATCAGACTATTCTCAACTTATAACTTAAACATTCTCTTTATCTATCTCTTACGGTTTGGCCGCTGAAACAGCACCACGGACGACGGACGGACGGACTTGTCTAATAGATAAGAGATGATCACGTAATATCGCATTGACACTTTAACTTAAAAGTAACGACAAGATGTCGCATAAATGCACGCACTTAGATAAACCTCATTTATTAGATTACTAGTGCCTGCGTTTGTTTTTTTGAGAATCCCACGGAAACCTAAAATTTTCCTGGATAAAAAGTATCCTACATCTCAAGCCAGGTTTTAAAATATATGCGTACCAAATTTTATCCAAATCCGTTCAGCAATTTTTGCGTGATTGAGTAACAAACATACAGACAGACAGAAACAAACGTCAATAAATAAATAAAATTTCGTGCATTAACCCGTAAAAACTAGTTTTATTTAATGAGTGATGTGCGTGAAAACCTAAGAAACAAATATACAGACTTTCTCATTTATAATATTACAAGCGGCTGCCCACGAATTCGTCCACATAAACTTTAGTTTTTGACATCCCACAGGAACCTTTAATTTTTTCGAGATAAAAAGTATCTTATGGCTGAAACCAGGTCATAAACTGTATGTGTACCAAATTACAACCAAATCCGTGTAAGGTAAAAAATAATAATTTAAAGGTTAATGTTAATGGGGAACGAGATTGTTAAGCCAGGAAGCTAGAGTCGAAAGCAGGCTTGTGGTGGTTGATTAATCAAATCATTCTACGATATATATGTCGCGGTGCTCATGCTACGGGGACTGATTATGCCGTCTTGGCAGATGACGACGGGTCATCCTAATTAGGATTCTGTCTGTCGATACAGAGGACGAGCCGCTAGGCGGTATAGACAGCGAAGAGGACGCAGAAGCAGCTCTGGCCGCGTGTGCCGTACGAGCGCCCCCCGCTCCCATGGCGCGCCTCACCGACATGCGGCCCAGCGCGCCCCACGACACGCGCCTCGAGTACTCCTACTGCGGCTCCATCGTGGCCGCGTGGGCCGGGCCCGCGCACTGGCGCCTCAGGAACAACCGCGGTACGAGACCTAGATCTACCCCCCCTACACCTCGACCCGCCCCCGGGCGCGCCTCACCGACATGCGGCCCAGCGCGCCCCACGACACGCGCCTCGAGTACTCCTACTGCGGCTCCATCGTGGCCGCGTGGGCCGGGCCCGCGCACTGGCGCCTCAGGAACAACCGCGGTACGAGACCTAGATCTACCCCCCCTACACCTCGACCCGCCCCCGGGCGCGCCTCACCGACATGCGGCCCAGCGCGCCCCACGACACGCGCCTCGAGTACTCCTACTGCGGCTCCATCGTGGCCGCGTGGGCCGGGCCCGCGCACTGGCGCCTCAGGAACAACCGCGGTACGAGACCTAGATCTACCCCCCCTACACCTCGACCCGCCCCCGGGCGCGCCTCACCGACATGCGGCCCAGCGCGCCCCACGACACGCGCCTCGAGTACTCCTACTGCGGCTCCATCGTGGCCGCGTGGGCCGGGCCCGCGCACTGGCGCCTCAGGAACAACCGCGGTACGAGACCTAGATCTACCCCCCCTACACCTCGACCCGCCCCCGGGCGCGCCTCACCGACATGCGGCCCAGCGCGCCCCACGACACGCGCCTCGAGTACTCCTACTGCGGCTCCATCGTGGCCGCGTGGGCCGGGCCCGCGCACTGGCGCCTCAGGAACAACCGCGGTACGAGACCTAGATCTACCCCCCCTACACCTCGACCCGCCCCCGGGCGCGCCTCACCGACATGCGGCCCAGCGCGCCCCACGACACGCGCCTCGAGTACTCCTACTGCGGCTCCATCGTGGCCGCGTGGGCCGGGCCCGCGCACTGGCGCCTCAGGAACAACCGCGGTACGAGACCTAGATCTACCCCCCCTACACCTCGACCCGCCCCCGGGCGCGCCTCACCGACATGCGGCCCAGCGCGCCCCACGACACGCGCCTCGAGTACTCCTACTGCGGCTCCATCGTGGCCGCGTGGGCCGGGCCCGCGCACTGGCGCCTCAGGAACAACCGCGGTACGAGACCTAGATCTACCCCCCCTACACCTCGACCCGCCCCCGGGCGCGCCTCACCGACATGCGGCCCAGCGCGCCCCACGACACGCGCCTCGAGTACTCCTACTGCGGCTCCATCGTGGCCGCGTGGGCCGGGCCCGCGCACTGGCGCCTCAGGAACAACCGCGGTACGAGACCTAGATCTACCCCCCCTACACCTCGACCCGCCCCCGGGCGCGCCTCACCGACATGCGGCCCAGCGCGCCCCACGACACGCGCCTCGAGTACTCCTACTGCGGCTCCATCGTGGCCGCGTGGGCCGGGCCCGCGCACTGGCGCCTCAGGAACAACCGCGGTACGAGACCTAGATCTACCCCCCCTACACCTCGACCCGCCCCCGGGCGCGCCTCACCGACATGCGGCCCAGCGCGCCCCACGACACGCGCCTCGAGTACTCCTACTGCGGCTCCATCGTGAATTTTCCGACGCTGGCCGGAATATCTACTATGATCCTTGTCGCTCCTCCAGCCAAATAGGGATGATGAAAAACTTTTATTTCTTCGTCTATCAAATAGATATCAAAAAGTATTGAACAAATATTTTTTTATTTATGCGCACACTTAAAACATTATTATTGATTTAAAATGTCGCTGACGTCACGTCTTCGTACAATTTTTACTTAGAAATGATGACACGAGCTCAATTCAGACCCAAACTATGATGCGCTATATCTTAGTATTTTATTGGTTGATTGACAAAAAAAATTAGTGAACATTATTTTCTGATAAGCAAACGGACGGACTAAAAAGAAAATCATTTACTTTACCCCGTCATTATACCTATATCAGCGCCCTTTCTTATGTCGATTCAACACATACACTATCATATAAATAAACATAACTTATATTCTAACTCAACAGCGTCAAAACAATCGGAACGAACACAATCCACCGGACCGGGCGGACGATTGACCGTCGACGGCAAGAAGCCGGCGCGGACGAAACGACAGCTAGACTTCTTGGGCGCCGGACTAGCGGTCGACAGCAGATCTACACCCACGGGCGAATACGAACCAACGCAGCCTGCTAAGATCATGATCAGCCGGAAGACTCTGGCCACCGGACACACGTGGAATGAGGCTAACTTCAAGACGCCCATAGACAGGTAGGTTAACCTACCTTGCATAGTGCGAGTCGGACTCGCGCACCGAGGGTTCCGTACAAACTCAATTTAATACCTCTACGCGTTCATGAGATAAAAGGTAGTAACTTTAAAATTTTCAAAAATATTTTTTATTATATGATGTAACTAAAAATTTACGGTTTTCGCAGTTTTTCCTTTATTTGTACTATAAGACGTTACTACGTACCAAATTTCAAGATTCTAAGTTCACGGGAAGTACCCTGTAGGTTTTGATTCCCGTGCGAGTTTCGAAAATTTGCGGCATAAACGGCTGTATCTTTTGATTGCTTTGGCTTAGAAGTTTGATTTTTCACAGCTCCAAGGGACAGTAGACATGAGTATTAGATATGAATTTCAGTTTAGGCTCTAACCATGCTTGGCAACGAGAGGTCTCCACCGTCGAGCGCCTCAATCAGAGTGCGGCGCTCGTTTCGCCAGGCCGTGTCGTCGGGAGAGGCGCAGTAATGACACCGCGGCGACTCCTCCCGACGGGCGACACGAACAGAATAAAAATAATAATAAACGTTTATTTCTTTTAAATTGTTATACATTTAGTTTACACATTAGCAGTGTTGTAATATTAACAATAGGTAAAAGGTTGTAGCGTTGATATCTGCACTAGTTTAAAAAACTGTATTGCAGATACCGGCGCCTTCAGACTTGTTATCAGTACAATTTAATCTATATCTATAATGAAAACGTTATTAATAAAAAGAAAATGGTAATAAACACGGTGCAGGTAGTGACCGAAGCACCCATGTCCGGTCAGTACCTGCACCAGGCGGTAGGTGAGACTGCCCCGCTGGCGCCCTACACACTCCTCCAACACCGGAACACAAGTACATATCACCTACAAAATTGTGTTTGCCCTTCTTTTTACAAAATCAAGAACTGATTCTTACAAGTAGTAATACAAAAGCTCTCTTTGCCATGATTCATGGTCCTCGTATCTGCAGAAAATGCGAGTCTTATTTCTACCTACTGTTCTTAAGCTAGAGGGACCGTTCAAATATCACGTAGGCACCATAGGATTTTCTTTGCTTATTTTTAATGACATGGGCCTAAGTCGAAATGATGATTACGTTAGCAGTATTTATTAACTTTTTTACACATATGGCAACCCTCACATTGTCTATGCTTGAAAACGAAACGCATTTTCGGGGATTCCTACAAATAATTAATAGGCACTTAAGAGTGCAATACAATAATGCCATACTCTTATGACACTACCGAAATATTGCAGCGCGTCGGGCATGTTTTTCGATGCTCGTATATCAGACTTTTATGCTGTTATGAGAAAGCGTATAGCCTGATAACAGTATAATTAAAACCATATGCAAATTACTAAATAATCCTATCTTTGAGTACTGGATATCAGTGTACCAGAGCGAAAACAGCAAATGACGTAGGTGATCTTGAACTACCTGTATTAATTGATTTATTTTTCTTTTATGTTTTTTTTTTATTTTTACTCTGTTTACACTTAATTATTTTTTGTATTGTAATTTGAATATGACATTTTATTGGGTTTTTTATGCCTTTAATAAACAATTATTATTATTAGTTATTTCAAGTATATTCTTTGTCCTGTACAGGGGGTTAGACGAGTCGCATTTCCGCAAACTGTTCCTGCGCCAGAGCGTAGTTATGGCGCGCAAGCGTGAGTTGGAACGCAGCCGGCGCCCCGAGTCCGGCCCCGCGCAGGGCGGCGACACCGAGCCCCTCACTGTGGACGCGCCCCCTGAATACGACTACAACAACGAGAACGACGCCTCCTACTGCCCTAATAATGTGCCGGTTAGTGGTACATTGCAAAACATTACTCCGTTTTTTTTATGTGTAACATCTTTCCTCTCGCTTTCGTGCAATTTGTGGGAGTGATTACGCTACGTGATTTTCACGGAAGTGTGTAATAGGAAGTTTGGGAAGCGCGCGCTGTTTGATTTGATTTTAGAACATAATGTTCAAATGGCTTATTCCTTTTATAGTAGTTTTATTTCTTTTTTTACTAAATTAAGGTGAGGTTTCAAATGTTACACATCATACGCGACTGTAAGTCTCGCTCGTTTTTTTTTTGAGTGTGTATGTTGTTGGTCGCAGATGACCTTTACCGGGTTTGGGGACAACGAGATCCTAAGGGGAATGACGTCTATTGTGTGACGTCAACGAGCGAGCCCAGTGCGGAATAGCGGGTGCTAAGGAATGCCGTTGCAGCAGGGACCAACAGCTTAACGTTCCTTCCGAAGCACGGAGGAACTCGAGATAGACGATTTTTGGTCACCCATCCAATGACCTGCGAAAGTTGCTTAACTAAAACGTTCGCAGCCGAACGCGCTAACCACCCGCGACATCGAGCTCGTCAACATGAGGTGCGGTTGGGTAATTTGTTGCTACACGTATAAAAAAAATGGTATGAATATATGGTGGTATATAGGTGTGGAGCCCCAGCTTAGGTACTCCACACAAAGGGATATCTACAAAATATAAAAGAAATGTTAAACAATATTTATAAAAGAACAGAATATTTACATAACGCAATTAACGCAAAGTAAATATAATTGGAAGCTGTCCGAGAGATTAAATTCTTGAGTTTCAGAAGACAAAAGTTTATTTTTTTCTTGATTCGCACGATTTGTACTTTGCCAGTGTCAATTAAAAATTAGGAAAACTGAATTTAGGAAAAAATGTGATCAGGATAGCGGAGTTGAAAGTTACAAGAAAAGAAAAAATATTTTCGAATCGCAGCGATCAGCAAGGAGGTGGCATGCGTCTCGCCACAAAGGTCACTTTTCATATTTTTATAAATGACTAGCTGTCCTAGCGAACTTCGTACCGCCATAAAAAAAATAGAAGTTATTTAGGTATTTTTTTTTTATGATGTATAAAAACTATAAACAAATAATTTTGTCCAAAAAAAATTAAGGGTTGACCACCCTGAACATGAAGGGGGATGAAAAATAGATGTTGTCCGATTGTCAGACCTGCTGAATATGCATATAAAATTTCACGAAAATCGGTCGAACCGCTTCGAATTAGTTCAATTACCCACACCGTGACACGAGAATATTATATATTAGAATTAGTTTAATTTTATTCTTTTATAGGATGGAGACGAGTGGGGCAACGAAGACGGGACTGCAGCAGGCGATTTACATGACCAAGCGAAGGCGGCCGAGCCTGAGGAGATTGGGGATATGCTCGAACCCCCCACTAAGGTCAACCATATATACCTTTCTTCAACATTAGTAGTTTTTTTTTCTTCAATTTCACAGTTGATATCACGTAGTTGAGTAACAAATTGATTTCTAGTAAAATTTTCTTGAGTTTGATATAATAACAAATTTATTGATTAATTGAAAAATGAATTGTCGCAACTCCTGAGAGTTCTGTCTGGAGATACTCTGGGCAGATTTTTTTCATGTTTTATTTGCATTTTCATGCGTGCAATAAATTTGATGGAACATACTGCTCTTGAAGGATATCATCGACGACCTCCGCGGCCGAGTGGTTTGTACGCCGGATTTCATGGCTGTCCGGAGAGGTCCCGCGTTCGAATCCCGGTGGGGGCAGATGTTTGTGTGATGAATACGAGCATTTGTACTCCAGTCATGGATGTTTAATATGTAATTATATATAAATATACTTATATATGTATTCTATCCGTTACCCTAGTATCCCATAACACAAGCCTTACAATGCTTACTTTGGGGCTAGGCTAATTGGTGTGAGTGTTGGAAATATTTATTATCTTATTATTATTATTATCATATTTTTTAATAAACTTTAAATTTATGTAAAAATATACTCTAGATTGGTTACTAAATTGGCTCACAAAGCAAAACTGATTGTCTGCCATTATATTGGCTCTGCACGTTTTTTCCGGATGACTAGTAGCCATTCTAGCATTCACTTCGCCATTTGCATTGTGAATGTTATAAAGAATAAATAAAAACTTTCGTCAAAATTTTAATCACAATAATCCTTAGTAGTCCAGGCAACGGAAAGGTATAGAGGGAAATGCTTAGAATACAATTTTTGACTTCGTAACTTTGTTAGGAATAGTTAGGAGGTAAATATATCAAAATATCCCCCCCGGCTTAAGGGCTACGGGCGGGGACTTTTGATATGTTTACCTCTTAACTAGTCCTAACAAAGTTACAAAGACAAAAATTGTGTTCCAAGCATTTCCCTCTATACCTGTTTTTGAGCATTCGTTGCCTGGACTATACCACTTCACTGTCTTATTCTATTCACAGGTGTGTGTATGTTTTTTATTATTTAAGCCCCTTTTGCTGCCTGGTCCGCATAGAATTTTTTTCTAGTAAACTTTTCTTTATTCACAGGTGGCTAAAATCTTCATACCGTACGCGATGCGGGCGAAAAAAGTGGACATGAAACAATTGAAACACTGCACATGGAAGATGTTGACAGAGAAGACACCAGAAGGAGAGAAAGAGGACGTATCCAAGACGACATTCTTCTCTGTATACACAAAACTCCCGAGCAAACTGTCTACGAACATGCGAGAGTCGCTCAGTGTGCCATTAGCACTTCTATCCATCCTCCATTTAGCGAACGAAAAAGGACTCATATTAGAGAAGAGAGAAACCCTAAACGACATCGGAATATTGGGGTTAATCAAGTCTAACAAGTGATCCTTTATCGTACCAAAACTGGGAATTAATATTGGAAAATGTAGTGTTTGTCTGAAGCACGTTTTGTAGTAATTTGAGATACATATATTGCAGTTTCCCTATAGGATAGCCATAATTTTGTATAGTCTTTTAATTATAACATAAGACGAAAGCCATAACTACTTAACAGTCAATAGATTTTCAAACTTATTTTTATAAATATTTTACACAAACTCGTAGTATAAATTTATAGTTAATGTTGAGCATTAACTTCATGTATATAATGTAATGGAATAAATATTATTTGATTACAAATGTTACAGTAAACTATTAAGTTTCATAACAATTGTACAGACGTTTTGTAATGCACATTAATCCTTCTACTTTGAGTATTTATAACAAGTAAAAAACAATAATGTTGAAAATGTATTTTTATTCACACCATAGACGATAAGAACAGCAACACAACACAACCAAATTTAGTTTTTCTTCTGTAAGGTAACAACAATCCACCATAACCTACCATAGTTATTCCATCTCAACACAAATCGTGTTGATCACATCAGATACATATTAATGTTAACTCTCTAGTTACACATTAAAACGTATGTGATCAACACGAATTGTGGTGAGATGGAATAATTCGTTATACCCGAGGATTCCATTATATTAAGGGTCAACTAACACTATATTTTCGCCTTTGGAATCATGGGGGAAAATAGAGAAGAATTTGCTACAGACAAAAACATAAAACTTGGTATTTAGAAGTCGCACGTCCATTGGAAAGCATCGCCGCGCATCGTTTAAGCAGGAATACCTTATGAGCGGACGCGAGCTGAGAGACATTTGAGAAATAGGTATTTGAAAATAGTATAACTGTCACGCATTGTAGTAGTTATACTATGCCTCTTTGTTTAATTTTTTTTTGTATTTTCTTAAAAATAACCACAGTGTCTTTAGTGGTGATAAAAAAATGTTTATTTTTGGCCTTTTTCGAGGGCTTCTAGTATATTTGAAACACATGTTATCAAAAAAGGAAAACATAGGAGCATAGAACGAGTAAAATCAATCAAGGAGGAATCAGTCGAAAACGTTTGTATGGAAAAAACACTGCGCGCCTCCCCTCTTAATAGCTAGAGATGAATTTGCTACTGGCAAAACGCGTCGCGTCGCGCGCAAATATACAAAACAGTCAAAAGATGCAAGGTGCCAGTAGTACACGTGGGTGACCAGTTCTAATGGGGTGCCTCGACCACACCTGCACCACAACACAATACATATAAGAGCAGTACTATGACTTCATAAGAATACCCGAAACGACGCACGCACACAGACACTTCATTTACACGGCCGCTAACCAATCTTGGCAAGACAAGGCAAATCTACACAGTACCACTAGCTTGCTACATATATAGTGATTTGTGAGTACCACGTCGCGCGTCGCCGAGACTGGTCGTTGGCCGAGTTAAGTTAGCTGCCCGCGCCGTCTGCCGCCGCAGCGCCGTTTCGATTCCGTAACGTGGCAATAGTACTCGACACTAATCTCCTATCTATTAGACAAGTCCGTCCGTCTGTGGTGCTGTTTCAGCGGCCAAACCGTAAGAGATAGATAAAGAGAATATTTAAGTTATAAGTTAAGAATAGTCTGAATAGACTACAAACCGGATTTGAGTAACGTAGCACTTCCGGTTTTCGAGAAATCAGATTTTGATGAACATTTGGTTCACTGGTTTGCTAGTATAAAATATTTAATAATGGCGGCGTAAATTCTGTAGGTACCAACCCTAGCGCTTCGCTGTCGTAGGTATCTATTTCAAAGTTTAAGTACAATGAGGATCATTTTGTTTCACAATTTTATGCACATTTGTGTTTTATAATTATTTGTTAAAATTTACAGGTTGCAACAAGGTGCAAACTTGAAAACAAAAACCTGTGGTAAATGTTACAAATTCATGTATAATGAACTCCTTACAATAGTTAGTTACAAAAATATAGTTTTTTTTATAGCCAGATAGGCAGATGACTACCCCACCTGATGTTAAGTGGTGCGCGAAGATAGCCGATACAGCAGTTTTTATGTAGTAGACAATGATGTCGATTCTGGCACGATTCTCTAAATGTAAACTTAAATTAATTAATTAATTTAATTTTACATTTAGAGAATTAATTAATTAATTATTTCTTAATTCTTTATTTAGCACAATAAAAGATGTCATCAAGTTTTTCGAGAATCTTCTCTACGGAGAAACGGAGGTGCTTTTGGCATATATTTGTGTAGTATCTGTAGATACAAGTTTCACTGGGATGACGTCATATTTGGAAGTTTCCTAGACTATAGAAACTTAATAAGTTTTATTGGTACACTGCTCATATTGATGGAACTTATGACAACAGTGTATCCTTGTCATTCTCTAAACAGAATGAAAAGAAGAGACTGATGTTAAATTTAGTTTTAAGTTTAGAGAATCACGCCAGGATTTACACCATTAACAAACACAATTTATGCTCACAAGTAGGATGCAATTGGAATATTTATTTTTAACGACAGTTTTTTCGAAAATAATTTTGTAGGCTTTTTCAAAAGCTACAAGGCTATTGTGATATCTTTAAATCCCCCTTATTTATAAAATAGGTTGAGTTAGATGTGGTGGATGTGGATGGTGCTCGCTTGTAAATAGAGGCATTCAACGGCCATGTATCGCGCAAATATTTATTTTCTAGAAAATTCACGCAAAGTGATGTCTTTGTAATCAAAAGAGCTACAATTTGCTCCTCCAACATTTTTTTCGTATCTCCAGTATGTTAGGATTTTTTTCAGATCGTGTTTTTTTACGTAATTGCGGCAAATGGTTTTTCACTTTAAGCTTCAGCTGTTTTTTAAATTAATCATTATAGTTATGCCGTGTTTTGTTCACATCACTCGTGCCATGTCATTCAATGAACAGAGACAAAAGATAGAGTAACTAATCCAAGCTAAGTCTTCGTTTATTAATAAGACGGTATAAGTTGGTCAAACTTCTAGGATGTAAGTATTGTCGACTTCCGTGGCCGAGTGGTTTGTACGCCGGGTTTCTTGGTGTTGCCTACTCGAGGGTTCCAATCCCGGTGGGGGCAGATGTTGTAGAATAATTTAAATGTAGCGAGCAGATGCCCGCTCCGTGCTCCCGCTAAACGCAGCGTAGGCTCTAAGATTTACCTAACGTAGACAAACTAATGCAAAGAAAAACACAAATTTTAATACAGGGCTTTATTTATAAAACAAAAAAGGTGTTTCGCATCTACTATTTTTAGAATCAGCAATCAACAGTAACATTATTACGAAAAAAAAATGGATTGATAATAACCCATTTCACCAATGAACAATTTGAATGTAATGTGCAATCATTATACGGAAACATTTAAAGTAGACAATTGCCGAACATTAACTTTAAACTTACAAATTATAATAGTTTGCATGAATTAGTTAACCTAGGACAATAAAAATTACACAATTGAGTATTTAACATGGACGATCTCAATCGTCTTACGAATATTGAGAAAAATTTACAAATGATTTTCAGCGTTCACTGGGTTTATCCTTTTAAGGATATCATTAAATCATATAAAAATAGTGTCTTTTAACATACTAAACAAATTTCACTCGCACCACTATAACAAACTTTAATATTTTTACAAGTTACATACATGGACACAAAACAAAATAGTCGCCCTATAAACAAAAACATAAAAATAAAACATCATATAAATCGAATTCTGTGAATAAAGAAACATTTGTTAACTTTTCAACAGTGTAATGCAGTCATTCAATATAAATTTAACACACTAGTCACTTTTAAATACATACAGATAAAGTTATGACTAAATAAGCATAAGAGGTAATCTATCACAAACAAAAAAGCTGCTTTGTAATAGTCAAAGTCTGTTAGAGGTTTAGTTATATAACACAAGCAGTTTGGTCACATACACTGCTATTTATTGTTCGGGCACTGGTTTATTTATATCGGTGATGGTTTCCGTTGTCTCTTGGCTTTTTTCTTCTAGTTTTTCTGGAGATTTTTCTGTAGCGGGCGCGTGTTTTTCGGGCGAAGCTTTAGTCGATTCAACTGGTGGGTCTGGTTCTGTCGGCGATTCTTTCGACAGTGATTTTTCCTGTTCGCCAGAACTGGTGTAGCCCGTATCAGTATTGATTGAATCCTTTGATTCCTCTCTTTTTGGAGATTTGATACTATCATTGGATTTTTCTAACGATTCTTTTTCTGGAGATTGATTACTATCACTGGATTTATCTAATGATTCATTGATTGAATCCTTGGATTCCTCTCTTTCTGGAGATTTGATACTATCATTGGATTTATCTAATGATTCATCTCTTTTTAGAGATTTGATACTATCACTGGATTTTTCTAAAGATTCTTTTTCTGTGATATTAATGCTATCACTAGATTTCTCTAACGATTCTTCTCTCTCTGGAGATTTGATACTATCACTGGATTTTTCTAAAAATTCGTTTTCTGGAGTTTTGAAACTATCACTGGATTTATCTAGTGATTCATCGCTTTTTTGAGATTTTATAGTGTCACTGGATTTATTTAACGATTCTTCGCCCTCTGGACATTTGATAGTGTCACTAGATTTATCTAACGTTTCAGATGAAACATCTGTGTTACTGTCTTTTGATACAGTCGTCGTCTGTACGTCATCGCTTAGGTCATTAGTTTCAGCCTCGAATGACTTGTTTTCGATAACAGTATGATTACTGTTCAAGCTCTCGTCTAGATCAGGTTGTGATGTGTTCAATGGACTCTGTGTTCCATCACCTTCACTTTCTTTTTCATCAATATTTTCAGATATAATACTCTCTTTATATTCAGAAACCCGTATTGGCTTCGACGGTTTAAGTTCATCAGTTTCCTTGCCCTGCTCTGTACTCTTGTCTGTAAGAGAGTCTATATCTTGATCGGAAGCAGCTAGTTCTTTTTCGAGATTCTGAACTTCACTGACTTTTGCCTCAGTTGGCTCATTTTTTTCAATAATCTTCTCATCACCTATATTGGAAACTACTTCTCTTGTTTCGGCATCCTTATTGGAAACAAGTAAGGATATAATATCTTGACCATTTAATAAGAGTTTAACCAGAGTTGGTTCACTAGTGCTATCTAGAAATTCTATTTGGAATGTACAAGTTTCATCTGCAGCTAACTCATCTAATTTATCTTTGGCAGCCTCTTTTGCCGAACTATCTCCAGAAAACCCAGTTAACCGACAACATTTAGCCAAAGGTTCGATACCAGCGATTTCCTCCGGGAGCTGTCGGAACTCTTCACACTTGGATTTATTGCCATAGTCAATAAATTGAACGTGATATCCCCCGTCACAGAATTCCAATATTTTTGCCCTATACCATTGTTCGTCTTCGGTCCAAAAGGCGGCACAGACCGATCCAACTTTCAACTCCGATATTGATTCAAAATCGGCACCACCCATTAAACTTTCTGTTACTTTATCTATTTCGGATGACGCATTATCGAGCTGTACGTAGAACTCGTCAATTGAATTGACATAGGATATCTTTCCACTACTATGTAAATCTTGGCCAACCGGAGTCGGCCGCTCGCTTATCGGTTGTTCCTCGCAAAGGCCGACCAATTCTTCAGTTACCGATTTCCCTTCTAGGTACAACTCTACTATCGAAATATCGCCGGATGCTATGAACTGTACATTGAATATCGTCGCACCTTCGGCTGCGAGTTCGTTGAACTTCACTTCCGATTTACGTGACCAAGATTTGATGTCGCGAGGTTTCTGTAACGCGCATTTTCGCGAAAGCGCTGGCTTCGCTTTAAGTTCATCGGGAAGACTTCTCAACTCATTGGCGATGGAAGCGTTGCCATAGTCCATGAAAAGAACTTCGGTTCCTTCAGAACCGTCTACGATGACTTGCGCTCTGTACCAAGCACCATCTTCGGGATACTTGGCCGCACAGATGACGCCTTCCTCTTTGTCTGTCAGTTCAGGGAAGTTTTCGGCATCAACCATCGCCGCTTCCATAGTTTGCAATTCCGGTGCGGCCGTTTCTAGTTGTATCCAGAATTCTGAGGGCGAGTTCACGTGACTCGCGAAGCAGGAAGGAAGATCGCCTCCACACTCGGGCTCTTCGGATCTCGTCGCGTGACCTTCCGAAACTAACTTCTCCGTCAAATTTTGCCCGTTAACGAATATGTCTACGTAAGTCGTGACATCTTTGAGCACAATCAAGGCATCGACGGGTGCGGCTGAATCGCCGACGAGCTGCGTGAAGTAATCTGACGCGGGTTCAGACCACTGTCCAGTGCCTGTGGGGACTGCGTTTACGCTAGATTTGACCGCGTAAGCTTCCACATCTTTAAGATGTTCGGGCACTGTTTTGATCAGATTCGGCTGGTTGTCCAACACATCAGTGTTGCCGTAGTCGATGAAACGAACCGTGGTGATGTCAGAGTCGGAATCTAAAATCACAGCGCGGTACCATTGATCATCGGCCAGATATTTCGCGATACAGAGAGTTCCCATTTCGCGGTTCTCGATGTCGGGATAACTGTCAGCGTTTGCTTGCAGATCGGCCTGGATCTCCTCGATTGTATCAACTTTATCAGACATCTGCAGCCAGAAATGACCAGGCGTGTCAATGTGGCTTATGTAGACTTGCGTGCAACCTGCCGGCAACGAAATTGGCTCTTCAGCGGCAGCTTCCGGTTTGTGCTCCTCTTCAGAATCTATTTTCGGAGTAGCCAACTTTTCGTTGACTAACTTCATAGCTAGGTCGACTCCGTCTAGGTGCAAACTGGCGAGCCAACCGTCGCTACCGAAAGCTAGAGTGACCTGAACTTCTTTTTCAGTCGTCCATTCGGTTAGTTTCGCGAGGGAGTCGTCTTGTAAAGCTACGAGCCCTAAACTGGCTACTAGAGCTAAAGCGCACGGTTCGAAGAATTTGGGGTCCAAAACTTTGAGGTTCTCCTTGGATATGACTTCGGTGTTGCCATAGTCGGCGAACTGAACTTTCACCTGGTCTTCTTCTGCGCTGAGGATGGTGGCGCGATACCAATTGCCGTCGGTAGATTTTGCAGCGCAAAGGCTTTCGACTTCGTAACTTGTCAGGGCTTCGGGCGTTCCTGTAATGACGAACATTATGATTTAATATCGAAAAATATTCAAACTATAGTGTGGACAATTGATTGGCTTAAGGTCTCTCAGTGTGATTCTCAACAGAAGAAAGGTTCATATTTCATCAACTAGTGAACTTGTTAAGAAATTATTAAATTTCTTTATGATTGCCATACAGAGACAGATACTTCTTATTCTTATACTCGAAGAAAGTGACATTATTTTGCGGCTATGATATGATACATATGGCTTATGAATAGTGTTAAATATTATACTCAAAGCCTTATTAGCACTACATGACGTTATAATATTTTCATTAGCGATAACAACTATCCAAGTTAGATATATCTATCTATATCATCATCAGCCTATTAATGTCCCCACTGCTGGGGCACAGGCCCTCCCTCTATGGATGGAATAGGGAGATTGGGCCATGACCCACCACGCGGGCCCAGTGCGGGTTTGGTGGGTGCTAACGATTGCAGATGCAACCGGGACCAACGTCTTAACGTGCCTTCCGAAGCACGGAGGAGCTCGAGATAGTAAATTTTTGGTCACCCATCCAATGACCGACCACTGCGAAAGTTGCTTAACTTAAACGCGCTAACCAGTTGCGCCATCGAGCTCCTATCTATATACTGTGCTCAAAACCAACAAAAACCTTAGCTTCTTTATAGAACTTTTAAAGTAAATTAAGCAGCACAGCTGTCCCCATCTTCTGCCTTCTGCAGATATATTTCGTTGAGATTCACCGTGTCAGCGACGTTGGCCAGGCTGAAGTTGTAGTTGAATACGGGTAAATATGGACAATGTTTTACTTAAAAAAAACCTTCTAAAAACATAAACTCCTCACCTTTTTCATAGAACTTATAAAGCTCATCGAGCAGCATAGTTATTTTGTCCCCGTCTGCTGCCTACTGCAGGTATATTTCGTTGAGATTCTCCGTGTGAGCGAAGTTATAATTGAAAACGGTGCGCATACATAGCGTCACCATAAATATGGACATTATTTTACCTAGAGAAACTATTCAAAAACATAAACTCCTCACCTTCTTCATAGAACTTATAAAGCTCATCAAGCAGTACGGCTATTTTATCCCCGTCAGCTGCCTTCTGCAGATATATTTCGTTGAGATTCTCCGTGTGAGCTACGTAGGCCAGGCCGAAGTTATAGTTGAATACTGCTCGCATACATAGCGGCACCACTTCGTCGTACGCGCCTTCGTCGGGAGTGAATATGGATATCTTCTTGCCGGTAGTGTAGTTGTAAAGGGTTGACACCAAACTGGGCATAAAAACACTCAATGTTAATATAGGATATTCAAAATCTCGAAATCTTAAGTGGTGTGGCTATTCGTAGTCTCATCCCCACTTTTCAAGGTAACCACGGAAGACCAGCGTCGGATAGTCTACAGCCGCGTATCCACTAGAGGCAGCCTCGCATCGAGCGGCCTCGACTTGAAGCAAATAGCCTCACTTTGAGGCTGCTCGCTCTGAGGCAACGGCTACGGATCAGCTCGAGGCGTCTCGCCTCAGCTTGATCCGCCGGCGGCGCACTGCGCAGTTAAAAGCCAAAACGCGATGGCACCAGACGCGCGTCGAGTAGCTACTGCTTTAATAGCAATAACCATTATTAAGAAAAGAGGAGGCAACAAAAAATTATACAAAAAAAGAAGCATCGCTGGTGGATAAAAGAATTATACCGCAATAGAACTATACATGGATGTGAACACTTGCTATTGGACATGACGTTGGAAGGTGGCGATAGCTTTCGAAATTTTAGCGACCGTCTCCATTAAACACACGGCTCGGACTGAGGCGCCTTTGAGCACGGCACAGAAACAGACAAAATATGGCTCGGCTCGCGGCGACGAATTTGCCTCGCGTCGTGGCGTGCCTGAGGTTGAGGCAACGTCTCCACTTGCGGAGTGAGGCAGCCGCTCGACCTGAGGCTGCCTCTAGTGGATACGGGGCTTGCGACACATGCTGAGTGGACTGCCTTTTTAGTGACGCAAATGTTTAGACCTAATTTATTTTATGTAACATCTTTCCTCTCGCTTTCCTGCAATTTGTGGGAGTGATTCCGTGAAATGGGACGGAAGTGTGTAACAGGAAGTCGCGAAAGCGCGCGCTATTTGATTTGATTTTAAAACATAATGTTCAAATGGCATATTCCTTTTGTAGTAGGTTTTATTTCTTTTTTTAGTAATATAAGGTAAGGTTTCAGATGTCCTTTAATTCTTTAATTTTCGTTATTTATTCGTGTCAATATTCAATTGGTACAATACACAAATAGAATAAAAGTAAATTTTAATTGAAACAAAAAGGTATGTGGCTCAGCATGTGACAGTCAAATTTTGACCAGTATTCTGCCACCACCTCACAATTATTATATTCTTAAAAACACATTAATTAGGACAAAATTAGCAAGTCAAGACAATAATACTACGTACTATTAAAGAAACGAATCGAAAATGCTGACGCAAGATAGTCTGTCTCTTTCGCACGATACCGAGAACAGCATGTGCCAGAGAGAAAGAATATATTGCGTTGTAATTCGCGATTCGTTTCTTTGTTGACGTGAGTTATAACCGCCTTGAAAAAGACAAAAAGTAGTTGTCATAAAGACAAATTAGACTGAAAATTACACAACTCACGTTATTCCCTCAACGCTGTTGATGTATACGATAAACTTGTTCCCGGTGAGACTTTGCTTGAGTTCTTCAAGGGTCATCAATTGAGTTGCTTCCTCAGTAAAGTTGTTGAGACAGCATTCCAACGACTGGTAGTAATATACGCTAAGCTCCGTGGGCAGAATCATTAGCTGTGGACAAATAACGATTATAAAACAATTGATCTGTGATCTATCTCACAATATTAAGAATTTGCGATTGTGATTTGTGACTAATTGAAAAAGCACAAATTACGTAAATCATAAACATGACATAGTTACAGGTTAAATCTAATATAAAAAACAATTGCTGTTCGTTAGTCTCGCTAAAACTCGAGAACGGCTGAACGGATTTATCTGATCTTGGTCTTGAAATGTTCGTGGAGGTCTAGGGAAGGTTTAAAAGGTGAGAAAAATAATTATATTAAGACTAGTCTACCTACACTACACCGAAGCGAAGCGAGGACGGGCCACTAGTATAATAATAGGCTATTTGGCAGTAGGAAAAATAAAGTACCAATTGCTGGCATCTGTATTTAATATGAATATTGGCAGTGATTTTACTATTCTGAGAGAAGAAATAGATAGATTAACACTTTATTATAACACCAAATACATAATTACGTAACATTCATAAACAATAATATTAACAAAAGCGTTATAATTGGCGGTCTTATCGCTAAGAGCGATTTCTTCCAGACAACCACTGAGTATGAAAAGTTATACAGAGACCATAGGGGTGTTAAATGGCTTGGAATAAATAGTCACATCCATACATACAATCTACATCAAACTAAGTATCCTAATTAGACATATAAATATATATACTTACATACACATACATAAAAAAAAACCTAAGAAAAAAAATCTTCAGATTTAAACATCTAGCAGTTAAATGCTTAAAAATAAAAATATATTTAATAACTTTTCTAAATCATGAAATACAAATTATTGCTTTGTTGTTTCGATCACATGATCGAAAATGCTTGGGATTGGCGAAGGCTATATATAATGACGTCACATGTTAGTAAACTTCCTGGTCAAAGTAACATGTCATTACCTACCGTACCTTAAAATAAAATATTAAATGAATTTCTTCTTCAGAGATACACCTTCCCCTTAGATACATTTTTAATAAAACTACTTTTATTCCCCAGAGGTACACTTAAATTGAAATGATTTTAGATGAAAAAAATGACAAAACGAATTATAAAATCACTCAACACTGTGGAATTGTTTCTTTAGGCACCTTGCGCACTAGAAGGCCACGACCATGACGCATCGACCAGATTAATTTAATAAAACCATACGAACATCGCATACTTGGCCGCAACGGCAAACCGGGTAGCCAATCGCCTAACGGGATTGCTATGACTATCGCTTACAGTTTCATTTTGTTATTTCTGAAAGCCGAAGGTTTTCATATGCAATACAATATTTAAGAAAATGAGCGTGAGAACAAACCATATCTTTTTCAAAGAAGTGGTAATGGAATTGCCTTAGTCCGGCAGTACAGCCTTGATGTTAGCGGTATCAGATATGTCAGACAGTATGGCGCGGTATATCTTGTCTTGAAAGGTTTACTATCAGGCGGGCCATATGCTTGCTTGCCACCCTTTTAACATAAAAAAACCATACCTTTTCCAAAGAAGTGGTGATGGAGTTGCCATAGTCCGGCAGTACAGCCTTGATGTTAGCGGTATCAGACACGTCGGACAGTATGGCGCGGTATATCTTGTCTTCGTGCCGCACCGTGCAGTGGATTCCGTCGGCCAAACTATCCGACGCTAATGGCGTCAACTGTAAGGATAAAAGTGATATCTATACATATAATAAAATGGTAGAAAAGTCAAAACTATACAATGAATATTTTTTTAAAAGAATACTAAGGGTGTGATCTATCATCGATACCGAAGCCAAAAATATAGCTTTAAGAATTTTTGTCTGTTTGTATGTATATCCGGGATAAACTCAAAAAGTACTGCATGGATTTACTTCAAATTTGGCACGAATATTATTAAGAAGTCAGGTCAACATATAGGCTACTTATTATCAAGCTATCACCTACGGGGAACGAGCAGTGAACCTTTATTTCTCACTAACTCCACGCGTACTAAGTCGCGGGCGGCCGCTAGTATAGAATAAGATATAAAATTTCTATATTCGTTATTTAGACGACCTCCGTGGTCGAGTGGTTTGTACGCCGGGTTTCATGGTGTCGCCTACTCGAGAGTTCCCGGGTTCGAATCCCGGTGAGGGCAGGTGTTTGTGTGATGTATACGAGCACTTGTACTCCAGTCATGGATGTTTAATATGTATTTCTATATAAATATACTTATATGTACAGTTTAAGTATTCTATCCGTTACCCAAGTATCCCATAACACAAGCTTACAGTGCTTACTTTGGGGCTAGGCTAATTGGTGTGAGTGTTGGAATTTTTTATTTATTTATTCAGTTTAGGCTTTTACAAACACATGTGAAAGTCGAAAGCTATGCCATCGGTTCGCAAATCTACGGCGGGAAGCTTTGTACTGAGAAGAGCCAGCAAGAAACTCGGCAAGGGCTGCTTTTTCCTACCTGTTTTATTTCATACAGTGTCGTCAAATTGAAACCTGACATCAAACTTATAAACATGTATTAAGGTTAATTATGAACGTTATTTTATTACTAGCTTCCGCCCGCGACTTCGTTCGCATTTTTTAAGTTCGTGCAACTTTCTTACGAAGTATTAAGAACCTTCTTAAGAAAACTTAAAAAAAAAAGAATGGTCTCTGTAAAGTCGTTTGCAAGTTATGGCGCGGAGAATAGGTACAACCAATGCTCAAATGTTGAATATTTTGATACAGCAGTAAAGTTCATGATAATTTATTTTATCTTCATGGTGCTTCACGAGATCACCTGCGAACTCGGCTGCAAGTCTAAATGCATATCAGTAAGAAAGGATACCCAATGATAGGACTAGCTATTAAAGCTATTAAATTAATATATATTTCTAACACACCCACCAATTAGCCTAGCCCCAAAGTAAACGCCGTAAGGCTTGTGTTATGGGATACTAGGGTAATTAATAAAATTCATATATAAATATAATTTTATTCCGAAATACATATAAACATCCATGACCTAAATGCTCGTTATCATCACACAAACATTTGGCCCACCGGGATTCGAACCCAGGACCTCCGAGTAGGCGACACCTTGAAAACCGGCGTGCATACCACTTGCGAGCCACAGAGGTCATTATCGTATTATCTACTGAGAACAATCAACATTAGGATTATTAAATTTATGGAATACTTACTTTGCTGCTATCAAAACTGGCAATAGCATTCTCGACCAACGTCGCCTTATCAAGATCCAGTTGTACGAAGAACTTGTTCATGGAGTCGACGTGGGTCACTCGACACAGAATCTGCTGGCCCACGATGATCGTCAGGTCTATGGCCTCGTCTACACAGTAGAAACATAAAAATTATTGATATACATTTCCTTAGATTGTTGCTTTCAATGTGGTAGTGCTTCAGTTCACACCCTAGCAAACATCTTCGGCCTTACGAAGTTAAACCTGGACTAAAATTGATGATTAATGTCACTATTGTTTGCTAAAAAGAGGACAAAGACAACATTAGGTTTAAACCATGACTAACTTTAGTCCACGTTTTGTCGTCACGGGGCAACCGGTGTAACCTGGGCGAAACGTCGGGATAAAGAAGGTACGAGAGTCTTTTTAAAGTACGTTATTTTAACCCGTTGAATGTTATATTTATTACTGAGGCTGCAGAATGGGAGGTAAATGATTCCGTAAGTCCATAGGACTACTCATCCGATTTTGAAAAATCTTTCATGTATATTTAGAATTGGCTTTACCAGTAAACATAATAACCTTCTATTTTATCTTATCTATTTTATATTATCATTGGATAGAATTACATTGCTAAGTAGCAACGAAGAATACGACATGTTAAGGTCTAGAGCGGAAGTTTTTAATCTTATTTTGTCTACCGCCCACTTTGAGATGCAATTTATTGTCTAGCACCCAGCATAAACATCTATCTCCTCTATAAGCCGCTTCAATACCATCCCCTAATTTACTCTGAACCTTTAATTACTCAATATGAACAAAAAAGAAAAGGTTTTAAGTTCCACTGGGATTTAGCTGTGATAGCAGTTATTCCAGCGTTTTCGGAGACAATAGAGAGTCAGAAACAGTTCATATGCATTCAATTTAAATATAATTTTACGCAAGATCAATTAACGAAGATTTCAAATTGCAACGAAACGCAACTGAAATATGTAACTTTATTCGCATAATTTTGGCATTTAACTTTGTGAATCGAGCGTGTTCGATAAGCATCGCGTGCCTTCATAACGACAGCGTTTTGCCTAGCTCATTTCGCAATAATCATTAAACAAAGAAACCGTTTTGGTAATTTAATTTATTAAGTTCACAGACATACCTACTTGACCTTTTTAAAACTAGTAAGTCTACTAAAAGTAGGTTAAAATATATAATTATTTGAAAACAGTAACAATAGCAAACAAGCAGATTATGTCCTTCCTGGCACTATCAATTGCACATAAGTTAACTCAATTTTATTCTCAATAGCTAATATTAAATCAGATAAAGCACAAAGTTAGTTGAAAAAATTAGTTTCGCTGTGACGTTTTTTTTTGTCATTGGCGGCATAGTATTGCTGGCCGATGAATGCCCTATTTTGATATTTAAAACTTTTGCATTTTCAGATGATTGTGTGATAAAAAAGGCTACCTTAACTTATTCCAACTAACAGAGTTTAATGACATCATCTACCCTGACTCCATGTGACGTTTGGCAACTTTGTTAGCTGTATTGATGTTCTTACCTTTAAGAGTAACGGACGAAGTTTGTTCCGACATAACGGCGAGCTGCTTCTCAACCAGCATATCAGCGACGCTGGTGCCATTGTTCCACAAAGACACCTTGAATTGTTCTTCCGCCATCTCTTGGAACACACACTGGTAACGGGGCGCGTTGAAACACAAATCAATTTCAGGATCCGCTTTCCATTCCCCGTCTTTAGGAGCAACGCCCAATAACGAGCAGTGTACCGCCATTTTAGGCAGCTCCATCAATTCAGAGTCCAACTGCCAGATATCTTTCGCATCCACCAATTGCTTATTACCAAAGTCCACATATCTAACTATGAATTTGGAGAACGGCTGAACAGAAACTATAGTTGCTCTGTACAAAACTCCATCGGCTGGGTACCTGGCCAATACAGAGGCACCCACTGGCACTGTGCCCGTGTACGATTTCACACCCTTATACAGTTCTGGTATTTTGTGCATCATCTCTAAGAATTTCGGTTGTTCGGACATGATTTGAGTGTAGAAGCTTTCCGGCGATATGATCCATGTTACTGAGACTTCGTGCTGGGCGCCGATTTCTATTAAAGGTTCCGAAAACGGGGTTTCTAGAGAGACCGGGTTGAGGAGCTCCTTGTATTGAACTTGTGTGAACTTGCTGCGACTTTTGTATGGAGGGGCGCGACCGCTGTCTTGCGACTTGAAACTCCTTTCGGAGCGTTTGTCACTTGTGTCCGAGTACTTGTCGCTGCGTTCAGCTCGGTCGCGCGGTGTAAAGTTGCTTCTGGGTCGATCGGCTCTGTTGTCCCTGAACTCTCTCTTCTGATTCCAGTTGTCTTTCTTGTCGCCCCAATTGTCTCGTCTGTCGCCTCTGTTTTCGCCCCAGTTGTCTCGCCTTTCGTTACGATTGTCGCCACGGTTGTCGCCGCGGTTGTCGCTACGGTAGTCTCCGCGATTGTCGCGTCTATCAGGTCTACCATCACGGTTTCTATTGCCTCTATCATCCTGAGAGAACTCTGGCTGATTGAATTTGTTGTCACTAAAAATAATGATTTCTTTAGAATACATATGCAAATTTTAATAAAAGCATTGAATTCAAGAAACAATGTAATGTTACAATAGTGCAAAACAGGTACAAAACACCAAGCATTAAAACACAAAATAAAGATGAGTAAAGTATTAATCATATTAAGTGCGATCAAAAGAAAACAACAACATTGGCGTGCTGAAAATGAAAAGAATAATTATTATCTCAATCGACATACTGTGCGCTACGCAGGTGGAATTTGACAAAAACTACAAAGAGAGTACTGCTGCGTATGCGACGAGAGCGAGTCACGCCGCCGCCGGCCACCAAGCGTGAACAAGCAAATAGGCCGAGAAAACAAGAACAATGACTCAAATATTAATGGCGCTTCATACATCAACGAGTGTGTTTGCACTTACAAGTATTTGAAACGTAAGATTGTTAACGAATTACGGAATACGAAGCGATGTAATACAGTTTTATCAATACTGGAAGAAAGCGAGCATATTGTGTCGAATTTCTTCATATGGTTTTAGCAATACCTTTTTGTTTTTTTATTTAAGTTATGAAACTTACTCGTAAACGTTTTTTTAACACAATAGTATGAAGAAATTATGCTTCAATCAAGCGTTAAATGATGAGCAATGCTGTTGTTCAGTTCCGACAACTTTCACACAATTTGAAGTTGCATAGTCGGATGTATGCTTTGAATATGGATTTTATTTTGATATTAACCAAATTAGGTTAAAAATAAATTTAAAAAAAAACACTGATTAAGCAGTTAATGAAGTGAAACAAGGAGTTAATACAACATAATCGTAGCATTACTCGTGAAGCATTAAATATTGAGTCAGTGGGTTTATAGTGCTGTGCAGCGCTTGATTTTTATGGACCGCAACACCGGATTGGGACAAACAACACAGCATGGTGTGATGAACGCATGCGCTGATACTTCAGGCTGTTCGCTTAGTACCGTTTGAGCCTGTCCTGGACCGAAGGCCTAGAGTTCTGAGCATCAACAGAGGCAGCCTCCGCAGCCTGCCGAAGCCTTTTGCCAACCCCCGTGGAGTCTTTCTTCCACCCCGGCCTTTGCTGCTTGTCTTGATGATCTGACCTAGGTTTTCTTCTGCTGAATTCAGTTTTTCGTATATAATAATAAATAAATACTGTATAAATTGATATTACATCAGAATAATACATAATATTTTATGCATCGAAAATATAATTATAATAAGAATCATATATGAATATCAATATAATGAATATAACTATATTCTATATATTATGTATAAAAAAAGTCTCGCTTTATTTCATATTTTAAAAATTGTATCAAAATATAGGTAAAAAGTGGATTTACTGAAATTAAATAACCAACCATTTAACTTCTATTCATACTTGAAAACATGCAAATTGGACAACTGCGGAGAGCGTCATGTATTGACAACCGGAAAATTGCACCTCCACTGTCATCGTTCTTTATCTAACCTAAAGAAGTTGTGTAGGACTTGCCTATCTCTGTTGTTTTCCCTGTCTCTGTTGTTGTCCCTATCTCGATTGTTGAACCGTGGCTGGAAGGAGGATTGTGCAGGCGCAGGCGCCGATGTCTCTCCTTCGTCCCATTCGTCGTCCGCAGCGGATGCAGCAGGAGGCGCTGGTGGTGACGTGTTGTTCTCCCAAGGCTTGGGACCTCCGCGTCTAAAGACCAATTCAATTACATACCTCTCAAACAGCCATACTCAGAAAAACTAAAGAACATTTTACTAGAAAAAAATCCACGGGTTCCAGGCAGTAGACGCACCCTCCGCTACCCGGGCGGTTGCACTGACCAAGTATGCTACCGCGATCTTAATGGCCGTGTCGATTTACTTATAGTACTTCTTAGGTTTTAAGGTAGTGCCATCTCTTCGCATTGTAAGTAAACCACAATAGCAAACGAAGTACTTGTACAAGTATTAATCATTAAAAAGAAAAAAACAACAATTGCAGTTTATTATATTTTTATACTTTAAAATGCTAGATGTTAAAATCTAAAGATACTCAGAAATATCAAATTCATGCTTCATTAAATCACTTGTCTAGTGATCAGTGACAGTGGTGTCGAATGATTAATGTGAGAATGATAAGGATGCACTGTTGTCAAATTTAAGTTTAGGTTTAGAGAATCATGTCAGAATCGACACCAGTATCAACTTTAGTCAAACTTAAAGTTAATTGACTTTTCTATGTGCGGCCGTAAGTCGATAAGCAGGCTAATGACAAGCATTTACTAAGAAAGGGAAATGAGCGACAAATTGATGTGTGGAACAAAGTACAATAGATCTGCCTTCCACGAAGTAAACATTGCCTAGCTCACTATTTTCCGTGACAGCACATGTGTAAGAGTGAAACCTGCTAAAAATACGTGGGGCGGACCTTTTTTCTTTACAAGGATCAAATAAAACTTCAAAAAACATTTTTATATAGGTAGAAAACGATGTTTTTTTTTCGTAGCAGCATTTAACTGCATGTCATTATATTGCTTTCACTGACTGATACGCGCGTAATAAATTAGATTAAAACAGAAAAGGAAATTATGGTACGCGTGGTGGTATATTTTATATGATGCTAGTATGAAAAAGCAAAAAAAATATGGTCCGACTTAACTACATAAGCAACTCTCACGCACGCACACTTCTGTAAATAAACATTTAATCGAGCGAGCGAAATAGAACTGCACGCTTCATCTCAGCGCGAGCGAAACGGCGGGTCCGCGTTTTTTGGCTTGGCGACTGCATTTTCTGTTCTCTCTCTACAAACGGCTGAGCTGTATTGTTGTCCTTCTTTTGATAATAAATGGCAAAAAAGTAAATAACATTCATGACAAACCGTGATTGTTGAGAAAAAAAAATGTTTTAATTTTTTGTAGTTGTTTTCGTAGTGTTATTTGATATTTGATCTTAAACTACAGTTTGTCTATAAAGTCGTGACATGAATGTTTGAGGAACTAACATTATTCACGTGTCTGGCAACACCAAACTTATGTACATCAGCTGTCATCGAGTTTCAGTTGTGGAACAGTTTTCCTTTTGTATTTTTTATTGTTTGGATTAAACTGGAATAAATTAAGACGAAACTACGCAGAAAGGTATAAAAATGAGTAAAGTAAATCGGAGTGGCACGCGGGAAGTGATTTTTAAAGTTTACCAGCGATGTTTCGCGGTACTCCGCCAGTACCAAGTTGGACGAATTTTGTGGGATTTGGATGATGTTTATGGGCGAACAGCATCCTAGACGGGTATGTAATCGTGTAACTATTTGTTGAAGTTACAAATTTACGCAATTTACGATTTTGAGACCAAAAAAGGCATTGTTTACATTGCACATTTTTAGGTTAGATTGACATTGTAAATAGGTAATATTGTAGTACGACCATTTTTTTTGATACGTTATTATGGTTCAACACGGTCAGGTTTTCTACCAATTTTGAAATAATTGCTTTCATGTCAATAAGTTATTGTTTCTATTTCGTTACATATTTTTTTACGTTTTTCAGGAAAATCAGAGATTCGAATAGCCAACGAAGGTTTTAAGAATGATGGAAAGTTTGAAACTCCTGGGAAAACAGGCAAGGCCGACCAAAGAAAGAAATGGTCACATAAAGAACCATGGCCAGATGCCTTTAGTGAAGATACCTATCACTTTTACTAACTGCACATTTACAAATTGTTTCTCTAAATAAACTTTTCATATACTATAAAATGATTTTTAGTATTATTTTCTTAACAAGTGAGTTAAAAAACGTCGTATGATGATACTTGTGTATATTGATGATTTCCTAACGGCTCTGGTCTCAATGGCACCTCAGCGGTTATCACCAACACACACTTTTACACTATAAAGTACTATTTTATCTATAACAATTTTATTCTGACTCAATTAAATATGCTTGGCTAAACTTTTTATAAGCATAGGTACCTACTATATATAAAACAGAAACAAAATACGACTGTATAGTGTGTCTTATTAATTACCTATTTTACTTGAATGAACTGCTAGTATCAAAATCATTTTGGTCCGACTGTATAGGGTTGCTACATGCATACTAGTGGCGCCATTATTTAATGTCACGACTTTATAGACAAACTGTCTGTGTGTTCTTTATAAAAGCATGGAAAGCATTGTTTAATCTTTAACAGAATATACGCAATATTGTTATATTGAGTGCACATGCAGCGTGTTTGAATGTCCAATTGTGACTAAAGCGCATTGTGGTCATGCACCACAATTTAAGCGGATCACTTTGGAGCCGCGAGAGCCTTCCCTTTTTGTTTTAATGTAAGCGTTATAAAGGTGAGAGAATGGAACTATAATATTCGTTGGATACATGTTTCAAATCTCGTTCTGAGAATATTATACGGTACACAATAATTATAGAGTACTGCAATAAACACGGTTTATTATAACGATTACTGAGATAGGGCGCCGGCGAAGAGGCGATGACCGCGCGATGAAGCCTATAATTATGCAAGATCTTATGGTTAACAATTCCGACTCGTTTAAGATACATTCAAAACACATATCTTATCGTACTTTTTAATGATTGTAACTTGTGCCCGCGACTTCGTCATATTGTTATTTCATACAAAATTGTACCCAGAAAAATTAGGTTTTCACCCCCTTAAAGGATGATTTATAGGATAAAAACTATATTATGTCCTTTCCCGGGATGCAAACTATCTCTATACTAAATTCAACAGTTTAATCTTAAAGAGGTAACACAGAGGCGAAAAAAGAGAGACAGACACACTCTCACATTTATAATATTATTATCTTCCATGAAAAAATATCTTAGGTGCTAATAGTGAAAACCGCAGGCCTATAAATATAATATATAAAATAAATAAAATATCTAACTTGTAACTAATTAGCGACCGGTGGTTGAGGAAATGAAGGCACACGGAAAGCGATATTTTTTACCATGTACATATATGTACAAATATATTAAACGGGGTTAAAGCTTCTATTTCCGAGTAAACCATAAAAATAATGAGTTGTTACTGTATGCATATACTTCAATACTAAGTAGTTTGTGAAATCAGATAATCTTTTATTTGCATTATAAGCAGAGTAGTTGCGATATAAATTAATGAAATAGAAAGTATTCTTTGTCCAAAATACTAGGCATCACAAAAAACAACACCCTGCCTCCCTACCTCTAATGATCAATATGATGAAGAATCTCATAAATCATTTCAAATTACGTGTTATCACAGAGCGTAATAATAAGAGTACAAGAATCATCTAAACATAATGAGTAATGGACAACCCAGATGGATCTATAACGAAACAACTATAGCACTTGAAGCACATAAATATGTTACAATAAATGTGATGAATGTGGTGATTATTAACTCTACCAATACAATAAATGTATAAATTCAAAGTTTTGTATAATAATTATGAATTATTTTGAATTATTTACATAATAGCTGTAAGATTAAATGATGCTGTCAAAAAACTATGATTTAAACGGTAACACATGTATAAATCATTAATTACAAAGAATAATGAAAGGCTTACCTTTCGCCTCTGTCAGGTCTGCCGGCAAACTTTTCACTATGTCTTCCAGGTCCTGATCTATCGAAGCCTTCATTATCCCTGCCCATTGAGAAACAGTACGATGTAATACACGCGAAGTACTTAACACAGGTTTCAATTCAATTAATTATTGGTAGGCACACTTTAATTGCACTATGAATGGATTACCTATACATTCCGAGTGATAGACGCGAAATAGCACAGCGACTACTGAAATCTCGACAACGGGTTCAAAGAACCGAAACCAAGGCTAGAGCAAGCCATGACTCAGGCTACTATGAATAGTTTTTTGTTATGACATAAAAACTGCCGGCAAAACAGTACGGGCACAGGCCTGATAAATTAAACGGTGTCTATAAAAATATTATTTAAGGTTCTCGACATCTCCATGGACAGTAAAACGAATTAAATATCGAATCAGGCATCATTAGGAGAGGTAGGGCATAGCGGATATTCCGCTCGAATTGGAGCGTCCGTCTGGGGATGCAACCTCCACCTTACAGAGGACCGCAGTAAATTAACGCTACCTTTTGGTGGTGTTGTGTTTCTGTCAGTGAGACAGGGGCGCGCCCTGGCTGCGCCCGTCGCATGACCCTACCCGGGGGGTTCCTCACTGACCGGCATGGCATCAGCTGTGCCGGCCACCATCGGACCCCGTGTCGGCAGCCCCCCCTTGTAGTTCTGTCCTGCAAAGAGGGGGGCGGCGGAGGGAGCTACACGGGCAAGCCCAAGTAGCCCTCCGCAGCGGACGGGAGGCGGTACGGTGGGCACTAGGCCGCGTACTCAGCCCCCATGCCCGCGCATGGGGCCATCCTGCGCACGTCAGCGGGGTCCCCGCGATCCCCGGGTGACCCCTGCCGTGGAGCCCCGGATAGGCCGGGAAGCTGTTAGGTGCGGAGACGCGAAAGAAACCCTAAACGGAGGTCTCGCGTCTTCGCGCAAAGCAGCTTAGAGGGTATTTGCAGGGTTTTTAGCGTATATTATGCCGTAAAGCGCCCGTAAGAGTGACGGGGTCTTCAGCGGGTAGCCACTGCTGGGGCTTGTAAGGCTTGCGGGAGCCAGGTGTGAGGTCCGTTCGGCGGTGTGCCTCTTAAAGGCGCCGTCGTCTGTAAACAGTATTGAACAACACGTGGTAGAAGATTGGGTCAGGGTAGACACCGCGCGAGTGATATTTTTTTTGTATCGCAAGCGTCTATTTATAGGCTATGGTGGCCACTAACCATCAGGCGGGCCTAGTGCTTGTTTGCCACCCTCTGAACAAATAAAAGAAATCAGGGCAATGTATCAAAATATAAGCAACAAATAATTGTGATAGGTAGTTGATGTTACCTATATCTAGTAGCATAAGTGAGAGACATCTTATCAAATAGTAAATGTTATCAAATCCATAGTTTGATGTACTAACTTTACAGATATTTTTTGAAGTAGACCAATATGTATTTAAGATTACGAAAATAATAAATATCAAATAACCTTTGCAGGAAATAACTAGTAATCACATATCATAAAAAATATCAAGGAATGGATTACCTAGCACGGAAGCTGCCCCCTCTGTGGCCGAAGTCGTCGTTGTCTCGCGGTGGCCGTCGCTCATCCTTGAAGCTCTTCTCACGGCGGAAGTTCTTCTTCCTGCTGTCATCGGGCACGGAGCCTTCGGGCGAGCTGAAGCTGTCTGGAGCGTCTTTGCGAACGGGGGTCGTTGCTTTTACCTGGCCAATATTTATGCGTCTGTTTATAATGAGGGGTATCAAAACACGAATGTGGGTCTATCACACGAGGCGAAGCCGTGCAAGTCGTAGAGTAGGAACTCAAAATCTATTGCGTGCGATTGCGAGTTTTAAGTAAATTTCGGTAAGCCGATCTTAACTGAAAATGGATCTTGAGCTATTCCATGCTCCAAAGTCCGCATGTATTGTCGTTGTCACGTTAACATCCACTAATCTGCATTGTGTACGTAGTGGAATGATGTGATGCTATTACGGGAGCTGTCTCCCATAATAGTTTCTTTCATAGCAAGCAGCGCTCCTACCAGACGTGAGAACAAACTGGCTCCTTCCATACAAAATTTGACGATGCTGCTACGATTACGGTGCTATTAAAGATCGTGCTTGGGCCTCTGAAGAATTTGGAAATTTCTTATCTAATCATTGAGTAGTCAAACTCGACAATATTTTGAACGACTAATAGTGATATTTTACTTAAACAGTTACAATTTTGCATCGACTTATCATCCAAAGTTCAGGTTTCGGTCTCCTGGTGACGTAGTCGTTGCTTGGATTTCTTTACATTTGTACGTTTTATAGTGTAGCACTTGAGAACAAACAGTTATCTTCTCACATTATTCATACTACTGTCGATCTGTGGATATATCTATTCTTTTAGGCACCTACCTAATATTTTCTTTGTTATTATTATTAGTTTTTACACGACTTCGAAAACGAGGAAGTTCTCAATCCGGGGGGTATGTTTTATGTATATGTATGTACACCGATTATGCCTTCGATTCTAATCGGTGTACGTGTTTCAGCCTTAATCTTTTTGTTTAAAAATAATTGTATTATATCATCATACCTCTTACTTATATAGCTAATTATTTAAAATAATAGACGAGCTGTTTTGCAAATTATATTGAACCTATCAGTCAATATTTTATTTTTTCAAGTAATCGTAATGTTTGCAGTTCTATAAATATTACTTAATGACTACCTATAATTGTTGGATACTATCGATCAACACGAAAACGTTGCGTGAAGCATTACATAACCGAAACGCGAACTGAGAATCTGCACAATCATATTAAATCAATCCCAAATGAAGTTATCTGTTAGTTGAACGGTCTTTATGTATGGCAGTAGCACCGTTCCTAGAGTAGATAGTGTAGGCGCTAGGTAATAAAAGCGCGAAATAATAAAATTCCAAAACTATCTTGTGAAAAAGAAAATTTATGGAAAACTGATTTTGTGGGCTTGCAGGCCGTGAGCTTAGTTAGTAGTGTAGCTAACGCAGTTTTTCATTCTTGTTTGCAGACTGCAAACTATGCAAACTAAGCTGTAATGTAATGTGAGCTACCTAAAATATGCGAAGCTAAGTTATTTGTGTATGCCGATGCGCAGCTACGCGAGCTGAGCTAAGCCCCTCCCTACTAATCCCGAGATTGAATGTGTTGGCATAGGCAAGGTCTGGAATGTCTTTTTTCGATAATAATAAGTCAGTATTAATCTTCGATCAAAACAAAAAGGGAAGATAGGAATTTCGCGGATCAAAAGTGTACTGCTCAAATTGTGGTGCATGAACACAATTCGCTTTAGTCATAATTTGACATCCAAACACGCTGCATGTGCACTCAATATAACTACTAAATATTGTATACACAATTCTGTGTTGTAAAGATAAAACAATGCCTTCGACGCGTTTAAAAAGAACACAAATAGTTCAAGATATGCCACAGCAACACTTTTCATTCGTAAAACTATAACAATAATCACGGTTTATCATGAATGTTATTTGCTTATTTTCGGTATTTGTTATCAAGAAAAGGACAACAATACAGCACAACCGTTTGTACAGGGAGAAAAGAAAACGCAGTCGGTTGCCTAGCGACGCGGACTCGCCGTTTCGCTCGCGCTGCGTTGAAGCATACAGTTCTGTGTCGCTCGTTCAAATAAATGTTTATTTACTTCTGCAAATCGAAAGCTTGCGTGTGTGAGAGTTGCTTATGTAGTTGAGTCTAAGCATATGGCATATCTTCCTTTTTAGCTCTAATCAAAGGTATTAATATTATTTTCTACGTGTAAGTTATTCATCAGCGGAACTTTCTTCATCGATTATACTGGCGAGTGGCGTCAGTGGCGACTTGAACTGGGTGTCAAGATGTTGGTGTTTTTAGTTTATCATAGCTTAACTTCGGAATAGCTTAGTTTGCAGTCTGCAAGTCGAGCATTGACAAAAGGGCGCTATATGATACACTTGCTCTACCCTGATGAATGGTTAATGCTGCATGCCCGTTACTTAGCGGCTGAGGGAATCTATGCTTTTCTTGCTTTTGGGCATACATGATTTTCTTTTTGCAAAATAAAAGTTTCTTGCAGTTATATCTCGCTATATTTTCTCTTAGCAAAATCAAAAGTAGTTTTGCATCTCCCAAAGGAGATGGATCACAAAACTGACGCTATTATTTCTATAATTATCTGTTATGTGACATCGTTAATCTACACTTCATTAAGAATTTTTTAAGCGGTAATCTCTGGATCTATTGAACCGATTTTGAAAACATTTACCAATAGAAAATGTGTGAGTGTCATACAGCTTTGACAACAATATAAACTACAGAATTATATCTATTTCAATTGTGTTAATATTTTTCAAATGTCAAATTAGAAGGTTTTGTGTTTGGTAGGAGTTGATGTAAGACCATTTCGCGGTTCCCACACTTGCGGGACGAAACTTTGGCTGCGCCTGCGCTTAGTGCGCTAAAGTTAGTCCAAATTTCGCCACAACAGGCGTGGTTGCAAACAAATTTATCGCCCCCCACAACCTCTTTCATATGTGTCAAAAACCGCCAGTCAAGCTATTGTCTAGCGTCTATCTTCACGCAGCTCGATAGTTCATTACGATAACCGCTAATGACTTCCCACAACTACGTCTATCGCGATCAAAGACGAAGCTTCGTACCAATGCCAAATGTGACACCCAAATGGATACTTTATTTAGAATAAATAGATACTGGGTATTAGATTTTTCCACATTAACCACTTTTCCCAAATGTATTTTCCCCTTTCCTTTCAGCTAACAGATTTCAATTTCACTTGGGGATACATCTAAACTTTCTGGTAATTTCAGCAGAGGCAATACTTTTGGTCTCGCAATAACAAACATAACTAAACAAACAATGCTCCAAACCTTTTAGCAGTTCTCAAGTGATGCTCATCATACTTCATCTTAAGACATTTGATTTTTATATAAATACTGTTAAATACAATATAATTTATTTAGGAGCTGGCATTCTTAAGTGAGAAATATAATTAGAAAACTGCTTTATTCTCAGGACTTGTGTAAATACTTGTTTGCAACATTATAATCATTTTACACTGAAAACCCAGTAAATCAAATTCAGTTGATAATACAAATTAAGCCAGTTATCGTCTGCAAAAATCCATTATAAATCCATATTTCTAATTACCATTTATGAAGATACTGTATTCACATGACTAATTACATTTTTTTCTAAACCAATAGTTAGTTAATTTAGACAATTAGCTCCCTGATTTATACATACCTCATGGTTGCTCCTGGGTTGGGAGAGCTGGTTCATCTTCCTAGCAACATCGAGGGGAGGACTAACAGTGTCATCAACCAGTGAAACTAGCATTGTGTCGTTGGACAGCACACCCACAATATGAGCTATCAATGTCTTCTCTAGGGCCAGCATTTCTAACTGGTTTGAAGTCTTTGTTTCAACAGGTTTATTTTCAAAACCCTATGAAATACAATAAGATTAGTAAGTTATTAAAATCAAAATCTTTGAAATATTGTCAAGATAATTAGAATCTGTTATGACTCCTACTTACTTTAAGTGCACATTTCATTGCTTGAGCAGGTAGTCTTATTAAGTCAGGAGTAATTGTCCTGAGGTCTGTCACATCAATTTCCTGTTCATTGCCATAATCCACATAGCCCACAATAATTTTGTTCCCTTTTGTGTCACGGATCCTTGCCCTGTACCAATTGTCATCATCGGGGAATCTTGCACAACAGGCTGCCCCAACAGGTAACTCACCAGGGGAAGAAGTATTTTCACAGTGGGCTTTTACAGCATCCATGACTGCATTAAGCTCATCAATATTATCCGAAAGTTGGACATAAAACTTAATACAGCTGTCTACATATGACACCAATACAGATTGGTTAGTTCCTAAGGTTAACATTTCTATCCACTTAAATTGCAAATTATCTTTGAGATTAGCCATCAGCAAATCCAGAACATTTTTATTATCCAAATATAACTCGCCATACTGAATCAGTGGAGGGCCCTCAGGAGATACTACTTTAAGTGTTAAGACTTTCCCATTTACAAGTTCTTTGAAGGTCTCATTCAAGTGTCGGCCTTTTTCCAACTTCTTAACACCAGACAAGCAAAATCTCATTGCAAAAACATTTGGTTTCACAAATTCCTCTGGGATGTCGAAAATATCATAATAGGAAACCATCTCTGTATCACCAAAGTCCACAAAGAAAAGTTTACATTGTGAACCAGACAAATTCATAACTATAGCCCTACATATAATCCTGTCTCCAGACATACGCCCAAGGCAAACAGTTCCTATCATTGGAGGTTCTGCAAGGCTGCTGTGGGGTCTTCTGTTTATATCGTCCATCATATCCTGCAGCCTTTTTGCATCTGTCACCAGCTGAACAGCAAAAAGTTCTGGACCCTCCTCAGCAAAAGAGACAAATACTTTATGTTGAGAATTAACTTCCAATAGTCTACTTTTGTATGTTGTTGATTTTTTCGGAGAAGATGGCTTGGTAGTACTTCCCACAATCAATGGTGGTGTGGTTGGGACTGAATTTAATGAATTAGTGTTTGCATGTTGAGGTTGTCGAACAGGAGGTTTTAGATTTATTGGATTTCTGGATACTTTATTTGCTATTAACCGCTGACTAATCAAAGATGGTGGAGGAACACTTCCATTAAAAGGTATTGAAACACTCTGTTGTAATCGCATTGCTGATGCAGGGTTTGAAGGGAAATTTTGATTTATCAGAAATGGCACATGTTCAGTATATGGTGAATCATTGGAAAATACTGGTGACCAATTGGCAGTTTGCTGGTTATCACCACCCATTTGCAGCAGAAGAACTTCTTGTTTTACAATAGGAATTGCTACTCCAAATCTATTTGCTACAAGGTGTGAAGCCAAGTCATTTCCTTTAAACTGAATGGATATTAGAGGCAGTGTCGTCGTTTGAGCGTCAACTGTTACAGGATATTCAGTATAGCAAAGGAGACTTTGAAGTTTTAACAGTAAAGGTTCCTCCCATCTACCAGAGGGATGCATGATCCTAGATAAATAATAATCAGTGGCTTGGCCACGTAACTGTAAGAACATTGGATCATAGTTATCTAGAAATCTAATGGTACTCAAAGATATGATATCCTTATTGCCAAAATCGATGAAGTGTACTCCAACCAAGCCAGTAGAAAGACTAGTAGTGTTTATTATCTTTGCTCTATAGTACACGCCGTCTTTGTATTTAGCAGCACATATCACCCCTTCATGAATAGCTGCCGGTGGAACCGCTCCTATACCTTTTTCTAAGTTTTCACGCGCGGTTTCAAACAAACTTTCTATCATCAGCGACGACGGTTGCTCGAGCTGACCACTGATCTTCAGAAAATGGCCTTCTCCATCCACATGGGTCACATACAATCGAAAAGATCGAGGAATTTCGGCTAACAAAGCCATGATTTTAATCGACAAGATAAGTAAGTGGCACTATAAATTGAAAAAGAAAAATTGTTACTGACTCACATCACTTCTACTAAATTCTACGATCTAACGTCAACGCACTTTTGTTGGTAGACTAAATAAAAAAGCGGCTTTCTTTTCGTTCTTTTCCGTTTACGTTTTCATCTAATATGGCGGGCGCACAGAGTAGAGAGTACATTATTTAAAATGGGTGGGCGGAACAGATTAAGGAGCAGTGCTGCCAGATCAAAATTGGCCATCACTTTTCTTCTTTGGTTTAGGAAATAATAGTGATGTCGATTCTGGCATGATTCTCTGAACTTAAAACTAAATTTGACATCAGTCTCTCCTTTTCATTCTGTATAAAGAATGACAAGGATATACTGTTGTCAAATTTAGTTTTAAGTTTAGAGAATCATGTCAGAATCGATACCAGTGTCTTCTTTTCATTCTGTATAGAGAATGACAAGGATACACTGTTGTCCATTCTGACATGATTCTCTAAACCTAAACTTGATAATAGTGTATCCTTGTCATCCTCTATACAGAATGAAAAGGAGAGACTGGTGTTAAATTTAGTTTTAAGTTTAGAGAATCACGCCAGAATTGACACCATTGTTGTCTAATTTCCGTTCTGTTTAAGAGAATTATGCCAGAATCTGCACTATTGACTGTTTTCATATTGTACGCTAGCGTAACTATGACGTAACGTGTGGAATTAAATGAGATGATAATAGTATGCGTATACAGACCCCCTCTAGGTAACTTTAACATTTTTGAATCTGTGATGGAGGATGTACTGAAAAAGTTAAAGTCGAAAAATAAGTTTTTGGTTGTTTGCGGTGACTTTAATATTAATATTCTTGAACAAAATTCAATGTCAGTACGTATAATATCATTATTTAAATGTTTTAATTTGACCCATCAATTTTTTGAGCCTACTAGGGTAACATCACATTCAGCAACTTGTTTGGATAACGTATTTACAGATAGTACTCCTGATAATAAATCCATTTTTAATAGTATTACATCTGACCATTATGGCTTAAAAATACAATATAAAATAGATGTAACAAATGAATCTAAAGTGATTGAATTGAGATCAGTAACAGAAAACCGGTTAGAATTTTTTCAAAAAAACATTGACTATAGTATTTCTCATATCCCATGGACACATGATGATCCTGATATTCTTTTTGGGGATCTTTTTAATCTAATAAGAAATGAATTTGATAAGGCTTTTCCCTTAAAAACTTCGAAACTTACTCCAAAGTTACAGTTCTGTGACTGGGCTACGACTGGTATCTATAAAAGTAGAAACAAACTTTATGAATTGTATCATCTAAGAAAATATAATCATTCACAAGGTTTTATTGATTACGCTAAATGTTATTCTAAAACCTTTAAAAAGGTATGTGCAACAGCCAAATCTAATTTTATTAAAAATAAAATATGTAAATCGAATAATAAAATCAAAACAACGTGGAATGTTATAAATCGTGAAACAGGCAAAGAAAGGTCACGTGACGATATTGTTGAACTTAAGTCGAATAACATGTTAATAAAATCTAAACAACATATCGCTAATATTTTTCATGAATATTTGGTTAATATTCCTTTGGTGGCTACATCTAATTTGAGTTCTTCATCGGTGGCTGCCAAGACTTTGCTCGAGAAATATGTACCTAGGTGTGATAACGTGTTTCAGTTCAGACATATTAATTTTATTGATGTTATTAAGTGTTTTAAATCTCTTAAACAAAAAAATACAAGTGATTTATAGGGTATTTCTACTAAAGTTATTAAAAGTATAATACCCGTTATTGCTCCTTATCTAGTTGATATATTTAATAACTGTATTGATCAAGGAGTATTTCCGGATTTAATGCAATACAGTAAAGTTATACCTCTTTTTAAATCAGGAAATAGAAATGACCCTGGAAACTATAGGCCTATATCAATATTACCGGTTCTTAGTAAAATATTTGAAAGAATTATTCTGGAACAATTGATGCCTCATTTCAACCTTAATAAACTTTTGCATAGGAAACAATTTGGTTTTACTAGAGGTAGATCTACTACTGATGCGGGTGTTGCACTTGTAAGGAGTATATTGGAGGCTTGGGAGAGGTCGCAGAATGTCCTTGGAGTGTTCTGCGACTTATCCAAAGCTTTTGATTGCGTTGATCATCACACGCTGTTATTGAAATTGAGTCATTATGGAGTCAAAGGTACTGCATATAAATTGATACAGTCGTACCTCAGTTCCAGAATACAAACTGTAGAGGTAAATGGTGTTAGATCATCTGGATCTCATGTGGAAATGGGCGTTCCCCAGGGTTCAATTTTAGGTCCCTTCCTGTTTCTAATATATGTAAATGATTTGCCATTTTTTGTGGAAAATTTGTGTGAGATTGTATTATTTGCTGATGACACATCTTTATTATTTAACGTTGACACTCGCAAAAACAACTATGACGATGTAAATAATGCTCTCTCTCAAGTTCTGCAATGGTTTAATGTCAATAATCTAAAGCTAAATGCTAATAAAACCAAGTGTATTCAATTTTCCTTACCTAATGTAAAAGTTGAGCATATTGGAATTAAATTAAATAATGAAAAATTAAATTTAGTAGACTCGACTACATTCTTGGGTATAACGATAGACTCAAAACTGCAATGGAGTCATCACATTACGCTTTTGGCTGGTAAACTTAGTTCAGCAGCTTATGCCATAAGAAAGATAAGACAACTTACTGATATAGATACTGCCAGGACTGTATATTTTAGTTACTTTCATAGTATCTTATCATACGGCATTTTACTCTGGGGAACAGCAGCTGATATTGAAAGTATTTTCATTTTACAAAAAAGAGCTGTGAGATCTATTTATCAATTGAGTAGCCGAACATCTCTTAGAGAAAAATTTAAAGAAATTGGAATTTTGACTGTTGCTTCTCAATTCATTTACAATTGCATACTCCTCGTTAAAAATAATATCAATTTGTATACCAAACACAGTAACGTACACAATTTTAATACTAGGAATAGAAACAAGCTTGCATTGCCAGCCTACAGGTTACAGAAGCTTTACCGATCTTTTATGGGTCAAGGTATACATTTTTACAATAAAATTCCTGATGCTGTTCTTGAGTTACCCATAAATGAATTCAAATGTCACATTAAAAGTTGTTTAGTTAAGAAAGGCTATTATACTATTAAAGAATACTTGAATGACAAAACTGCATGGCTGTAACTGCAAAATTGTTTTGTATTTGTTTGCAGTGTCGTACAGATAACTTACCTTAACTCTAAGTAACCATTTTGCAGATTGGTTTTAGTGGTTATGGGTAGTCATGCTCTCTTAAAAATCTCTTTAGCGGTGTCGTGTGAGGCGGGTCGTTGCGTTCCCTAAAATATGGTTGAGCGAAGCGATGGCTGGTTCATGCGTCATGCTCGTGAACGGGTGAAGCGGAGATGAGTCTGCTCTATACTACTTTATTATTGTAATGATAATTATTATTAAATTTTGATTGTATTTTACATTACACAACTTGTATTTATACTGTATGACACAGCAATCAAAATGTAAGTGAACATATATTATTTCTCTGATAAAGATTTAATGGCGGTGTGGATTCTGGTATGTTTTTCTAGACCTGAACTTGGTTTTGCAGTGGTGTATCCTTGTCATTCTCTATACAGACTGAAAGGGGGGGACTGATGTTTGATTGGTTTTGGGTTGGGAGAGTATTGCCAGGGTCGACAACAGTGTTTAGGTAATCACATGCATGTGTCCTGCCGTTGTGTTTATAGTTTGTTATAATAATGTACACTGGTACCTATATGTATTTTTTTTTTCTATTTTAGTAACATAGTGGTGCCAATTCTGGCGTCATTCTCTAAACTTAAAACTAAATTTAACATCAGTCTCTCCTTTTCATTCTGTATGGAGAATGACAAGGATATACTGCTGTCAAATTTAAGTTTAGGTTTAGAGAATCACGCTAGAATCGACACCAGTATCCATATGTGGTTATGAGTAGTCATGCTCTCTTAAAAATCTCTTCGGTGGTGTCGTGTGAGGCGGGTCGTTGCGTTCCCTAAAAAATGGTTGAGCGAAGCGATGGCTGGTTCATGCGTCATGCTCGTGAACGGGTGCTGCCAGCGGAGATGAGTCTGCTCTTAATTCACTGGGTACTACTATTAATCGTTGTTCTAAACTTTAATCGTTCATTATTATTATTTTCTTTTTGCCTAAACGGTAGGACACGTCATTCCTAAACTTTGTTAAACCATTTTTTTTACATATTTTAATTTTTTATTTTATAGTCATAATTTTTATATTATTTGCATTTTTTTTTGTTTGTAATGAAAAGTGACTTTATGAGTTACCTCATATTGAAGTCATTTTTCAATTTGACGACTCTGTATATAATACAGGGAGAAAAAAACAGCCCTTGCTGAGTTTCTTGCCGGTTCTTCTCAGTACAAGGTCTCCCGCCGTAGATTTGCGAACCGATGGCGTAGCTTTTCGACATTCACAAGTGCTTGTAACAGCCTAGACTGAATAAACGATATTGAATTGAATTGAATTGAATTAACGATTAAGCTGACATACACCAAGCCATTCTCTAAAACTTTTGAGTATCTATAACCGGAGACGCCATTGCAGGCATTTTGCCTCTGGCAAAAGGTACAAGAAAAAACTAGTTCACGTGCGACCGCTATCATTTTGGATCGTTCCGGGTCGCAGCTAGGAGTTCCCACAAAAATAAAAAAATGTTTGGATTTTTTATGCAAAAACCGATCTGCTACATCAACCCTGCTGAAACATGGTATTTCATATTATATACAAGTATTTTTAAATACTAAAAGGTTAATATACGGGTATAGAATTCAATTAAAATAAAAAGGCACGGAATGACGAATGAATGACAAAAATAATAAAATAGTGATGTGACGAATAGTGAATGAAATGAATGACTGGTATTTATATTACTGAAAAACTTTCAACCACATTTAATTAAGTGCATCTTCCGATTGAATAGCAAGTTGATAAAACAAATAAACATGGATAGATTTTACAAAAAACAAACATTCAGTCATTCACTATCTATAACATAACCAAACAAAAGCTTTCTTTCCACGTTAAAATATGATAATATATAAAAAAGTATGCAGGTAAATATTAAAAACAATACGTAGGTGTCGGTTCGGGCATGCATGATTCTCTAAACTTAATTTAACACCAGTC